TCATGAGCTGCTGGGTCACGTCCCCCTACTGGCCGACCCCAGGTTTGCTCAGTTCTCTCAGGAAATCGGTCTGGCGTCTTTGGGGGCGTCGGACGAAGATGTTCAGAAACTAGCCACGGTGAGTTCAGTCGCCTGCAGCAGTGACACCTACAGGCAGTGCTGCTCATTACTGCCGGTGTGTTTATCGTCCACAGTGTTACTTCTTTACCATTGAGTTTGGACTGTGCAAGCAAGAAGGCCATCTGAGGGCATATGGAGCTGGACTACTGTCCTCTATTGGAGAACTGATGGTACTGGACACACACACACTTGCTTCATTGTCATTTTTCATGCCATTTGACAAAGGTTTTTTTTTTTTTCCCAGCATGCTTTGTCAGAGCAGGCGTTTGTGAAGCCGTTCGATCCAAAGACAACCTGTACGCAGGAGTGTCTCATCACCACCTTCCAGGACGTTTACTTTGTTTCTGAGAGCTTTGAGGAAGCCAAAGAGAAGATGAGGTGAAGTTAATGACCCTCATTAGACCCTGCATCAGTCAATCAGTGTCATGAGTAGAGCCCCGCCTACTTAAACATGAAAATACAAATGTCATTTGATTCCATTTATAACAGACTCCAATATGAATTCAGACCATATTTACATTAAGATGATGAAGGTGAATCAGTATTGATTCTGGTCCAGCACTTGGTTCTGAGCCTATTCTAGGTCTGCTTGATGGTCTTGTCCTGTCTGTGTCCTCAGGGACTTTGCAAAGACCATCAAGCGCCCCTTCTCGGTCTACTACAACCCGTACACTCAGAGCGTGGACCTCCTGAAGGACACATCCAGCATCGAGGCTGTGGTTCTGGACCTTCGCAGTGACCTCACCACCGTCTGTGATGCCCTTGCCAAGATGAACACCTACATGGGCATCTAAAGCCACACCCCTCAGCTCTCATTGGTCAACATGTGACGTGAGTGTACGTTCTTAGCTAATCAGTATTTATTCTAAATTTAAATGATTTATAACCTGTAATCTAAGTGCAATATTTAATCTTGTGTGATTTGAGGGTGACGTGTAATCCTGTCGTACAACTGTACCCTGTGATCAAAGTATAATATGTAATCAAGGTAATCTTTACTGTAATCTGTTTAATCTGTGACCCAGTCTGTGAAGTGACCAATGAGTTGATGGTGTGGCTGTCAATCTGTTTATTAATCAACTGATTATCGATCAGCAGTCATCGATGTTGTGTTCCAACATTACTGTTCTGAATCCTCTACTGCTTGTTTCTGTGCCGTGGATATTTGTAGAACCAAAGTCTCCAAGACGAACAGAAGACGATCCAAAAATCTGCATCTGTGTTCAATAAAATCCCTAAAACCAACTTGTGGACTCTGTTTAAAGTCACTCCTAAAACCTTGTGGACTCTGTTTAAAGTCACTCGTTTTCTCTGGTCAAGTTTTGTTTTTTTCGTCCTGCTCCATGTAGGTTGGAGTAGTTCTTTTACTTCTGTTTCATTCGTCCTGCTCCATGTAGGTTGGAGTAGATACAGAGGAAAGCAGGGTTTTTTATCAACTTTTTTTGTGGAAATTCTGGATTCATTTTTCCCTCTCTCTTTTGTGGTTTTTAATTTTTTTAATTCCTCTGTAATGACCTCTTTAGACATTTCAATGCCATGCGAAGTTTTTGACCACAGAGTTAAGGGTTAGGGTTAGGTGCCGAGTTTAATTCCTGTCCACATGGGCCAATGGTGTATAACACACCTGCGACGAGGCCACACCCACCAGCCTCAAAGTTGGGTAACATCAATCTGGACAATTAAATACTTTTATGGCTAATGGTTAGCTAAAACCTCTCACCTGAGACTATAGTATAATGCTTTATGGGGCGTTCACACCAAACGCGATAGAAAAAAACCTCGCCTATATCGCGTCACTTGATAATTTTTAACCCTAACCCTCTCTTGCGCGTGTCGTAAAATGCGACGTCCGCTCAATTCTTAACCTGCTTTATTTTCATGATAAGTCGGTCAAGGATGAAATAAGATGAAAGATGAAAGATGTTGCTACACTGTACCTCCTGTACCAGAAGTCCCGGAAGTCCACTCGACGGCGCCGTGTCTGGGTTCATGACGTCCTGAAAGGCACAGCAGGTGTAGACAAAAGTAAAACAAGCCACAAAGTCTGACAATTTACCAGAGGGCACCACCTTCTGGCTAACTACTCCGGTCCCGATAAAACGTAGCAGCGCCGTTGGTGCCTACACACGGCGATGATTAGCTTGGCCGCCATTGTTCGCAAACTTCTCTGCTTAGTTTAGGGTGCTGACGTCGGGATCAACTCAGCGCTGATTGGATGCCGCCTTAAGCGTTTATTTGTTTTCACCTCCATTCGCGTCGCCTCTGACGCGAAGTAAACGTTGAGTCCTGGTGGTACAAACTTCAGCCAATGACATGATTGACTTTACTCTGTTTTTTTTTTTTTTTATTTCAAACGTACAAACAGGTGTAAAATGTAGCAAATATAAATAGTCCAACAGAGAGCGCCGTGTCACCGCTCAACAACCAATCCGAGAGAGAGACATGGAGCCTTAAAAACACACGCACACATACGCACACACACGCAACCTTCCTGGACCAATCACAGAGCAGGGTCAGGTGTGACATCACTTTTAACTGAGGTGAGCGTAGCAGCTGCTGCAATGCCATTCAAAATAAATCATTTGTGTCCTCCGTCAAGTCAGAGGTGCATTGTGGGAACTGTCCTGTTGCTGTAGCATCTTGTCACAAATGCCAGTGATGTTTGACCTGTCAATCACTGGGCTGCAGATAAACAATCACACCCCTACAAACGTCCGGCCGCCTCACTTCAGCAAAGCCTTGTAGAGCAGCAGCGAGCGCGACGTGCTGTGTTCCTGCTCCAGACACAGGATAAAGTCCCTGAGGTTGACGCGAGTGATTCGATGCCGCAGTTGCTGACGGGAGGGAGTCGCTGAGGAGCCCGAACCCGACACCATCTGTGGATGGACACAGAGCAGGACTGTGGTCAGGAGAGGGCTTCACCTTCAGGGGACGAGTCACTCTGTATTAGTTGTAGATATGTTGTCTTACCTCAGCTGTGCCTGGAGTAGCTCCGCCCATTGAGTCCATTTTGCGTTTCTTTCGTGGTCCAATGGCAGCAAGAGCTGTGAGGTTAGCATCACGTTGTCTCATTTGAGCCAGTTCCTGTTGCTGCATCTGTAAAAACAAAAAAACATAGAATTGATATGGACATGATGCTGACCCCTTGTGGTCACAGGAAATATGACAGTCAGACAATCTGTATTATTGTCTGTGATGATCATGTGACCCACCTCTTTAGCCTTCTGTTTCAAACGAGCCTGTTCAGGATCCTCCTGTCGAGCTCGACTCTGAAAAACAGTGTTTTGATCTTTGTCAGGATCTGAGGAGTCTGTAGATCTTGCAAACACTCAATGCACTTAGCTAAGCTTTAGCTTCCGTTCAAGGACGGTTGCTGTGAATTTCATTTTCTTATACACCCTTAGCTGGACTGTGCACAAGAAGTAAAAAAAAAAAAAGGGGCCATGTTGGAATGGATAAAGATGAGTGTCACAAGTTGACTGTGACAGAAGATCAGGTTTATAAGACTGTAGTGAGACCTGCTATGATCAACTGTGGTGACACCTGAATGGAGGAGCAAGAAGTAAAAAAAAAAAAAGGGGCCATGTTGGAATGGATAAAGATGAGTGTCACAAGTTGACTGTGACAGAAGATCAGGTTTATAAGACTGTAGTGAGACCTGCTATGATCAACTGTGGTGACACCTGAATGGAGGAGCCGAAAGCAGAAGAAGAAGAAGCACATTAGCTCAACATTAGCCTCTGTGCTGTTCACCCTCACCTTTGCAGCCTTTAGCAGAATCTCTCTCTCCTGCTCGTCTTTTCTCTGTTTTTCCATTTTTTCCAGCTGTTCAAAGAAACGAAGCTGAGAGCGAACGTCTGACGTCTGTTCATATTTATCTTCATCCTGGGAATGAAGAAGAAAGCAGGAATTTTTTAAAAAAAAAACCTAAAAGAGGCAACAGGCAAACCTAACACCAACATTAGCACTGATGTCATTTAAGGTAGAGTAGTACCGACCTTTCCACCATCACTGCGATGCTGAGCGACTGCTGATGCCTTCTCCAGCAGGTGGCGCAATCTACACTGAGTTGCATGGGAAATAAAGTTGACCACCTCCAGAGGAACCTCAGTCACACCGAGTTTCTTTGCTGAAAGCAGAAACAGACAGAGATGAAAGGGGGGGAAAGAGAAAAGTTCTTGAGAAACAGGAAGTTCTATGAAATAAATATATATAATAAAAGCTCAAGCTCAATGTGATCAGAAAGGTTTAATGTTGAAGTGGAGTATGTCTATGTGCGTGTGAGCGTGTACCTGTGTCCATGACGCGGCGGTGTAGAGCTCCAGCTGGGAGAAACGATTCGTCTTTACAGGAGCGGATCTTGGTTCCCACCAGTTCAGAGCTGGTGGCCAGGATCCGGGCATTTTCCTCATTCAAGTTGACTCCAGCCATGGAAGCCACGTCGTTGATGTCATCGTCATCTCTGAGAAACACAGAGGACATGGGTCACATGTGTCAAACTCAGGCCCGGGGCCAAATCTGGCCCATGGTTTAATTATATTTGGCCTGCAAGGTCATATCAAATGTTTACTAGAGTTGGCCCGCCAGTATATAGCCCCTTCATACTGGCAGGGTTTGTAGTATTAGCCGTGTATGTGCTATGTTATAGCTCCTACATTTTAGTTTTGTTGTTGTTGGCCTGTGAAAAAAAGACAACTGGAAAGGCTACTAAAAAAAGAGACATAATAAGAAACAAATACCACTGATGTGTGTTTTATTTCAAATTTAATTTCTCATGTGTTTATAATATTAACTTTTGGTTGTTCCAGATTTAATGTTTACGCATAACTAAAGTTTGTTTCCACGTTAAAAAAATCCTACATTACAGATCTGGTTAGAAGGGAAAACATTTTTTTCTCAATAAATATTAAGTTTGACCCATGACTTCATCCCAGTTTTTAATTTTGGTCCACTGTGAATTTGAGTTTGACACCCCTAACATAGGTGAACTGGAGGAAGTGCTCCACAGCGCCCCCTGCATTCCTTCTGATCATTTTCTCTAAGGATGTGTGACGTGGTTTTACCTGAAGGTCCCTCCACCCGGATCACTGAGCTTCTTCTGGTTGACTGAAAGGGTCTGATTGACAGGACTCTTGCTGATGATGGTTGGTCCTCTGATCAGAGAGCCTGTACGGGAAAGAATGGGTCAGACAGTGCTGCTCTCTGGTGGTGGAGGAGATAATTGCAGCATGTCGTACCTGGAGTTTTGAGTGTCTGAGTGATGACCACAGGAGAGCGGGTTTGAACGGTCTGGACTCCAGGTCGACTCTGAGAACAATGGAAGAACACACACACACACGTAAGGGAGAATAGCAGATCCAACATGGACAGAACTGTCATCATTTCAACTAGGTATGTCCCATATTAACTTTTTTCTGATATATGTTATTGTTACATAGAAGTTTTTTCACCCTGATCCCATTTGAAATACTATGAAGGGCCTGGTAATATTTATCTGTACAAACCACAGTATGAGTTTCTGGCACCAGAAACTATTTTTAGGGCCCATATATTTTGGCCAAACCCAGGAATTGCTTTATCGGGTTTTTACCATCAAAGGAAAAAACTATTCTTACAGATAATACATAACTGTGCTAATATCAGGCCAATAACGTCGGTCGGACATTCCTAATTTCACCATTTTCTCCAGTGTGGAATCAATAACCATTAACACCACATTCTGATAGTACAATGGAAATGAATCTGCTATAAGAGAAGATGTGAGTCACCGTACCAGTGCAGTGGTGGTGCTGATAGGCGTGTTTAGCCTGACGCCACCTGCTGGACTGATCGGCACCCGGGGTCTGAGGATGGTGCTGGTGACCGAGCCAGGAGCAGTAGGGGGTTGAACTGATGTGGTGGGGACCGTGGTGGTCACCAGAGACTGTTGACTGCTGAGCAGAGACTGACGCAGGGCAGGAAGGCTTTTCTGTGAAGATGCAAAAGAGGGAGGGGCGGAGGGGTGATGGGGGGGTCAAGAAACATTAGAGGTGAAAACGGCATGAATGGTGGTTCTTGGTTTAAAACAGTACATTGTGTATGTTATGTGGATGCTGTACAGTGTGAATAGTGTGAATGGTGTTAATGAAGAACTGCTAATGAACCTTGAGGAAGGGAATGAGGTAGGGCTGAGGCGAGGACTTGAGCTCCGCCTGCAGTCTGGTCGTGAACTCCTCAGGCTCGATCTTTGCGTCCTGAACAAACAGAGTTAAACAAAGTCAGAGCTACAGCCAATCAGAGGCTGGACAGAGGGGTTTGGCCTTTGACCTCACCAGCAGGTCCTGGACCAGAGCCTTCACGTTCTTTGAAGTTTCTGGAGAGGGAGAGTTGTGCGACGCCAACTTGATGAGCGTGGCAAGAAAGTTCTTACATTTCTTGACATTCTCTTGCATTTCCTGTCAAAGAGGAAGACAGCACATGAAACAAGAGCACCACCGCCTGGTGTAGAGGTTAACTTCAAAACAGAACTCACTGCAGACACCACAGTGACCCTGGTGGGCGGGTTGGTCACGACAGCAGGAGACGTGCTGGTCAGGGGAGCAGGTGGGACCACCGCAGGCTTGGCTGCAGGCGTTCCTCCAGTCGTGATCACCGTTAAAGCTTTCTGAGGTGTAGCCATCTTCACTGATGTAGCAGCGCCACCTGGAACCACTGTGATGGCCTTCTGGGGAAAACACAGACCAGGCCCACCAGAAAAAGACAATGATTAGCCTTAAAGAAAAGACCAGACTACGCAGAGCAAAACAACGAGCGTAAAGTTAGTAGAAATTCTAAGAATAATTACTAAATGATTAGCCATAAAAAAAACAACAACAACAACAACACAAACAGCGGTAGGTTTAGCTACGTGGTACATAATGTAGACCTAAACATTTAGTTCCTTAAAAACAGGAAGTAAACAAAAAGAAGATAAAGATAATTAATGTTGGGTACATATATGACAACGACCCCCCACCTGTACTGTGTTGCTGGGCTGGACCATTCTGTTCGGAGTGGGCGCGGCCAGTCGTACCATCTGAGTTCCAGGAGCCTGAGGAGACTGAACATTAACAACCATCTTATTGTTTACTTCTGTCGGACCACGATGCTCCGGTACTGGACTCACCGTGGTCCCAGCAGCTACACCTGTGGTGGGTGCGCCGACTCGGACGGTGGCTCCAGTCGTAGGTGGCGCTGTAGGTCTTATTGCCTGCTGGGTTTTGGCTTGTGCCTGAGCCAAAACCTGCTGAGGAACCATGACCAGCTGTCCAGTCTCAGTTCGCACCAGAACCATTCCTGAAGAACAGCAAGTACAGGCTGGTCAGAATTTAAAGGGACAGTCTATAATATTTACATCCTCCGCCATGCTAGCCTGCTAGCTTAGAGATATTTATTAAGCAAAAGTATAAATGTATAAAATTATTTCAGGATTTAATACCACCACGTCAGTCACTGTGTTTACAGTGCAATTCTGTTACTGTTGACACTACAGTACACACATACTGTACCTGTGGTACTGTAACAATACAACCAAACTGCTTGTTTTGAAACTACATGCATAAACTTTTCTGTTTTCCTGACATGAAGTCTGTACATAGAAATACAAAGTGTCAATCTTCTGATACAATTGTGAGATTCAAGATGGCGGCGCCCTGATGCTAAATGTAAACAAAGAGATGCAAGAAAAAAAACATTTTTTAAATCTCAATCCCTGCTCTTTACTGAGCTGTTCTTTGTTGTATATCCATATGTTTAATATATTTAATATCAATATATTCTTTCTACTGTCTTCAAATGTCAGGATTTTAGTACATACATTTATTACATTCTTGATATAATTTAGTTAAATTACTCAGTTGTATGTATTTCTATTTATTTGCAAACTCTACCTTACTACAATACTACTACTACTACTAATGTACAGTATGTACTTCTCTCTCTTTAATGTTTTTGATACATTTTATACATTTTTTTAAAAACTTATTTTGCCTGATGTTTCTCTGATGTTAAAGTTAGGTTTTACCCTTTTCCTGACTAGGCTTTATCTATTTATGCAGAATGTTTGCTAACTTTTAGCTTTCCACTACTTAGTAACAGCTGTTGTCTGACAGGTCTTGATATTTGACAACATTTGACTAATTCTCAGATTTGTTCCTGTGGTGTTTTTCCAGCGCCATGTTTGTTGTTGTTGTTGTTCTAACTTTTTTCTCACTCCTTACTGTTAGCTTCCTAACTTGAGTTGAAATTATATCTATGAAAGGCTGAATCTGACCAAATGTATCAGTTATGGATTATCATGATCCAGGACTCAATCTGAACGCCCTGCCCTCCCTCCCTCCCTCACATCACGGGTGACCCGTCACACTTACCTGGAGGCATGGTGAATCCAGGGGGCAGCTGGATAGTCGTCTGCTGCTGCTGCTGGGGACGAACAGCCAGCGGGGGCTGCGGTGCATTCGGCCGAGTGGACCCTGCCACTAGCCCGGGTCTCTGTTGCTGCTGCAGGGCAGCACCCACCGTAACACCTGACGGTCGAACGACAGTTATAGCCGGCTGAGCGACCCCGTTGACAACAGGCTTCTCGACAGTGGAGCTGCCCTGGATGTGGTTAATGGCCGACTGTGTAGTCGGTGAAGACGTGGTGGTAAGAACTATGGGGGAAGTTGACACTAGAATCTTGGGTTGGATCATAGGTCCACTTTGATTCAGGACCAGAGAGGCGGATGAAGATGGACCTGGGGCCCCGAGAGTCACCTGCTGACCACCTTTGGGTTCTACTCCGTTCTGGGCGCTGCTGGTCACCGGGCTCGGATGTTTCTGTGGGGTTACAGGTACTGAGAAGTTGGAAGTAGCAGAGCTTATGACAGAACCGGAGCCTGCAGTTGAGGTCACCAACTTCACCGGGCCGCCGTTTAAGCTCTGCAGGGCGGGAGACTCAATCCTGGAAACCTCAACCGCGGATGATCCGGGGGCCGTACTCGGACCCAGGACAGCCGCCCGGTGAAAGCTGGCGGCGCCTACCGGAACTGGACCCGGAGCCGCTCCAACAGTGGGCAGCCCAGAACCGATGGAAATGGAGGTAGAGGACAGACTGGGAGTAGAACCCGGCTCTGTGCCGCCGGATTCTTTCCTCGGAGCAGCCGTTGGTTGTCCTTGTTGCGGCTGCACTGGGTCGCACACTTTCCCTGAGAAATGATCCGAGGAGACCGGAGCCAAATCCCGATTCCCGGCAGAAGTTTTTCTGTCTCCCAGTTGGGACTCCAGAGATCCGACCAGGTCACTGACGGCTTCCTCATCTACCTCAGTGAAGAGCATGTCCTCCAGTGAGTCCACGGCTCCCGCCATCTTTGATCTGCGACCGTTGTTCAATTGGCTTTTAGAATGTGCGCATGCGCCGAGGAGCTGGCTGCGTTTTCAACATAGATCCTAAACATAAAGATATGGTCACACGTCTTCTCTCGCACACAAAACGGAAGAAGAAATCAATTCTATGTTGTACTATGGTCAAGTGATCGTATCACATGAGTTCTCATAATAATAACTATGGTAAATGGCTGTAATCTTAATAAATGTGCTTAGATTTCATATAAATGTTTTTGATTTTTTTAACCGACAAATGAAAAATACACAACGATGCAACATCATGTTCAACGTAATGGAACGTACCAGGAGGTAAATATTCATTGTCTTTTCAAACATATTTGTCAGAACACTTTAATCATTGTAGTTTTATATTAAAAAAATAAGATTATTGTTATTATTTATTTGACTCACAACGGAAAGAAAAATATTGTCTTTTCTATCCTTCATGGATCTTGGCGACGGCGCTTCGTTGTCTCGCGAGACTTTGATTTGCCGTGGTGTCTCGCGCTCTCAGGTATGAGGAGGAGGAGACGCAGCTGTGGCGGCGGCCATGTTGTTTGTGTGATCAGCAGCAATAGCAGCGACAGTGTATTCCCCCCGACACTTCTACCCCGCCGTGAGCGGTTCCCGCACACCGTCCCTCTCGTGTTTTCGCCGGCCCTGCAACGCAGCACAGCGGCACGATGAGCAGCGGAACCCCGTACCTGGGCTCCAAAATCAGCCTCATATCCAAGGCCGCGATACGCTACGAAGGGATTTTGTACACAATTGATACTGAAAACTCCACTGTGGCTCTGGCTAAAGGTGACATGACCGTAAAGGGACTGTTTACAGTCGGACTATTTTAATACGGTGTTACTGTGCCCAAATGATGCGTAAGATTATAAAACATTGGAGTTAGCATACAGAAGATGCTAATTGAATGACAAGACGCTCACACATTAAGCAAACATGGGCTTGCGACCCATTTATGGATCATGACGTACGGTTAAGCGCTTTAATAACTGTGTCGTTATACTTAAAATTAAATAATGTTACTGAATATTGGCAGTATATTTACCTTAGGTTTTCTAAAAGACTATATGTCAAGTGAAATAATTAAAAGCTGTTTTAGCCCTTAAACCCTAAAAGGATTGCAATTCAAATTTTGGTGAAAAGGATAAATTAGGTAAAATATACGAAATGTGTCCAACTATAAAACAAAAGTAGAAAAAAGTAAAAACAAAAATAAAAGTATATCTGGAAAGTAGTCTTACAGGTTTTGCTAGATGGTAAGAATTGACACATTTTTCACAAACTGTAAATGTCATTGTTGCCAAAAAAAACCAGATTAAAACAATATTTATGTTTTAATGACAAATATATAACAGAGACCTGTGTGACATGTGACCACAGCTGTTTTTTCTATCAGTCCGTTCCTTTGGTACCGAGGACCGACCCACTGACAGACCCATCCCCCCTCGTGATGACACCTTTGAGTACATCATCTTCCGAGGAAGTGACATCAAAGACTTGACTGTGTGTGAGCCTCCAAAACAAACCAGTGCATTTCCTCAGGATCCAGCCATAGTCCAGGTACTGTTTTTTTACATTACACAACAAGTACTGATCCAAAGCTCACATCCAATTTCCCTGGTACCAATTCAGACCTATCAACTTCAGTCTGACTTTTCAGTTTGCTTAATGAATGTAGAAGTTCTAGACCAGTACTGTAGTTTCTGGTACGAATTGCTGTGCTATACAAACTCTTAATGGACTACAGAGTATTTAGTGCTTAATGCAATAGGACAGTTTAACTGTTTGTGGCTCTAGGTCGTGTTTGCAGTTCTTGGTGCTACATCCTGGTCCCAGTGTACACGTTGAACCCGTTGTTTTCCTCCACAGTCATCCATCAGCACCAGTTCATCATCTTCTGCTCCGACACAGTTCCAGTCTTCTTCCGCCTATGGTCTTTTCAACCGGGCCCCAGTTCCTGCCTACAACCAGTTCAGTTCCAGTCCCCTGGTGTCGCCTCAGTTTGGACCTGTTGGAGTCGGTATGTTGTCAGCGTGTTTGTGTCACTTCCTGTTTCTGTGCAGAGTCAAGCATGATCTCCAAGGGTTCTGAGTCTCTGAACCTAGCTCCAGAACCACGTTAATCATGCTACAGAATGAGAGGAGGGACCTGTTCAGTCAGACCACCACAGTCTTCCTCGACACCAGAGACTCCTCTTAGTCTGACTCAGTACAGGTGTCTGCCCTAGTGTCTGCATATGTCTGTGGTTCTTGTCTGACAGTGTATTCCACTGTCTCTGTCCTCATTCAATGTCCAGGTCGCAGCAGTCCAGCTTTGGACCCCCTCAGAAAAAGTCCAACCCAGGAGCCGGTGGTCCAGGTAACTCCATCAACTCCGCCTACTGCCTCCTCCGCAGCTCCTAGCTCCAAGCCCACCACAGGCCCTGCCCTTGCCCCTGCCCCTGGTCTAGGATGTTCCCGAAGTCCTGCCCACAATCACACAGCCTTAACCGGCGGTGGACAGGGCAGAGAGAAAGTCCAGATCCAGGATGGCCTGGATTCAAAAAGGGGTGAGACTTGATGAGAGACATCAGTGATGTCACACAGTGATGCTGTGATGTCACAACACTGCCTGTTGTACTAGAGCGATAAAGAATGATGAATCAATTGTCTCCACAGCATCCAACGTGGGGCCAGCCAATCGACGTGGTCGAGGGGGCGGGCACCGCGGCAGAGGGCGATTTAATGTCCGCAGAGATGGGCCGATGAAGTTTGAGAAAGACTTTGACTTTGAGAGCGCCAACGCTCAGTTCAACAAGGAAGAGATTGACCGCGAGTTCCAAAACAAGCTGAAGCTGAAAGGTAACATTATTGTAGTTGTGATGTCCGATAATAACTATTAACCAGCTGTACTACTATGAACTGCCAAAATGCCGATTCTGTTATCAATCAATACTGATATAGTGGGGCAGTGGTGGCCTGGTGGTTGAGGAAGTTAAGTGATGCCTGCTGACTAAACCCCCAAGGGAGATATTGAAATACTATTAAGCGCTTAGAAATATTTGTTTATTTATCTGTACAAACCAAGGGATTGTCCGAGAACAAACCAATAACGATTCTTACAAGTATTAAATAATTATGCGAATATGCAAACCAAGGGATTGTCCGAGGAAAAAGAAATAACGATTCATACAAGTATTAAATAATTATGCGAATATCGGGTCGATATTATTGGACATCCCTAATTGTTGTGTTTGACCACGCCCAGCCCAGTCATTGAGTTAACCTTCATTTCTTCTTCTGCCTCAGATGAGAAGGTGATGAACGGAGAAGAAAAGGGTGAGTCCGGGGTGGAGACGCAGAACAGTGAAGGAAATGCCCATGATGGGTCTGACCCACTCGGCCCAAACTGCTACTACGACAAGTCCAAGTCCTTTTTTGACAACATTTCCTGTGATGACAGCAGGTCAGTGAAATGACTGCAGTGATGTCACAGTGTCAGAGACAACATCTCAGGGTCTAGCCCTAACCATTACCCTGTGTTGTTAGGTGACATCACTGTGATGTCATAACCTATATACTTCTTTGTCTTGTCAGGAAAGCAAATGAGAAAAGCAGAGGCACGGCTTTCCCTCAGTAAGTGTCTATTTTGATCATGTGACATCATTCCCCTCCTGTTGGCTGGTTGTTCTGATGTGACTCCTCCCCAGGGAGCGGAGACAGACTTGGGCCGAGGAGCGCAGGATGAATGCAGAAACTTTTGGAATTCCTTTACGTCATGGCAGAGGGCGCGGCGGTTACCGTGGACGCGGCGGAGGTGGTGGTTACCGCAGCAGCCGGGGCCGGATGTCCAGTCGAGGGTTCTACGGAACGCTGCAGGGGGGAGGCGGCGGGTTCAGGGGCGGGTACAGAGGAAACCAGGCGGGGCGGGAGTTTGCTGATTTGTCAGCGTACAGGGTAAAGGCACACATTGGCAGTCTGGGTGATTACATGTCTGTGATGATGTCATGACCACAGCTGTTTGTTCCCCTCTCTTACAGAAGGACAATAAAGTGTCGGTGTAGTCCGAGGGAGACGCTTCTGTGACGGCACACCTTGAAGATTGTTGTAAATTTGTCACCAGCACTGAACACGACTCAACAGAACAAACACCTGCAATGACGTAACCTTTCCTCTCCTGTTGGTTTGTCCGCAGTACTTCCTGTGACACCTGCCGACCGAGCTTTACCAAGGGGGTGGGGCCACTCTCGGCTTTCTAACCTAAGACAAACGCTGTAGTTTCCAGCGGTTCTCGAAGTCTAAATGATAAATGATTGACAGCTCTGTCTCACCGTAACTGACGCCAATGCGTCTTGAGTCTCAGGTGGAAAAAGTCACGTTCACGTGTTTGTTCCCTTTTGCAGCTGTTAGCTCAGTACCAGAAAATTGCACACTTCTGACAAAAGGGTCGGTGATGCACGCAGAAGAACAACCTGTAATTAGAACCGTGAACCAAAGATTTATTTTTGTCACAGATGAATTGATAAACTTCCTACCAACCTTTTCTTCCACTGCAATTTTGCCTGTGTTTTAAATGCCGTAAATATATGAAATCAAATACTTTATTTAATGTTTTAAAAAATGCAGAAAAAAAGTGACGTAAAACTCCGGAACTTCACCGCCACAAAAATGTCATTTTATCCACACTACAATTTTGTTTTTGCTCAGTTTCTGTGACGGGATATGATTCGTTAAAAGACTAGTCATTTAATGCTGTTTTGGTTAAGCTTCTTACTGCCCCCCTGTGGTCGACAAAGAAAATGTTTGGTTTGCAGTTCTTGCTCTTAAAATTGAAAAATATAGTGATTCCAAATTGTGTTCTTCCGAAAGGCTCTATCGCTAATGCTAACATCCAACGTCAGAGTCGCAGAAACAACAAACTTGGATGAAGGATGGAATAATGTAGGATTTCGTTACAATAATGTTGCATATTCTTCATTTTGGTAAAAAAAATAATCTTGAAACGATATAATCGGTGTAATTCTACAAAGCTGGCCAAAACAGAGATCAGAGTACCAACAGGTGTCGCTGCGGGAAATGTTAATGACATCTGTAATCACAACAAATGTGTTCCTTATATATGCAAACGAAGTTGTGAAAACGCCACTCAATACGAAAAGTTGGAGCGCGGATTAAAGACTCCGCTTCTTTTTACAAATCTACATTCATTCTTTTTGAAACTAAGTTATATCAGAAACTCACAGCAGAAACGCCTGTGTGGTGCAATTGTGAGGGGGAAGTTCCAACAACTATCGTTGTGGGTCTCAAACTCTGGCCCGTGGGCAGCGTCTTCTCAACTACGATTGTTTTATCATTAGGAGCAAAAACATTCAATGGACACGAAAAAAAAAAATCAATAAAAAGCTATGTTTGAGTTCGTGTCATGTGATCTGTGGGGTGACGTCACATCCGCAAGGTTAGAAGGGAAGTTTTGTGATTTTACTCCAAAAGGAGGTATTGAGTTATAAGTTTTTTGTAATATTTTGAGTTTTTTTGTTGTTGCTACCTTTAAGTATTAAATGAACTTTAGTTAAACCTAAGTTATTTGGCTTAGTTCGTCTTTGCGTTGTTTTATAGCGGAGATCATCGTGTAATTAGTAGGATTACATAAATAATTTTAGTTTTGGTAAATTTAGAAAACTCATTTCGATTGTCCAGTTTTTCCGCATTCCTATTTTGTTTTATAACCATTTCTGGGCGCTTTACACAAACTGAGACCATTTACAGCCAGAAATGTTGGTGACCGTGAACACCACAGTATATAGAGACACTTTAAAGTAGCTTCAATGTAAAGTAAAAAATAAATATGACTCGTCAAATAAATAAATAAATAAATAAGCCGGGAGAGTTTAATTCTGACGCCTGGTGGTGGGGTTTAGTGAGAGGGGCGGGGCTAGTCAAGGTCTGCTGTGATTGGCCCTTCACTCCTACACTACTGTCACTTTCTTCATCAACCCAGACAAGCGGGGACAGTATATCTCGTCGACGAGGTCACAACCGGTGGAACCATGACTCTCAGCAGCGATCCGAACTTCCTGAAGCTGCAGCAGTGGTACCAGGCCCATGGCCGCAGCCTCCGCATTAGGTCGCTGTTTGAGGAGGATCCGCAGAGATTCAGTCAGTTCAGGTGAGCCCCAGGCCGGCCACACACGGAGGAAGTGTCCGCTGCTGTGAGGACCGAGAACCTCCGCGTTGACGATGTGGCTATTTTGAAATCAAACGTACCGATGATGAATCGGTTAGCCGTCTGTTATGTGGTCAGTAACTCGTGTATGTGGTGGGTTTAATAACCTCTGCAGTGTTTAAGCGCTGGTTCCGCCTCCCCCTGCCTGGACCAAGGTCATGGCCAGTCCGAACTGAAGTTCGTCTCCCAGGCCTGGTCCAGCTTGTCAGTTCAGCAAGGAAAGCTGAAGACACCAATTCCATTATCGGACACGTGCACTAACTATACATAACACAAGAGTACATTGCGAAGCTAACTTAGGTTAGCACCTGTTAAGCGCCTGTCCGATATTGAACGCAGGCTGAAGCGATGCTTCCTGTACGTGGGAAAGAGGCTACGTGCCTCTGCACACACACACTCCGTACGTGACTTAACGTCAGTCTTCTTTGGCTTCTTAATAATAATAATAATAATAATAACAGTAGAATTTACAACATGAACACAGCGGGTTTGTTTGTTTGGCTTTCTTTTTTTTTTACAGCTGATTCTCCCTCCGTTAGTCAACCCTGGTTATTCACGCGTTAATGTCGGTTACCCAGCTCGGTTCACTGGTTGCTGAACCCTCTCTGTTTGTCCCCGGTTAGTGACTGTCTCTTCAGCCTGATTTCAGCTGTAACCTGATATAGAAACTCTTCTGTTGATGGATCAGTGTGAGGATACGGACGGGCTCAGAGTGCACAGTCACTGCTGCTCCTCTTCATGGTGTGTGTGTGTGTGTGTTCTACAGCACTACACTGGAGACAGACGATGGAGACATCCTGTTGGACTACTCTAAGAACCTGATCAATGAGGAAGTGATGTCCATGCTGGTCTCCATGGTAACCATGTCCCTTCCAATGGATTAAGAAAGACATGCACTTACACACATACCTGTGGTTTGTGTTTCAACACTGTGTGTTCACACACACGGTGTTGAAACACACCTGAAACAAAGGTTTTTTGAAACACAATGTTTCACCATGAACTCACATGCAGGTGATGTAACCAAGGTCGCTGACCTTTGTTACATCACCTGCAGTCAGTCAGATTAGGCACACACTCCACTCCAGTCTACAGGGTCACCAGAGTTTACTGGAAACAGACCATAATATTTCACTCTCCTGTCCAGTTTGGTCTAAAAAACCTTTCAAAATAAAAGCCACGCAATTGTATAGAAAAACTACAATTTACTATATTAATCGACAACTCCCGATCACGTTCAGGATACACTTCTATACGATGTTCTTCTAAATTAAGATACATATATATATATATATATATATTCAGCAGTGTGCATGTTTAACACAAGTGATCTCTGTCTCTCTGTTTCTGTCACGTGCACAGGCCAAGTCACGAGGGGTGGAGGAGGCGCGAGAGAATATGTTCAGTGGAGAGAAGATCAACTTCACTGAGGTACAGGCACACGTTTACTGTTGAACTTTGATGTGTTTCCTCAGTCCTTCACTCAATACTCTTCCTTGTGTCCTAGCTCCTTCAGGATAGAAAAACAAACAGAAGTTCCTGCAGTTTCTCTACTATTTTGTCAGTGTAGCTTTTGTTTGTGTTTGTGTCCAGGGTCGAGCGGTCCTCCACGTCGCTCTGCGAAATCGCTCTAACAAACCCATCCTGGTGGATGGTAAAGACGTGATGCCAGAGGTGAACCAGGTCCTGGACAAGATGAAGGGCTTCTGTCAGGTATCCACGCAGTCTCTCTGAGCACACGTGTGTGTGTGTGTGTGTGTGTGTGGAGGGGAGGGGGTGAGAGAAAATATTGATGCCGACTAGTCCTTGCAAAAAAAAAAAAGGTCGGGGACTGGTGGTCTCCATAAAAAAAACTCTATATATTGTGGTGACTATAGTATCACAGTATATTGTATTGTGTTATGTATTTTATCACCACATTCTTGCCAATACACACCTCAACTGTGTGTACACTGACCTTGGTGTGTCATCCACAGAAAGTTCGCAGCGGCGCCTGGCGTGGCTTCAGTGGGAAGAGCATCACTGATGTGGTCAACATCGGCATTGGAGGCTCCGACCTGGTGAGGAACCACAGTGGTCAGCTGATCAGTTATGGAAACTCATCTGATATACATCATGGTGTGGAATCTCACTGGTGACACCGTGTGGCCAAACCTGAGTGTCTCCTAAACCAAACCTCAGAGAGAAAATCCATTATTTTAATTTAGAGAAACACAAAGTTTAAATGTGATGTGTGTGTGACTCCACTGTTAGTAATTCTTTCATCACATTAACCTCAGTTACACAAAGAGACCAGAAGGGGCAGTAGCAGGATTATATGGATAATAATTATGTTGTTTTTTAAACTTATGGTAAATGGTGGACTCCGCCCACTGTGGGAGTGGCCTATGTAACCATGGTGTTGTGTTCAGGGTCCTCTGATGGTGACCGAAGCTCTGAAGCCGTACTCAGCCGAAGGACCAAACGTCTGGTTCGTGTCCAACATTGATGGCACTCACCTGGCCAAGACACTCGCCAAACTCAATCCGGAGACCACGCTCTTTATCATCGCCTCCAAGGTGACTCCGCCTACTGACACGCCCCTGTCACTGTGTGTCTATCAGGACGTGGGTCTAAATACTGCTGTGTTTTCTTCACAGACGTTCACCACGCAGGAGACCATCACCAACGCTGAGTCGGCCAGAGACTGGTTCCTGCAGGCCGCCAAAGACGTGAGTCGGAGGAGGTTCCTTCATCACTGATGATGTCATAGCTTCACTGGTGATGTCACATCCACCTCATCTCTTTGTCTCCTTCACAGAAATCTGCTGTGGCCAAACATTTTGTCGCTCTATCCACCAACGCTGTAAGTACTTTTTACAGTGTATCCTCAGCGGTGTCTTGGGAGTTGCGGGGGTGATGTTTGGGGGAGGCGGGGATGCAGGAAACACTTCTTGGTAAATGTTTTTTAACAGTTTAACCAACACTTTTTTTTTTTTTTTTTTTTTAGGCAAAAGTCTCAGATTTTGGCATTGACACTCAAAACATGTTTGAGTTCTGGGACGTGAGTATCTGCTCACATGACTTCCTGTTTCTGCTCACATGACTTCCTGTTGCTGATTGGTGCAGTGACTGTGTAACTCCATGTGTGATGTCATGTTTCAGTGGGTTGGCGGTCGTTACTCTCTGTGGTCGGCCATTGGTCTGTCCATCGCCCTGCACATAGGTATGCTGCCCTTTGACCTTAAGTCCTTGAGCCTCTGGACCTTGGTGTGACCTCTGACCTTCCCTGTGTTACAGGCTTTGACAACTTTGAGCAGCTTCTCTCCGGCGCTCACTGGATGGTAAGTAATTCCCATGTTTGCTGTCCCGCCAATGATGTCATCACGGTGGTGAGCTCACCGTCCTTACCCAGCATCCTCTGCTCCTCAGGATCAGCACTTCCTCAATACTCCTCTGGAGAAGAACGCTCCAGTCTTGCTTGCTCTGCTTGGCGTCTGGTATGTGAACTTTTTCGGGGCAGAGACTCAAGCGCTACTGCCGTACGATCAGTACATGCACCGATTCGCCGCCTACTTCCAGCAGGTCAGGAAGGTCACGTGACCCCTCAGCTATGGTCATGTCGTCACCTCTGGGCTGGTGATCAACCCTTTTTCTTTTTCTGCTCCAAAGGGCGACATGGAGTCTAACGGGAAGTACATCACCCGGAGCGGAGCTCGTGTGAACTACCAGACTGGTCCAATCGTGTGGGGGGAACCTGGGACCAATGGTCAACACGCCTTCTATCAACTGATCCACCAAGGTCTGAGCCGTGACGCAGTTACCCATGATGCTCAGCAGCAGACTCTCAGTGATGCCTTCACTGACCATTCACCTTCTTTGCAGGAACCCGTATGATTCCTGCCGACTTCCTAATTCCTGCTCAGTCCCATCATCCAATCAAGGACAACCTCCACCACAAGGTAACGCCCCCTGAGTGATGAATCTCCTTCACTGTAATCAGTTGCTGCTGTTGTGTTCACTGACCCTTTGTTTTTATTTTTTTATTTTCACAGATCCTGGTCGCTAACTTTTTGGCTCAGACTGAAGCTCTGATGAAAGGAAAGACGAGCGACGAGGCTCGGAAAGAGCTGAAAGCTGCCGGAATGTCTGGCGACGCCCTGGAGAAGCTGCTGCCACACAAGGTAACGTCGCTCGATCAAAACACGACCGGTGATGATGGTGTGATGTCATCGATAACATGATGTCACAAGAAGGTGTCAGTGGGATGACGCCGCCTCCACTGTTTTGTCATATATTTATATGTTGACTCCGCCCCCCCCCAAGGTGTTTGAAGGAAACAAACCAAGCAACTCTATTGTCTTCAAGAAGTTGACTCCGTTCGTCCTTGGAGCTCTGATTGGTGAGGGCCGTCACATCACACGCCATCTGTTTTATACCCACTATGATGTCATTTCCTGTTTGAGATCTGAACCATTGCTTTTGTTTTTTGTTTTTTTACAGCGATGTATGAACACAAGATATTTGTCCAGGGTGTGATTTGGGACATCAACAGCTACGACCAGTGGGGGTCAGTGTTGCTCACTTCTTAGTTTTCCTTCATAAGGGGGAGGGACTTAAAAAGAGCTCAGTATTAAAATGTATCTTGAAGTAAAACCAATTATACCGACTGTTTATTGGTAAAGTGTGATGTCACTGCTCAGATTGATGATGTTATTGTTATTGTTTGAACAAACTTTTTTTGTCTCTTCTCTCCTTCTGCTCCTGCTCTGTTTGATTACATAACAACTCCTCCCTCCTTTCCTTTGCTCCTGTGTATCTTTATTCTCCTTCATGTCCTTCCTCCCTTTCCTCCCCCGCTATTCCTCCTCCCACTGCACCTTGTCTTGCTCCTCCCCCATCTCTCCTCCTCCTCAGGGTGGAGTTGGGGAAACAGTTGGCTAAGAAGATTGAGCCTGAACTAAAGGACCAATCAGAGATCTCCTCCCACGACTCCTCCACTAATGGACTCATCAACTTCCTGAAGAAAAACTTTGCCTAAGCCTCACCTGGCCACGCCTCCTCCTGCTCTGCCCCCAGTCACCTCCTCTCCTCTGTCGTTGTCCGACTGAATGAGGATCCAGCACTTTGGTGTCAGTTAGTGGAAAAGTACACACGTACACACACACACGATACACACTCTGAACCACACACACTGGTGTCGTCCTGTTTGTTTCTCGTTGTCTTTGTTGTCATCAGAGTTTTATCGTTAATTAAAGGGATCAATAATCAATCACCTTGTCTTTTCATTTGTAACAGCGCCCTCTGTCTGTGTGAGTAATTAGTCACGCCTGTGGGCAAATCATTCAGGTCAGCGATCAGTGGTCGAACTGTTTCAGAAAGAGCTTCAAACACAGTCCACGGGTGCAACGCTGGATCAGAACTGAGTAGACAAAACTGAAGAAAAAAAAAAAGAAACAATAAAAAGCAACAACAAAACCAAATAAAACAATAAAAAGCAACAAAAAAGACCAAAAACATGTCATTGTTTTTCAGAATTTTCCAGAACTCTTGATCAGTTCCATTGGTCAGTTTGCTTCAGTCAGTGATTGATTTCTGGGGCTCTAAGGTCAGAGTGGGCGTGGCCTAATCATACCTGAACAGGTGAATGTGTGTCAGGAAGTGGGCGTGGCCTGAACAGAACTGTGTGGGCGCGTCCTTTGCCTGGATGAGTCAGCGTCTGCAGGTCAGACCTGATCAGATGAAACTTCATCCACCTCTGAGTCCCAGCTCAGTCTCTCGTCCTCTCACTGATGGAGCTGCGGTCGAGGGTACAGGGGGGTGGAGCTGGGGGTCTCTGGGGTTTGACACCTGTCCTCGTCATACTGGCTGCCTGTCTCTGCTACTTCCTGCTCTCAGGCTCCCTGGGTGCGGACGTCCAGGTCTGCAGCATGACCACAGTGGTGTTAGTGGTGGTGGGCCTGGTGGTGGCGCTGGTGGTGATGGTGAGGAACTTTAGACGAGAAGAGCTGCTGCTGCTACCACAGGGGGCAGTACTGATTACAGGTGAGAGACAACACACACACACACACACACACACTGTACAGACAACACGAGACAGGTGAGAAAATGTTCTGCCAACATCCAAATAAAAAAGAACACAGAAATATTGTTCATGTCTGATGGGCGGAGCTTATTTCCTGTTAGACGAGTATGCATGTGAGTGAGATGAGATAACATTATTGTATGGCTTAGTAAACAAACACACAAACACACACACACACACACACACACACACAGGTTGAGGTGAAACTCAGATTTTATCGTTGTTTTCACTCTGAAGGAGAGAAAGTTCCAGAGAGATCACATGACCTCACAGTGACCACCATGAGAGGTCACTATCTGCTACATCTTCTGGAACACTGGTGCCCCCTGTGGTCAGTTTGTGGTACTGGTATAGACAGTTTGTTGAGGATTTAGCAAATTAGCTAATGAAAAAAAACAGTGAAGGAAGAGATTAATAGAACCAGATTATTTTACAGATTAGATTCTGGGTAAAATATTTAAAAAAAATAATTCTGAGGTGAACCAGGTGGTACTTATTTACAGTAAAATCCTTTTCTTGTTGTTAAAACCAGTAGAGTCGAGGCTGTGATTCTTATTGTTCCCTGACGATGATGTCATTTCCTTTTTGAGGATGCGCCCTTTTCTTGTTGTTAAAACCATGATGTCATTTCCTTTTTGAGGATGCGACTCTGGCTTTGGCCACGCCCTGGCTCTTCAGCTCAGTGACCTGGGGGTGAAGGTGTTCGCCGGGGTTTTGGATGTGAAAGGAGACGGAGCTGAGCGTCTTCGAGGACGGAGGTCTGAGAAGCTGGAGGTCCTCCAGCTGGATGTGACCGTCAGAGAGCAGGTGGAGGCAGCGAGGAGTCACATCTGTGACCAGGTGGGACGAACAGGTGAGTGTTGACGTCAACGTCCACGTTGGTGTCTCACCTGCGTCCTCACTTCCACCCCTCCTGGTCCTCAGGTCTCTGGGCTCTAGTGAACAACGCAGGGATCTTTCCATGTCCAGCAGATGGCGAGCTTCTCCCACTCTCAGCCTTTAGACGCTGCATGGAAGTCAACTTCCTGTCGTCTGTCCAGATGTGTCAGAGTTTCCTGCCGTTGCTGAGACGCTCCCGAGGACGTATAGTGAATGTTTCCAGTCTGGCAGGTATGTGAGGATCCTGCTCACTATTGGTTGGTGAAATACTACAGACTCCGCCCCTTCTGACTCTGGTCCCTCCCCCTTGTAGCCGACTTACATATGCCGCTTATGGCGGCGTACTCGGCGTCCAAAGCTGCCCTCAGCATGTTCTCCAGAGTCCTGAGGATGGAGCTGTCACAGTGGGGCGTCCAGGTGGTCATGGTCCAACCCATGGGATTCAGAACCAGTGAGTTATGAAGACACTACGAGTAAACGATGACATCATGCGTCAGATCTTTCCAGCAACAGTTATCTCCACAGATGCCAAGGAGGATCTTTTAACATTCGATGTGGCTAACAAATTGCTAGTATGCTAAAATGTTTTGCTAATATGTGGAAAATGCATAAAAAGGTTTTACAAAAATGAAACAGGGAAGTTTAACATAAGCTTGAAGTCGCTTATAGACCGACATAGACTTCTAACAATGATGTAACTGATGACATCATTGTTTTCTGGCAGAGCTGTTTGGCAGCAGAGATTACATCAATCAGCAGAAGGCGGAGCTTCTGGCCTCTGTGTCCTCTGAGGCCAGAGAGGATTATGGGACGGCGTACATCTCGTCCCTGCCCGACTGTCTCACGACTATGTCTGACGATACATCGCAGGATCTGTCCCCGGTGGTGGACGCCATGTGTCACGCCCTGCTGTCCGCTAACCCCAGACGTCTGTACACTCCAGGGCAGATGGGATTTCTGCTGCCGTTTCTCTACCACCATTGTCCGGCAGCCATCTTTGATTACATCATCAATTTCATCATCAGATACAGAGAACCGCGTGCGTTTACTGTCCCAGAGTCCAACTGACCCACAAGACACACGCATGAATGACTCCCACGCCAAACCCCATGCAAAAAAATCAGTGATTTTAGCTCAGACCAAAGTCCATAAAATCAGTTCTTGAGTTGCTCATAAAAACTAAGGACTCGATCAGTGATTCCACATAAAATCAGTTATTGAGTTGCTCATAAAAACTAAGGACTCTTTAGGACCAAGCACATGGTTACAGTTTTTATTATAAACTAAGAGACAATAATGAACAGTCATCACTTCCTCTATATAGTAATAAATACTGATGATTGACAGCTGACCAATAATCTGACTCAATGATAAATCAACTCTCTTTCTGCTGCTCAAATTAATACATTTGCGAAAAGTGTAAAATCGTGTGTTTCATAAAAACACTTATTTTCCTTAAAAAAAAACAAAAAAAGAAAAACGTCCAGGATGTATAACAGTCTCTGATTGATTGAAATCCACGTCCTGATATTCAGTCCTGAGGTTTGAGGAAAACTCTCTTCCCATTTGTGTTCGTCACGTTCATGTTGACGTCTTCTTCTACGGCCGCACGTTGGCGCTTCTTTGCAAATTTTCTTTTCATGCTGTCGACTAAACTTTCATACCTGCAGGGGGCGAAAGCAAGGAAGACAAAAAATGAAAAAGAATTTTAAAAATTAAATAAAATGTTGAGTTTCATGTTGAATCTCCTGAGTTGCATTACTGCCACCTACTGGGTCTGTAAATATTGGTCAAGGTCACCTCCTGTGACCTTAAAAATTAGGTGTTGCAGTATCCTGACACTACAACTAACCTTTAAATGATTTTCAAACTCGCAACTAATTTGAGCCCTTGGCTGTTGTTTAGCTCTTGGCTTTCCTTGATCTACATTTACAAATTTAAAGTTCCTGGTCACATGTTCAGTATATAATCAGTGTTCAATCACTTACCTCTGAGCCATCTCCTCGTCGGTCACATCCGTCTGCATCCTGCCCGTCTCCACCTCCTCAGTCTCTGTTTTCTGTTTGGGATTCAGCAGCTCCATCAGTTTCTGTCACAAAAGAGAGAAATAAAAATGCTGAAGAGCCTGGACTCAGATGAACATGTTATAATTAGTCACAGAGACACAAACCTCCACCTCTGGATTAAAACCCCTGAAGGAGATGCGACCAAACACCAGCTCTTCACACGGACCGAAGCTCTTCTCCTCCATGATCAGGTTCCTATGCGATGAAACACATGTTTTTATACCAGTGTTTCGTCACGGCATCTCCCTGTGACATTAAATTGACAAGTTTGTGACTGGGGTTTGGTCCTGAACTTACTCTTTGGCCTTGAGCTCGGGCAGATCCAGGTACCAGTGTTCGTCACTGATGATCCGTTTCTCTTCATCCTCCAGCTGCTTTTTTGTCTCTGCGTCCAGTCCTCGCTGCATGAACTGATAAATGGAAAATAAAATAAAGTTTAAAATAAGCCGAGCGCTAAATTCAAACCACAACCAAGACGGTTTTCTCCATCAGCCGTTTTAACATAAATAAACAGCAGGATAAAACAGCAGCAACGTGATCTCGGTTCAAACTCACTTTACTGTTTGACTCTGCTTTAAATTTAATTCTCTTTTAAACCGTATTATTCAGTGAACCCTGTGTGAGATGCAGAACTTTTAACTTAACATTTAAAGGAAATGGTTGTTCTTTCTTAGACGAACAAGAAGAAAACGCAGCGGTTTTTGACTGGGGTTCTGCTGCTAACAGTAGCTGCTAGCAGTTTCTTCCAACTCACCTTCATCCGCAGCAGGTTTCTAGAAAGTTTGGTTGAATCCCCGCTCATTTTTACCACGGTTTTCCACACGGAGAAGCAGAAGAAAACACAAAGATTCTGCTCGTTCTGGACCTGAGTGTTACCTCCAACAGCTAATGCTAAAGTTAACCACGAGCTGCTGCCGTCGCACACAGAATGAGTCAAACAGCTTCCCAGAACAACCAATCGAGCTCCGATGTCGGGTAATCCGTGTTTATTGTTTAAATAATTGATTTAAAAGTTATATATTCCCACAGATCAGACATTATAAAATAATAATAATAATTATTATAAATTATTAACATTTGAATTTGAATTTAAAGGTAATTTATCAGCTTTGTCGCTGGTTTGATTGGTACCACCTGGTTCTTCAGGTGTCTGTGGACATGGCTCAGCTCAGCAGGTAAAACTTATTTTTCTTACTTATTTAAAACAAACACACTTTTCTTTTTCATACATTGGGTCGTTATATATTTTAAACTACCCACTTTAATTAGTATTTGGTAGCATGGTTAAAGACAGTAAGTAAAACCAGCTGCGCAGACACTTAGTTTAAATATCAAATTTAGCAAATATGAAGCTAACGGTGATTGAGTTGTGTTTACTTCCTGCTGGTTTGGTTCATAGTCTAAATCAGAAATCTCTCAACCACACAGCCGTTGTTGATCCACTGCTGCCTCCATCACTTTGTTATAGGGATGTCCGATACGAACTTTTTGCCGATATCCGATATTCTGATATTGTTCAAACACTCAATTTCCAAACCACTCTATGTGTTGCTGTCACCAACATTCTCCGTTCAACACCCTGATTATTAAAATTCGATTATTCGATTAATTAGATTAATAAAATGAGCTGCAATGCTGCCATCTAGTGACTTTCACCGTCATATGTATATATTTTTTATGTCATATATTTATCCCCCAAACTATTTTTAGGGCACACTTAATTTTGCCAAACCCATTTAGGTTTTCATTATCGTAAGAAAAAACAAGAATTCTTATGCATTCTACATAATTATGCTAATATCGGGACATCCCTACTTTGTTCAAATGTGTTATTTGGTTTTTCTGTCTGAAATCTTTTGTTTCAAAATGACACAAACTGACCAGAGGAGGCAGCATGTTTTTCTGTTTGAAATCTTTTGTTTCAAAATGATACAAACTGACCAGAGGAGGCAGCAGCGGACCTGTATTTTGTTTTGTTCGCTACAGTCAGTTGACTGATAACCGTTCACCTCCGACTGTGAGGTGAACGTCCACGGCCATGTATTCAAATCCACAAATGCGTGTTTTCTCCACAGGTTGTTGCTGCTGGTTTTCACGTCTGTCATCAACGTGTCCTCAGCTGCTCCTGCAGGTGAGAAGCTTCTTCTCCAACAGTCGTTTTCTTTATTATTTAAATCACATGACTGCCGTAAATCCCTTTGTTTCCCACCTCTCAGTAAGATGAGATCAGTTTTAATTTTTTATTTTTATCAGCACAAGGAAGAGGGTAATGGCAGCCTGTTTTTTTTCCTGGTAGGTTTTCGTGTCCTCCATCCTGATCTTCAGAAGAACAGAACTCCAACGATGCTCAGAGGTGCTGCAGGAACATTCCAGAGGGTTCTGCACGGGTCCCGGTCTAGTCCCTGGCCTACAGGCCAGCTCAGATCCTGGACCCCTGTCCAGAGAGAGAGTCAACTTGGTCTGTACCATAGTCCTCAGATCCAGTCCAGACAACCTCGGCTCCAACAGAGAACCTTTGGATTCAGGGTTCCTTTAATCAGGTTGGGTCTGGACCAGAAGAAAAATGGTGGAAGGATTCAACCGAGCAGAACCAACAGAATCGGCCCCTCGTGGTCTCAGGGTTTGAACATTGGTGGAGCAGGGAAACCAAAGCCACCAAACCTCCAGGTGAACATCTTCATACCAGTTCAGGCTGTGACCATCTACAGCAGGAAGGACCCTCGCAAACACCAGGGAACACTGACACCTGCTGGGAAGATTCAGACTAACTGGCAGCCAGGTCCAGAGTCTGACCCCACCCGAAGTGAACGTTTGTGGACACCTGGTGATGTAGTACAACAATCCCAACACCAGGGTCATCGACCCACTCAACCACGATACCCTGAAAACAAACCACCCACATCACTAGGACTCCAGGACCAGCCTGCACCTTCACCCCGACCCGGGACAGTGGAAGAACCAAGACAGTTTGTACCATCGTTCCCAAACCCTTCCCTTCTGAACCGGTACATTTCTAAACCTGCTGTTAGCCAACACCATGGAGAACTTCATACGGTTCCACAATACCCACCACAGGTCCACCATCCTCAGCCCCTAGAACAGGACCATCGTGTTCACACTAACACTGGGGTCCGACCCAGTGGGCCACGACCCTGGCAGCCAGTTACTCTTGACCTCCACTCTCTGCCTGGACTGACAGATTTCAGTCCAAAAGTCCAGAACCAAGACTCTGTGCCTGCTCCAAAACCAGTAGAACCTGAGCCTGCTCCCCCACGGTACCAACATCCAGGATTTATCAGTAGGCCCTCTTCTTTAGGTCCACACCAGCTGGACTCTGGTCGGACTGGACATGGTGATCTGTCCAGTTCGGACAGTCCTGGAACTTTGAACCCAAACCCTGAACACCAAACCCCACCCAGGCTCCATGGACTCGGCAGGAGACCCACTTACACAAAGCTCGTACTTGATGTGGACCACGGAGTGGACCGTGTTCTTGGCCCGGATGACGTTCCACATGAAAGATCTTCCACTGTTAATGACCCACTGGTTCATGGATCCTTTCCCAGAAGTTCTGGTTCTCAGTACAGACGGCCTGAAGGCGGAACTGAGCACTCCTAGTTCCCACTAAGACCACGCCTTCAACACCGGCACAGTCTGACCCTGGTCCACCGTCCTGGTCCACCGTCCTGGTCCACCGTCCTGGTCCACCGTCCTGGTCCACCGTCCTGGTCCATCCTAACACAGTCTGCCTTCTCCACCTGAGTCGATGTTAAAACGAGATGAGGTGGGAAACCAGAACCATGTGATCCTGGGAATCAGACGGATTATAAAATAAAAATTCACAAGAAAATCTGTTCTGTTCTAATGGTTCTCCATGTTCTCCATGTCCCACATGTTCTGACCACTTGTGCTGTGGCCTGTTTAAACTTTTTCCTGCTCGAGGCTGGAGAAACAGATTAGATTAGATTGAAGTTCACTGATCCCACTCTGGGGAAATGGTTGAAATCCCTGATGCCTTGCTAATGTCAGTTCAGCTGAGACTGGATTTCACTGTTTAACCTTCAGTGACTTTGTTTTTATTTTTAGTAGTTGTTTTTTCTGTGTATTTCAGTTTTTGTCCCAGTTTTTTTCTTTCAGGTGGTTTCATCTGAACCTTCTCAGTGAGTCACAGACTCCAGGTGGTTTTTTTTTCTTCATGCTCCACCGGCTTCAGCTCCACTCACTGACTGTTTCTCTGCTTGTTAACATTGGTGTCGAACAAACGTCTCAGTCCATTAAACCACCGCTCCGAGCAAAGTCGTGGTCACAGTGGAACAAACACAGAACTGAACGAGTAAATGTATTATCACAAAGGTAAAAATAAAAATTAGTTCTGATCTGACCTCCATTAGCTTTAATAAACCTGAGTTTTTGTTCACTTTCTGTCTCCTGAATATTAAACCTAAAAATCTTGGAATCATCCTTTAGTTAAAGTTTAAGTTCAGAAAGTCCGACGTTGGTCAAACAGGAGTCGTAGAAGGTCGTCTTCACTCAGGTGGAACCTCCTGGTTCTGCTCGCTGATCGTCACAGTCCTGGTTTCAGTTATGGTCACGGCCCCGGGCCCTTCCTGTTCGACTCAGGGTTGGGTATAAAGGCCCCTTCACTGACCGTGGGTCAAAACTCCGTCTGCTCTGAGCTGTGGATTCACTTGGTCCAGTCCAGATGGAGGGATCGGTTCTGGCCGATGGTGTCGGACCAGTTCGTCTCCTGCAGGTCCTGAAGTCTTCAGCCTCACAGTTGAACCCTCCTGCGTTCTACCACGGTGATGGGGACGGGAACAGCGTGGCGTCCTGTGGTTCTGAGGTTCTGTCCCGCTACGGTACACTGGATGCACCGCCACACCATGACTTCTACACCAACACAGAGGTGTGGGGGCGCCGTAGACGCTTCAGACCGTCTCTGTACGAGCTGTACACCAACCCTGAGGTACCGATCTCTCTGTTGATAGTTCTGGTTCCACTGGTTCTGCAGTGAACCAGCAGCTAAAATCACACATTTTCTCTATGAGGTTTGGTGTGGGAGAGTTGATGTTCATTCATGCCACAAACAAAGGTTGAATCCTCGTCCGCAGAATAACGGTCAACCTCCAGTGTATGAGGAGACGATGGGGGAGGACAGGGGGGGAGACAACAGTTCTGATGACTGTGACGACGAGCCCAAGGAGGCGCCAACAGAGCCGACGAGGTTCGGCTGGGTCCAGGGTGTCATGGTAAGAACGGAGGTTCTTCCGATAACGCTTGGCTAACATCAGATGTGATTTAGATAACCTTTAGCTAAATGTATTGGTGACTTTCAGCCATGTTCTAGCTACGTTTATGACTAATCTTAACTGAAGTTTTTGGATAATTTTTAGCCTTTAGCCTATAGCTCAATATATATAAGGCCATTTTCTTGGCTAACCATTAGCTGAACGTGAGCCATGTTCTTGAGCTAACATCTGTCATCTCTTCTTTCTCATCACAGATCCGCTGCATGCTGAACATCTGGGGTGTGATTTTGTACCTGAGGCTTCCATGGATCACAGCTCAGGCTGGGATTGGTGGGTCTCACACACACGCTCACACACACACAGACAGACAGGAAGTAATTCTCACTGCTGTGAACTTTGACTCCAGGTCTGACCTGGGTCATCATACTCCTGTCATCCTTCATCACTGGAATCACTGGTCTGTCCACATCTGCCATCGCAACCAACGGGAAAGTCAAAGGAGGTGAAGGAGGAGCAGACACACACACACACACACACACTTACTGTCAGTCAACTCAGAGATCCTCGACGTTGGATCTTTATCTTTGACTAATTTTTAACATGTTTAAATTATTAAGTTACGTTATATTTATGTTATCAGGTTTCTATTATCAGAGGAATAACCGATTCTTAAAGATATTACATAATTATGCTAATATCAGTCGACTGATATTATTGGACATCCCTGATGATTTTTTTTTTTTATCCCAGGCGGGACCTACTTCCTGATCAGTCGGAGTCTGGGTCCAGAACTGGGCGGTTCCATTGGACTGATCTTTGCCTTTGCCAATGCCGTGGCTGTGGCCATGCACACAGTCGGCTTCGCTGAGACGGTCACCGACCTGATGAGTGTGAGTCCAGAACTGCTGTGTTCTCTGTGGGAACAGCTGCTCAGAGCCTCATTGGTCAGAAACTGCTGATGTCATTGGAGGGCCCGGCTGGGAAAAAAAAAAAAATTATTATTAGCTATGTACATGGCTAACCTTAAGCCTTTTTTGGCTAACCTTCAAGTCAGAGATGAGCAGTGAAACATTTGATTGACGACCACTGACCTGATCTTGATTTAAATGTGCCACACAGGAGAGCGGCGCCGTCATGGTGGACCGCACCAACGACATCCGCATCATCGGAGTCATCACTGTCACCTGTCTGCTGGGAATCTCCATGGCAGGAATGGCCTGGGAATCCAAGGTCAGGATGCTGTTGACGTGTTATTCCAGGACCTGTTTGTCAGTCAACAGTGATTTTACAGCAAACGTTTTTATCAACGTGACATTCGGAGGCTCGGATACAAAAATAGGAAAATGGAAGAAAATTGTCCATTGAAATGTCAAATTTCAAAGTTTAATGAGTCAAACACTTAAATCTAAATATGTCAAATTTGTGCATAATTAGAAAAAAACCAAGCTAATTCTCGCCTGCTTCTGGTTATGACTAATTATTTAGTGTTCTCGGTCCCCGTCAGGCCCAGGTTCTCTTCTTCATCGTCATCATGGTGTCATTTGCCAGCTACATCGTAGGAACCATAATTCCAGCATCACCACAGAAACAAGCTAAAGGTTTCTTTAGCTACAAAGGTGAGGACCCACCTACTGTTCTGAAGACCGTTGACGTCCGACAGCTAACACGAATCATTTGTCTCCTGGTCCACAGCTGATATCTTCGCTGCTAATTTTGTTCCGGGCTGGCGAGGCTCCGACGGAAGCTTTTTTGGAATGTTCTCCATTTTCTTCCCATCCGCCACAGGGATTCTGGCAGGAGCCAACATCTCTGGAGATCTGAAGGTACTGGACCTGGTTTTCATGCCACTTCCTGTTCCTGTCCCTTAGGTTTATTACTTCAAGGAATGCTTTTTAAACTTGGTTCTTTTTTTCCCAGAATCCAACAGTGGCCATTCCACGGGGAACGCTCATGGCCATTTTCTGGACCACCTTTTCCTACCTCATCATCTCTGCCACCATAGGTCCTATGCTAACATGCTACCATGCTAACTCCTCTCCATCTTCTCCTCAGTGTAATGCTAAGCTAACTTAGAATTAACCTGTGTTTGTCTGAATTCCCTACCAGGGTCATGTGTGGTACGTGATGCATCTGGTGCGTTGAATGACACCATGTTATCGACCTCTGGTGACGACTGTGTAGGGTTAGCATGTCGCTATGGCTGGGACTTCAGTGAGTGCATCAACAATGGCACCTGCGCCTACGGCCTCATCAACCACTATCAGGTGACTGCAGTCTTAATGTTATAAGAGCAAATTTTTACGTTTTGAAAAAGTGAAAATGAAATAAAAGCGAAGTACAAACTCAGGAAGGGAAAATAATAAAAATGTCTTCCGCAAAAAAAGTTTGATGGATATAAAATAATAATCCAATAATGATAGAACATAAAAAAACACTCAGCAGTGCCTCTTGTGGTGAACATGTGAACTTCGATGTCCTTAGACCATGAGCATGGTGTCGGCCTTCTCTCCACTCATCAGCGCTGGAATCTTTGGAGCGACGCTCTCGTCGGCGTTAGCCTGTCTGGTGTCAGCGCCCAAGGTTTTCCAGGTAAACCTTCACACTTCACCTTTAGCTAACCTAAGTTCCTTTTATATATACTTGTTATTGTCATTTGTTGGTGTTTTTCATTTTATTACTGTTGTTTTTTCCAGTGTCTGTGTAAAGACAAACTCTACCCTCTCATTGGATTCTTCGGCAAAGGCTACGGAAAGAACAACGAGCCGCTGCGAGGATACCTCCTGACCTACGTCATCGCCGCTTGCTTCATCCTCATTGGTGACAAATCTTCACACGAACAACAACGATTATACAAAAATACACATTTATCTTTTATCTTAGATTTATATAGAGAGATAGAGGTTAAATAGTTTTTCTGACAAAGAGAAGAGAAGTTGTGTTGTTAGATAGAGGTGAAATAGTTTTTGTGACAAGAGAAGAGAAGTTGTGTTGTTGATGTCCTGTGGTTCCTTTGGTTCCTGTTGGTTCCTCCAGCTGAGTTGAACACCATTGCTCCGATCATCTCCAACTTCTTCCTCTGCTCCTACTCCCTCATCAACTTCAGCTGCTTCCACGCCTCCATCACCAACTCCCCAGGTGAGGAGTCAAACATGGAGGGGATTAGAACCTCGTCCAAAACTGCTCTGTTGAAAAACACAGTTTTACTGTTGGACAGAGAAGTTCTCCAGAAGATGGCGTTGTTTTATCTGCAGGCTGGCGTCCATCCTTCAGGTTCTACAGTAAGTGGCTGTCACTCCTTGGCGCCCTCTGCTGTGTGGTCATCATGTTCCTGCTCACCTGGTGGGCCGCACTCATCGCCTTTGGAGTGGTCTTCTTCCTCCTGGGCTACACCCTCTACAAAAAACCTGGTTAGAGTCGGACCCAAACCCTCAGTCAGGTACTGCAGAACCTTCCAGACCTTCTTGTAACCTCTGTCTGTACCCAGATGTAAACTGGGGTTCTTCAGTCCAGGCCGGGTCCTACAACATGGCCCTGAACCACTGTGTGAACCTCAACCAAATCCAAGACCACGTCAAGAACTACAGGTCAGTGATTAGGCTAGGATTACAGAGGTGGACTGGACTTGGACCACTCCCCCTGCCCCCCCACCATGGTGTTTTCTTTTTCTTTTTTCTCCTTCAGACCTCAGTGTTTGGTTCTGACTGGTCCTCCTAGCCACCGTCCAGCTTTGGTGGATCTGGTCCACAGTTTCACCAAAGGCCTCAGTCTGATGATGTGTTGCAACGTGGTCTCTGTGAGTACCTTCAGAATCTTCTCAGTACTCCTGGCCCCGGTCCTGGTCCTGGTCCTGTCCCTGGCCCTGGTCTCAGGTCTTCTGAAATGATTGCTTTTCAGGTTGGTTCTTCTTCAGGAGCGACACAGGAAGCCACCAGTGAGGGTCATGTGGTCTGGTTGAACCAGAGGAAGGTCAGGTCCTTCTACAGAGGAGTGGTGGCACCAGAACTACGGTCAGGGGTGAACATGCTGCTCCAGGTGGGAGACAGGTTCTGGTTCCTCTGGTTCTTCTTCTTTTGTTTCATAGTCTGACCTCTGTTTCTGCCATGTCATTTTTCTATCCAACAGGGGACAGGGTTGGGTCGTATCAGGCCGAATGTCCTGATGATGGGTTTTAAAAAGGACTGGCGCCGGGACCCTCCTCAGGCTGCCCACGACTACATTGGAATAATGCAGTGAGTCCAGAGTTCAGATCCTGACATGATCTTCAGTGAATTAACGAAATCTCCTCGCTCACCTAGCATGTTGCTATCATTTAGCTATCAGATTTCTTTGCTGAATTTAGCTGAACTTTTTTATCTCCTCCGTCAGTGACGCGTTTGACCTTCAGTTCGGTGTTTGTCTGCTGAGAATGAAGGAAGGACTGGACACATCTACGCCTCAGTCCCACAGTGAGAAGAGCTTTTCACACATTATCACAGTGAACACAGAAGTGCATGATGGGAAACTCCACTCTATTCCCTGTGTTATTTTTGTTTTGTTTCAGTAAATCCATGCTTTGATGGAGGATCAGAAATCATCACCACCGTCTCTGAAATCATCACATCGAACGTCAGTGAGTCGATGGAGAACAAAGATGAACATTTTTCACCAATAGTTGGATGTGGATATAGGATTTCAATCACAGAAGTCGGAAAATGACATTTGACCAAACTGAAGGGGGCGAAATCACATGACATTTGACCAAACTGAAGGGGGCGGTAGATGAACGACTGTGGTGTGACTAAAATGGAAAACACTTGTTTTCTGTATGAGGGTCCGGGTTAGCGTTTTTTAAACGTCAGTTTCCTGTTTGACAGTGACGTACGGATGTGAAAAAGTTCTGGTCTTCTGTCACTGTAGATCAAGAACTCCAGCCCAAAACGGTGTTTCAGAAGAAACAGGGAAAGAAGACCATCGACATCTACTGGTTGTCAGATGATGGAGGTGAGGCTGACCTCTGTCTGTCCTCCACCCACGTCTTGATCCACCCCTTTTTTGATCTTACTTCTTCTTGATTGCTCTCTCCAGGTCTGACTCTTCTTCTACCCTACTTGCTGACTCGTAGGAAGCGCTGGTCCAGGTGTAAAGTCAGAGTCTTCGTTGGAGGAGACGCCGATAAAAAGGAGGAGCAAAGGGCAGAGTCAGTAAAGTTTTGTTAATTACTCACTTCCTGTTAGAAAGTGTTGCATCATTGCCTTCACCAGGGACCGAACGTTATAGCAGCATGTTAGCAAGGTGTTAGCTTTATTAGCAAAAATGTAGCAACATGTTAACTTTCAGCTATTTCTTGGCTCTTTCCAATCTCTACTGCCCTCTTCAGGAATGTGGGAGAAGGGTTGGTGGACTGAAGCCAATCCCAGCGTTAAACCAACCGTATATGAACAACCTGTGAATTTCCAGATAATCACTTCATCATAGTGTTCTTATTTATGACACACTGATCTGGTCCTCAGCTGTTTGACCATGACCCTGGGATTGGTACCCGTCCAATCACACGCTCGGTCTCACTTTTCATCCTTTCTTTCAGAGTCATGGCGCTGATAAAGAAGTTCCGTCTCGGTTTCAAAGATGTCGAGGTTCTTACTGATATTTACCAGAGCCCTCAGCCGGGAAAGTACGTCTGCTGAAATTAAAAGAACAATGGTTGAGGTCACAGGAGGTCACAGAATGTGTGTGTGTGTGTGTGTCTACAGTGTGCATCAGTTTGAGAACATGCTGAGTCCTTTCAGGTCTGAAACAAAACCCAAACATGATTTGGATTCTGCGTCACAGAGTTCCGAAGAGGAACCATGGACCATCACAGATCAGGATTTAGAGAGGAATTGGGCAAAGGTCCGTTACACACACACACATACACTCACACATACACACTAACAAACCCACACACCTCTGTTTCATTTGTGAATTCCAGAGCCTCCGTCAGATCCGTCTGAACGAGGTTCTGCAGGAGTTCTCCAGAGACGCAGCTCTGATTGTCATGTGAATGTTCCACAGTTTTCTACAGTTTTATTTTATTATTTGTTTAAGGTTCCACTTCTCATCAAAAATCTGTTTTTCCTGACAGAACCATGCCTGTAGCCAGGAGAGGGCGCTGTCCTACAACACTCTTCATGGCCTGGCTGGATTTCCTGTCACGTGACCTGAGAGCTCCAGTCCTGTTGGTCAGAGGAAACCAGGAGAATGTTCTAACCTTTTACTGCCAGTGACTTCCCATCGTCTGATCCATAGAAATATTTCAGTCATTTATCGTCTGTCTGGTCGCCTGTCTGAGATCACAACAAATCATCTGGACTTGTTTCAAAGATGCTGTGATGTTTAATAAATCTGCTGTTTTTAATTCATATCAGTCTCACTGAGTTTTCTCTCACCTTTCAAGTAGGGATGTAAGAATCGTAATAGTTTTTTCTTCCGATAATGAAAACCGAAAACACAATGCCTGAGTTTCACCAAATAATGTGTGACCTAAAAATGGTTTAGGGGATAAACGGTTGTATATTAAAGTGAAAGCCACTAGATGGCAGCATTGCAGCTCATTTTATTAAACACTGATTAATTAAGATAAATAATTAAATAAACATTACTAGGCCTATATCTGTATTAGTTGATATCAGAATCAGAAATGTTAGAAGTGTTAGGACAATAACCGCATATCGGATATTGGCAAAGAGTTGATATCAGAAATACCTACTTTTAAGGAATCAGTTTAAAGTTCCTTTCTACCATACTTTCAAAATAAAAAATGTGTCTTTTAGTACCTTTATGATAATAATAATAATTTATCTTATAATGTGTATAGTAAGTATTATTATTATTATTATTATTATTATCATCATCATATTACTACTGTCTTGACGTTACATGACTGACGCAACACCGCGGATATAAACAAATATCTACTTTCGCTAAACGAGTAGAGAGAAAGTAAAGACACGAGTTCTTACTCTATTTCACGGACACCTGCATTGTCGTAGTTATGACTTTAACGTCAAATACGTTTAAGTAACTGTGACATGGTGTAAAAAAAATGACTAAATAACGATTTTCCATATTTCTTTTATGAACGTGTTTGTTACATTTTGGGTTGGGGATTCAAGACGTAATACAGTAATACAGTGAGACATCATCTCTCTGCAACTAGTTCGGGATTCAAGACGTAATGCGATACAGTGAGACATCATCTCTCTGCAACGATACCAATTTTCATAAATAGCCACTGCGCATGCCCAATAGAAGAAACAAACCAGAGAGAGCCCACGTGTGAGCTCCAACCTTTTTGACCAATCAGAAGCGGCCACAGCTGTGTTTGCCAACAACAGCGTTGATCGGTTTAAAAAGAAGAAGAAGAGGAAGAAGAGGCAGCAGTAGAAGAAGAAAACGATGGAGGCGGAAGATCGTGAACGAAACAGCATCAGTCTGATCGTTAAATCACCGAACCAGGCGCTGGATCAGCATAGACTGGACCAAGTGAACCTGAACTGGACCGTCAGGGACTTAAAGATCCGTCTGTCCCGGGACTTTCCAACCAAACCGGTATTTAAACGGAACTAGCTCAACTTTTTTAGCCGCTAACTTTAGCTCTGTTTTTATATCTAAAATGTTATAATGAATAAAACAAATAACTATTAAAAGTTATATAACTCTATTTAAAATGCTTGCTTTAAATATTATATAATATATTATATTATATTGTTATATTATATAATATATATTAGTTTATAATCGTTGTTATCCTATATACCTAATATTTTAGATGCGACAAAAACAGTTTTAGATCTATAAACTTTTTTTTATTGTTTTAACGACAACTTTTACCCCATAATATTTGCATTTGTTTACATATATTATTCCCCAGGTTAAACTTAAGTCTCGGGTCTTCTGTTGATTTAAATAATTTCTGGTGTGGGTGTGTGTCGCGGTGACAGCTGGTGCGCGACCTTGTGTGTGTGTTTGTGTGTGTGTGTTTCAATACAGAAGTGAAACAGCTGCACAGATAAACATTTTCACATCGGATTTTTTTTCTTCTCCAGGATGTGAAGGAGCAGAGACTGATCTACAGGGGGAGACTGCTGCCTGATCACCTGCTGCTCAGAGACACCATCACACAGGTTTGTCGGCACAACGCCACGACCTCATCTGATGAGAGTCAGGATAAAAATCACAATAGATCCTAAGAATCCTGAGATTGAAGAAAAGGCATCAAACGCCCCCTGCTGTTGGAGTGTGTGTTTCATTCTTTTTAGTTTTGTGCCATTTTAAATGATGATATTTATCTTTCCTTTCTCAGGGCGACTTTGTTCCCACAATTCATCTGGTCTGCCCCTTCAGGAATGTGACATGTGAACCACAGGGAACTAGAACTGAGGTGAGAAGAACTGGATTAAAAAAACGGAAACGTATTTATTTTAGATTTTATAAATATTAAAATAAATGAAGTGATCATGAACTTCAGTCTGAGCTGAAGAGTCAAAGTAACTGGAACTGTATGTTGGCAAAGGAGACATTATCAACAGAATCTGTTCTTCCCATATCACACAGTCGGAAGATCCACAAAGGAACACGTCAGGGTCTGCCGAGGCTGAGCTGAGACTGAGGAGGAACGCCACCTCCTCCTCCTCCTCTCCCTCTTCCTCCACCTCTTCTTCACACTGGGGCAGTGCAGCTAACGAAGCTGAAAGGTAGAGCTGTCAAACCTCAGTCCCAGCCTCGTCTCAACGTTCTCTGTGTTTAAGACTGAACTTTTTAACTTTTAAGATCATGTGATTCTCTGCAGGTCCACAGGCCCACAACTGGCTCCGCCCTCTTTTCCAATCTACTCCCTGTACAGCGCTGAGCAGCAGTGGTGGCTGCAGCATGTCTACGCTCAACAGTACTTCCTGCATTAGTGAGTGTCTTTTTTATGTCACTTCCTGTTCAGTCAGAACACCGACTCATCACAAATCTCCACCGACAGTCAGGCAGCCATGGCCGCAGCGAACATCGCCTCGGCCCCCGAGCAGCCTCCTGTCCCCGTGCCCGCCGTTGTACCAGTGGCTGCCCCAGTAGCCAATCAGAACCACGTCCCCAACATGCAGAATGCAGTACAGGACGGGGCCCTGGTGGTGAGGGGAGGCGAACAGAACCTCCGTATGAATGCCCAGGGCGGACCCATGATGGAGGAGGAGGACGGAGAGGGACGTGATTGGCTGGACTGGTTTTACTCTGGCACCAGATTCGCTGTTCTGCTCGCTATCATTTACTTCAACTCCAACCTGACCCGCTTTCTGTTGGTGATGAGCACGCTGCTGATTATGTACCTGTGAGTACTGTGTTTAAATGAACATGTGTGTGTGAACAGTTGAAACACATGACTCCACGTTCTACACAGACTAACCACAGTCACTTCCTGTCTTACAGACACACGGTGGGATGGTTTCCCTTCAGAAGACCTGGTCCGCAGAGACCTGATCCTCTGCAACAGAATCTCATCAGGGCCCCAGTAAGACTCCCCCGCTCTCCCCTCCCCCCCCCCACCCCCGCAACCCTTTCCCACTTCAGTTTTTTAGTGTATTTACATCTATTGTTTTTCCCAGGAGGAAAACCAGATGCAGGGGACGGAGCCTCCTCCACCTCCTGCTGCAGAAGACGAACCAATGAGAGCAGTTCTAGTTCCTCCACACCAGACTTCAGCGATGTGGACTGCCTGGGTTTTCTTCAAAACCTTCTTCTCTTCACTCATTCCTGAGGCTCCTCAGGGTTTGGTCAACTGAGCAGCTCAGACCTGGACCTGATCCTGCACCTGGACCTGAACCTGGGCCATACATGAAAGAGTTTATATCTGTTGAGGACAGAAATCACACTCCAAACCATGGACTCGACATCACACAAGGGTGTTTCAGTTGTACAGTACCAGGACTAAACAGTAGATGGCGGTAGCTAAGGAAGCCTAAGCAGAAAGCTGGATCAAAAACAGACTTAAAAAAACTTGTAATTTGTAATTTTTTAAAAAATGTAAATTTCAAGATGACTAAATTATTTTTGATTTTTTTTTTTTACTCTCTAACAGGTCAACAAAATGTTTTACTCTGAATGTATAATATGTGATGAAATGATAGTTGGATTTAAAATAATAAAAAGTAAACTACCATGAAGCACTTTACAACTTCTGTATCTAATGTGAGTTACTTTTTTACATCCCATTTTAACATAGAAATTTGATTTATATAAAATTAACAACAAAAGTTTTTGTTGTTTCAATAAATATTTTTAATATTTTATTTCATTTGGGTGCAAAATAAACATAATAAATGCAATAAAACATTGATTACGTGCCCGTTTTTTCCCCCAATTGTATTTCATTGCTGGATTTACATGAATAAACTTTGTTTATTTGTAATTTTGTGAATGTAAACGCTCATTTTCATTGCATTTTAGGTCGTTTCCGGTGGCAGAAAGAAAGCTTTTGTTTTGAAGCCCATCTCGTCCATTTCCTGCTGTGAACTTTTCTCACGCTCAGGAACCTGACAGTGAAGAAACACGTACAGTGGCGTAGAATGGAAGCTTAGTGACAAGTGAAAACTGCACATTTATGACGTAAAACCGTGAAGTAAGTTTAATCACAGCGACAGGAGCTGTAACATTTTCGTCTGCCGTTTGTCTTTAATTACGTTGGGAATTTAGCGTTAAGTTTTTCGGGATGAAAACATTAAGACATGCAAACAGTACGAAATAACGACGCCCTCTTTGAGTGACGTAATGTCAGTCAAACAGGTGTCACCATAAAAGTCAGAAAACAAATTCATATTTACATTAGTTAAATAAATCACCGTCAATGTTTAAACCTAGGAATAAAAAAAGAAGTTATTTAGTGTGAGCGTGTGGTGGTTCGATCGTTCAGCTCTTCTGTATCCGTCAAACCATATCTGGACAACTGAGAACTTCCGGTTTGGAACACACAAAAAAAAAACAGACGTTTTCAAATATAGAATAATTAATGTGTTAGCCTTTATTTCTCACTGAACCTTGGTTACAGACAAAACCAAAAGCAAACATTTAAATAAGAAGCTAATCATTTGTATGTCATTGTACCAAAAGGCAAGAAGACATCATGTTTCCCGTTGACCTCTTGACCCTAAACGATGTGGTCATGTCATCGCCATTTGTTCTCCTTTGTGAAGACATCATGTTTCCCGTTGACCTCTTGACCCTAAACGATGTGGTCATGTCATCGCCATCTCAGAGCTACATGGAACATACGCAGTCCACCTCCAGCGGAACATTGTGGTTTCATTTATCGCAGACGTTGAAGGTGGAAGTGGAAATTTCTTACATTTTGAAGTTTGTCTGTGTTGTATGTGTTTTTTAACTTTTATTTTTTACAGATAAAAATAGACGAAGACAACATTCGCAGGGTTCCGCTGTTTGACGATGAAGAACCAGACTCTTCAGTGCTGACGCTTCAACACCCTGAGGATCCTGAACGAGGTTTAAAGACACAGGACTTTGTTCTAACCTGTGTACTGGTACACAGTCAGTGTGTACTGGTACACAGTCAGTGTGTACTGGTACACAGTCAGTGTGTACTGGTACACAGTCAGTGTGTACTGGTACACAGTCAGCGGTGATTGTGCTGTGACACTGGGACAGGCCCAACATTACAGACCTTCACTACAAAACAACTGTTGACAGTGTCATGTCTTTGACTCTCCAGTGGCTGCGCTGTTTCTTTGTGGGAAGTGGTGGAGCGTGGAGAGCGTTTTACAAACCTCCTGTGATGCAAGATCTGGCTTAGTGTTGGTACGTCACTGATTTGTTGCGAGGGTACGACAGAAAGTTATTGACAGGTATAAGTTTGTTTTCACCTGTACCAGTGAGTGTGTTTTCTGCAGGTGCAGTCGATGGTGGAGAGGGTGATCATGTTCCTGCTTAGTCGTGTGGTGGACAGGCCTCACCAGCAGCAGGCGCTGTTCTCTCTTCACCCCCGCACCGAAACAAGCAAACTTCTGTGGCGAGACGGACAGGCGGTCGGTTTTTACACCATCAAACTCAAAGGTTTGGCGAAGGCAATGGAAGAAAACCCTGAACCTAGCAGTTAGCTGGCTAACAGTTGTATTTCTTTACTGTGTTTCAGTGAAGTGTGTTGACATACAAAAATTAGTACGAATAGCTAAAACTAGCTCAATCTGGACTAAAATTACTTATATTTAAAAAATAATCTGTGATTCAAAGCCGAAGAAAGAGCAGTTATTGATTCACTGCTGCCTCCTGTGGTCATTGTGTGTCACTGAAGTGAAGGTAGAACCACAGATTTATTTCTGGAGGCAGAAGTGAACCCCCGCAGCTCCTGTGTCAGTGGGACCTGATAGCATTGGTTTTCTCTGTGGGGGGTTTAGTCACTGAAACTCTCTCAAATTGTCCCTGGTGAAACAGGAAGTCTGTGCGATGGCTGGAGCGGCCGCTGCTTTCTGCTTCCTGTTCTGGACACAGTAATGGTGAGACGGGGCTACAGGAGGCGGGGCTTTGGACTTGAGATTCTGCAGGACTTTTGCACCTGGTTCTCCTCAGAGCAGTTCCTGGGCCTCAGTTCTCCGTTATCATATAGCATGGCCGCAGGTGATACTGTCTCTGATTGGCTGTGAAATGGCGGTTAGTCAGTACTGCATTGAATACTCACAGGTACTTCTGTGTTTTTATCTTTCTTTTTTCAGTGTGTAGAAAGTTCCTTCAGCATCACGTAGAACATCGGGAGCGTCTGTATGAAGTCCAGGCTCCGGGCGACTGGAATCAGCGACGTAACATATGGTTGAACCTCCAGCTGAGAAGCTACGAACCGAGTAGTGAGGAGACACAAGAACGGGAACATGTTTATTAAAGACTTTTTTTCATCATTACAGCGAACAAATGCTTTATTATTATTATTATTATTGTCATTTCATATTTAAATGGAATGTTTTGTTGAAAAATAAAAGGGTTAAAAGGAGGCAGCGTTAATATATGTTAATATATATTATATATACTGCATTATTGTTGTGTTACGGTTGTTGTTTATATGACAAGTCAACTAGTATTCTGAGTCAAAACTCATTTAGAGAAAATTCACTAATTTATACAGAACTGTTATAATATTTTATAATAATAATTTATTTTTTAGTAGGTAAAAGTTGTCCGACCGCCGACGGCGCACCCGAATGCAGCACCGAGCGTTCCTTGACAGTGACGAAACAGGAAGTCGGGAAAAGGGAAAACCAAACCAGGAAGTGGAAAGAAAGCAGAAAAGTTACTAAAGGTTCTATGTAAATAAAGTGAAATTATGAGCCGCATTTACCACGACACGTCTCTACAGAACAAACCGGTCCACAACGAAAACTTTGACAACGCGTGGTCTCCTGCCAAACACCAGAGGTAGGTTTGTTAAGACGTAAATAATTTCCACCGAGACAACGTTCCAAAATAACACAGATAACACACATAATGTTCAGCTGCGTCTGTATACGACTGTAGAATTATTCATCAATCTGCGTTTTAAAGCAATTGGTTGTAAAGACGTGCAGTATTTGGAGTCATTTAATGCACGCAGCGACACGCCGCGGTGAGTTCGAAAAGTACATAGGCGTACATGAATGTACATGAACTGACTCAACATACTGTACGTCTCTATAACAACGTGTTTTATATTTATATATATAGAAATATACTGTATATGTGTGTGTGTGTGTGTATTAATTAATTTATTTAAACCATCGTTTTAATTTACTAGTGGTTCAATTTCACAGTGGGCCGGGACTCCTGCTGGAAGGAAAAGTCCTGGACTTTTCCAGACACCAGATCACCGACATCAATCATCAGAAGGTATCACCACAAAATCAATCCTGTCCCCCTCAGTGTTTGTCTCTGAACCTGGATGTCTGGTTCTGAACAGGTCCGGTTCTATGTGCTCTATGTCCAACCCTCACGTATCCACAGGAGAAAGTTTGACTCCAGCGGTAATGAGGTGGAACCAAACTTTAGCGACAGCAGGAAGGTGAACACTGGCTTCCTGATGTCTTCCTACAGTAAGTCACAGTCCAACGTACTCACATCTAACATTATAGCCATGTGTTAGCGTTTCTGTCCAACGTCTACCTGGCCTTAGCCACTTTTGGATATTTTGGCTTACTTTTAGTCATCAGATATTTTGGTGTGTTGATTCTTCAGTCTTTAAAAAGTTCTTGTCACTGGTCCTTCCAGAGGTTGAAGCTAAAGGTGAGTCTGACCGTCTGACCCATGAGGAGCTATCGGCCATAGTCAACAAGGACGAGCTAGTGAAAATAACCGACAGGCACCGACCCATGAATTCCTGGGCCTTCTGGTACCCAGAGACGGAGATGGAAAAGACTGAGCTGGAGATGGGACAGGAAGTCCGACTGAGAACCAGAGGGAACGGTCCCTTTATATGTGAGGATCTGGACTAAAATCATTCTTTTCTCTTTGGATTTGGAATTGGATAGTCTGAGAAAATGTCATATGTTTAAACTAAATGTTAGCAAATCTCTGCCTAACTTAGATTCACTTTGAAATTTTATGTGTGAAATAGAGACTTTTTGAGGCTAATTTATAAGGTGAAGCCAAAGTGAACCCTCGGAAAGCTCATCTTCTGCTTTAGCTAATATTTCGCTATTTCCCATATTGCTACATTGGCTAATTTTAAAGCTATTCTAGCTTTAGTTTCTCAATAGATAATGCATTGGCTAATTTTAAAGCTACTCTAGCTTTAGTTTCTCAATAGATAATGTTTAGATACTAAAACTAACTCTTGGCTACTAAAGCTAACCATTAGCTACTAAAGCTAACTCTTGGCTGTTTTAACTGGCTGCTAAATCATTGACGCTCCTTGATATGGTTTTGTTTCCAGTCTCCGTAGCTAAACTAGACCATGGCTCAGTTAGTAGGTGTAACTTTGCTGGAGATGAAAAGGCTGGAGGATCGTGGACGGACAAGATCATGGCCAGGAAGGAGGAGACAGCAGGAGGAGGAGGAGCAGGAGGTGAAGGAGCAGAGGAGGATGAATGGGTGAGTTCACCTTTAATTAGTCCAGTCAGTAAATATTATTATTTATTTTATTTTCTCCTTCTCCTCAGGAGGACTGAGTCCACTTCACCTTCCCCTGGATCTCCACCTGGTCTTCAGCTATCTTGACCTTTGCCCATCGACCCTGACCTTGAGGTGACAGTTGAGTTTGAGAGACTGCAGCTCAGATACTTGGACCAAATCTCATAGAGAAAATCAGTGATTTTAAGACAGAGAAAAACATCTCACACAGAAAATGGTAACGTTCTCAAACACTGCCGTTAATATCCAGATCAGGATCTGTTTTCTTATTTGTTTTTGTCAAAGTTCTAATGCTTTAAATAAAATTCTGTTTTTTTTAAATAATCTGTTTAAACCTGAAATGTTCAGAACAAAATAAACAGTTTGCCAACAATTACTATTACGTAATCTTGCTTTTTTATAAAAAACTAGTCAAAAGTCTGGAATAAACTAAAATTATCTCAAAGTGACTAAGTAATCAGTAAAGAATTGATGAAACGTACAAATTTGTATTTAATCAAAATAAAGATTTGTCATAAAACACTTATTAGAGATGTCCAATATTGTCGGCCTTACTCCTTTAATATAAAAAAGCAACAACTTGTTTATAAAAATAGTAAAAATGCAGATTTTAAAAGTTTGGATTTAAAATATTGATGATTTTATATTGATTACAACATTAACTGGATCAGTTTAGCCTGATCAGTTTCAAATGTGTGTAAAAGTGAAATTGATCCATCATGAGCAAAATGTCCAACATGACTAAAAGTGAAATTGCTCCATCATGAGCAGTTAGCGTCAGGACAACGCTGTAACGATGTCTTCGTCAGTGCTACGCTGCAGCTTCATGTAGAAACCACCGGTGAAGAATGTCTCTGTGCTCGTGGACCCACTGGATGTTGACCTGGACTTCCTCGATGCATTTCTGGGCATCGACACTGTGCTGCATGTTGTTTTCCACGAAAAACTGCTGCATCTGCAAAAAAAAAAAGAAGAGACAAACGAAGAGATATGAAGAGGAACAGAAACACTGAGCCGTCCAGCGGTCACTGAAGCAGCTGAGTTACCTGTTCCAGCTCAAACTGTGTGGAGAAGCGACTGGTGATGCTCTCCAGCAGCCCTGCAGACACCCTGGTGGCAGGAGACAGTAAGTAAGGTTTTTGGGGTTTTTTTTCTGACATATTCACATCACCATTGATCTGCTCTGATTCAAAGTCAAACTGGTCTGGTCTGATTGACCTGGTTAACTGTCAATATATGAAACAACAACAGAAGAGAAAAAACAGGAACTGGAAAGAGTTCCTTTCTTTACATCAGTGGTTCTTCTTGGGGACAGAGAAGTTTTCACCTGTACATAAAGCTCCTTGTTGGTATCGAGGGAAACTGATGACCTTGAACCTGTCATTATCATCTGGGTTTTATTGTCTCTATGTCATGACATACGGCTCGTAACACTTTGTGATATTACAGTATCTCATCTCAGTATGATGAAATCATCTCTGGCTCGTCTCCACCGCAGTTGACCTTCTGGTACAACCTACCCTGGGATTGGACACAAGCTGGAATCCAACTCAGGACCTTCTGCTGAGCAGGTGAGAATCCTCCCACTGCACCACTATAACCACCGCCTCATGACTGAGATACTGCACAGATATATCATATGGTTGATCCTGCATCGTGATCGGTATCATATCATATGGTCACATTTTTGAGACAACACAGAAGGTGAACATGGAGATGTTGATCTGGAGAACGGGCTTCTACGGTGGTGTTGTTGGGAGAAACAGACGACGAACGTATAAAAACCACAGAGAACAAAGTTCCCTCCTCAGGTACTTGTTTATTATTACTTTAAACTGTGACTGTGGCAGAGAACATTCCTGGAGGAGCTGTAGAAGTTCATCACAGAGAAGGTTCTGGAATCGCACCAGTCACTGATATATATACAAACTTTTAACTAAAGGTCTTTTCTTCTGGAATCCATCAAAACAACCACAGGGTAAGGCAGGAGCACCAGCCACTTTTCCACTGCGTGGCCCTACCTCACAACAAACATCTTCAAGAATTGGTCCATGGACGAAAACCTCCTCAGGTTCAACTTCTTCTGCTGCCAGTCAGGCGAGTAGGAGGAGCAGGAGGAGGAGGTGGACGCGTTCTCCTGGCAGGTGTCTCCATAGTAGGATGACAAGGGGAAACATTTTTTGTTTCTTCTACTGCTGAAAAAACTCACTCTCCCCAGAGAACAGACCTGTTCCCGCTCCTGCAGCTGCTCTTTCAGAATCCGCAGGAGGTGCTCCTCGAAGTGCCAGTCTCCGGCAAACATGGCCTCTGCCAGGCGACGTGCAGACAGGTACTGCCACACCAGCTTCCTGTAGACCTTCTTGTGGATTTTCTCGACTTTGTCTGGGAAAACAGGACTGAGTTTTCCCACAGTCCTCGATTCCAGACGCTCACGTAAACTTGTCATGTTCGTGAGAAACAACTGTCGCCGCTTCCCACCACGTTTGGCGATGTAGGAGAAGAGTTTTTGTAGGAAGGCAGCGATAAAGTAACGGTCTCTCTCCAGCAACTCCTCGTCACTATACTCCAAGTGGGACGAGCAAGGATTGGCTGCCGAGTCCAGGTCCTGGAATCCAGACCTGCCTGGAGGGAAATCCTCTTCACTGAGATCTTCAGATTCAGATCTGGCCTGGTCGCAGTTGTCGTTCCAGAGACTTGGATTTTCCTGATCCCTGTATGTCATCTCACTCAGAACTGAAGAACCAACTGAATCCTGGTCTCGGGAGTCTTCAGGGAATGGCTCGGGTGTTTTTGGATCAGCGAGACGCAGAATGATCGCAAACCGTGTGACCACACTTTTGGGATCCATTAAACTCACCGGAGGCTTAACTCGGAGTTTCCCCGACTGAGTGACGACAGCGAGCGCGGAATTCACCCTGTTGGTAACCTCGGCTGCAATTAAAGTCCTCATTCTGTACGCAGATGCCGGTTGTGAACGCAGACCTAGCGCCGCTTCCAGCCCGTAGTCGACAGAGTTTCCCAGGCATTCCAAAATTTCTTCCTCCGTCACGGTGATGTTCTCGCAGTTTTTCCTTAGGCTGACTCTGGAGACGGCTTTGGGCAGCACCTCTTCGATGATCCGATCGCTGATCAGTTCTACGATCAAAGAAACCGTTTCCGTCAGCAGACTGACATTTTGTGGAGTCATGTTAAAGATGACGATTTTCCGCTCCTTCACCGAAGGATACGACTCAGAAATGCACTGTGTAAGAAGTGTTTCCATGGTTATTCCGAGGAAGGGCGGAATGCCCCAGTTTCTGGTCCTGGTGTTCTTCAGCTGGTCCTCAGCTGCTGAAGGAGGTGTTTGGTTGTTGCAGGAGGACGGAGCCTCGTCTATGTCAACCACCGTGTTCCTCGGGGAACTGAACTCTTCTCCTCTTTTCCGTTTCTTCACTGTCTGTCGGGCTGCCGTTGGCGTCCGTACTCGTGTGTTAGCCTTCACAAACGCCGTCACGTCTCCATTGGTGTCAGAAGATCCACTCCTGGTTCTCCTTTGCCTGATTTGGTGTTCGTCAGCACTTGACCCCCACAACGTTGCATTTCTTCCTCCCATCACTTAAAAAAAGAGCTAATGTTCCAGGTCAGACGTCGACTCTCATGAATGGTTTCACCGTCTACCATGATGCATCACTGCATTTGTCCTGGCGTCTTTCTTCACAAACAATATATTCTATTTTCTTCCTCTGGATTTAATCGGCCACAACTCAGTGATGCTACTTCTTCTTCTTGTACATTATTAGGGCTTTACATTGGGACCACCTTGGTTTATTACCACCACCACTACTACTACTACTACTACTACTACTACTACTACTACTACTACTACTACTAATTTTCCTGCTCCTGCTTCAATACAGTTGTTTCTCCTCCACACCCTGTGGGGGCAGCAGAGTTGCACGACTACTCTTCGCCATCTTTTTTATGGTTTGAAAAATGCAGTGTGTTGTCGTGGAGTTTTTTTTTACTTTGTGTTTTGACTTGTGTACGTTTCTCGTCTTTGACCGTTATTTCAGGCTAGTTCTCGTCAGTGGTCCACTTTCAGAATTCTCACTGCTTGTTGTTAGTCTTTGTGTCAACAACAACTGTCAACAAACATATCATTGCATGAATGCCTGTTTTGAAGTATCAAAGGATTCTGGGAAAGATCCAAGGATCAAAAGCAACGTCTGATGCCAGAGTTGGCTCCACCCACTCTTCACTCCATCCTACTTCCTCCCTTCCCTTCTTCTCTTTTTCTGTCCTTTCTTTCCTCCTTATTTATTTCATCTCCCCCCCCCCAGAGGCACCAGGAACTCACTCATTTTCGACATAGTCCCAGTTAGCTCTGACGAAGTCCCAGGCCGGTGCTTGTCCTGCGACATTCCTCACTACAAAGCTGATGATGGAGGCAACATCTGCCAGTCTGATTTTTTCTGGATCCAAAGTGTACTGCAGGTACCTGGAAGAACAGGTATAGTACTGATTAAATCAACGGTTCTACTGCTAAAAAATAATACCAGATAATTCGTTCCACATGTGTGATTTTCAACAGAAACCATATTAGGAGGATATTGAGCAGGAACCATTGACAGCACCAGGAAAGTACCAGGTAATCTGGGACCCTACAGTCATTACGCTGGAAACTGTTCCTGGTACTTGGTGAAATTGATAGTTTGTGTCCAGATCTTTGGTCTTTACCTGTTGAGAGATGGTATTTTCTTAGTACAGGACAGTGCTTCTTTGAGATGTTCCTTCTCTGATATGTCGATGGAATTTTCAAACATCCTCCAGGCAAACTCCCACTCTGCAACTCCACCAGCGGCCACACCGTGGCAGTAGATCTCAGAGCGGAGGTTGGGATGGATACTTGGACAGGAAGAGTGAGAGACACATACAAACTTCATTATTGAACTCTAGGTAAGAAATCTGGGCCCAAAAACCTGGCCAAGCTAAGCATGCTAACACCGGAATGTAGTAGCAGTTCATTACTTTAGTAAAGGAGTAAAAAATGCCAACTTTAGTAAAGGAGTAAAAATTCTAAAGATGGTGCAGTTGGGGTTTTTACCTGTAGTCGGTGTTGTTCATCCACTCAGAAAACATGGTTCTAGCCATCGACACGCACTCAGGCAGTCCACTGGAGCAGCCCAGATTGATGGCCAGGACCTGGTTGTGTCTACGATGAAATTAACGTGGAACAAAATCACAAATATTTATAACCACAAATCGCCCGGGGGCGGGGGGTGGGGGGGGTGGGATTAATAAAGTTCAAACTATTCTAATCTTAACACTATATTAGGCTTTGTTGAGTTTAGGGATTAGCTTGAGCCATTACTGAGTTAACTAAAGTTAGCTAACTTTTATCTACTTTACAAAAGTGGCTGAATTGTAGTTTTTAGGAGCTGCGTTATATAAAAATAATTATTAGTTGAATTTTGGTAAATTTCATGTATGTAAACAAAAGTTGAAGAATTCAAAGCTCACTGTGAGGTGTGGTCCTGCGGGACTGCGGCTATATCCGTGTAGTTCTTGAAGAAGTGGTATAGATCAGAAACCTGCCTTCTTAAATACGCCTACAGGGGGAGACAGAGTGACAGAGCAGACACTGAGGCATTGAAGTGATTACCAATCACAAGAGGAACCTGAAGAGACTAATGCAGGTGGGGGGTTGGGGGGGGTGGAGTGTCCTGGTAATGCTGACTCAGCGCAGAGCTAATCACCTGCAGAGGTCCGTACACTTCTGAGCGGTCGAACATGTGGACGTAATATTTCAGGTTCTTAATCGCTAACTCCCAGGGCAGGAACGCCGTCTCTTTACGAAGGAAGCGCGTGAAGTTCAAAGCTAACGTCACATTCACCAGTTTGGCTCTGAGGAAGAAGATGTTCAGGAAACAAATCAGGTTCATCCACCAATCAACAACTTCCTGCTAAAATCAAAGGCCAAAGTTCACTCACGAGTGACCGTCGTAAACAAGATTAATATTGGAGTTATTGGATTGTTGGAGGCCAAATAAAAAGTCTTGATAAAACCAATCACAGTTGTTACCTGGCCAGATTGAAGACGTCGTCGATCAGCTGTCCTCGGTTCATTATTGGGATTTTCTATTGTTTAAAATGAAAAAAAAAAGTTGCTTAAACACTTGAAAACAATCAATATTCTATATTTAAAAACAGTGTTTTTGATGATGCATCTGTCCCATTTTGCTGAGTCATGGTTTTCGTTGTCCTGTCTTATGCTGACTCATGGCTAACTCAAAACACAGAGATTGTGTGGTAGGACAGAAACATCTTTTCTCGTGTGTTTTGCTGAATAATGTTTTTTTTTTCTGATCTTTTGCTGACTCATGATTATGGCCCGAGATGTGCTGAGTCATTATTGGCTCACCTGTGGCTCTGTTTCCAGCTGAGTCAGCAGTGATTGCCAGTTTCCGGGGTCGTAGTTGACCCTGTAGTAACCAGTCCAGTTGACGTTGGCCAGAACCCAGTCTTCGTTCTTAGAAATTAATTCCTCTTTTTTCACTGTTTCACATTTGAACATTTAACGACACAGGAGAAAGTTTGGCTGTTTATTGATTTTATTTATGTCTAGTCACCTGAGTGGCTTTTTAGCTTTAACCCCTTGGTTAACTTAAACATCTGGTCTTCAACATTCTGCTATTAGCACCCTACAGTTTAGCTAAAAGTGAGATTTTTGACATGTTATTCAGAATTACAGTTTGCTATATTTAAGTATCTTTTAGAATTTTTTTATTACAAAAATGATTGGATTATCTTTAGATGAATTATAAGCCCTTCAATCTTTTATCTATGGTTTGGCTAAATGTGGTGTTATTTCGTATATATTTAACAAAAATCTCTGTTAGTTTTCAACTATATATTTTCTTGGCTAACCCTTAGCATGTCCATGCCCATCTCACTGTTTTGGGTCCAGGAACCCACAGGTGTTGTGTTGTGTTACCTGTACTGTCGGTGTCTAACCAGACCATAGACGGTCCAGAGGACTTGGACATCACTCTGATGGGAACGGTCCACCAAAGACTGGACTCAGAGAAAAAACAAGACAACGTTTTTTTATATTAAACCTGAACTTGATGTTTTGCCTATTTATGCTAACTCTTAGGTACTTTAAGGCAGTGTTACCCAAATTTTCAGGGGACCCATATTTTAAAAGTCACAAACCTTCGTGACCCAAATCAATAGACATTATTCGTAAACTCTTGCGACCCATCTGAGGGTCGCGACCCAATCTTTGGGAAACAGTGCCTTAAGGTACATGTAAGGTTAAGGTCGACTGTTAGCCACGGAAGTTCCCGACGTTCTGACCTGGACTCCGAGGAGTGGTTGAGCAGGAAGTGCTTCTGGGAAACCTCTCCGTTGCTGGTGTTGATTGTGATGACAGGATAACCAGTTTGGGTTGTCCACGACTCCATCACCTCGGCCACACGAGTGTGACCTCCATCCTCATTCACAGCCTAGGACAAAGGTCAGAGGTCAGACTCACCACAGACCTGAGTGGCCATGGTTCAGACTGACATGATAAGAACCTTCTGGATGTGGTTCCACAGGTCCCTGGTCTCCGAGTTCCTGTAGCTGAAGTCCAACAGGTAGGACTAAAACACACACCAACAACACAGGTGTAACGTCTGTTTGCTTTTTGTTGTTTTTAAGGTTGTCTGGTAATATCGGTCAGCTGAGCCAAAGCCACTAGGTGGCAGCATTGCAGCTCATTTTATTAATCTATTTTAATAATCAGGGGATTGTGTGCAGAATGCTACAGCCAGCAACTCATACAGTGGTTTGAACAGATAAACAAATATTACCAGGCCCTGAATAGTATTTCAATTGGGGAGGTGAAAATCTTCTGTCCCCTCTTAAATACGTGACTCACTCTAATTCCTTTGTTGAAAACTCTTTCTTCCACGATGTCCACCAACATTCTCAGTATCATTGCCCCCTACAGGAGAGAAGGTAGTTGTGTGATGTAAATAAAAACAGATTACATGTTTTTAAAAATGATCTTTATTCTTTTCTTAACCTTTGTGTAGGTCGTGTCATCAAACATGTCCTTGATCTCAGAGTTTGTCTGAACCTTTTCTGGTGGCGGAATCAGAGGATGTGATGAGGCCAGAACATCTTGACTAAATGCTGCTTGAAGGTGTCTTGCCATTGCCGTCTCTTCCTGAGGGGTGGTAGAAAAAATAGCTAAAGCTACAAACAACCACTAGCTAGGGATGTAACAATGCATCGTAAATGGGTTAAGAATCGATACAAATCTGTGACAGTTACATCGGTTAAGGAGCAGGCTGTATTTTCAAAAAGTCACTGGTCATACCATGACACTACAGTAGGTGGCAGTATGCACCTAAAACACTGGTTGTGTCCCACTATTAAACCCAGACGTGACATTCAGGTGTTGGAGCAGAACGTGGGAAGAACTTGTTCCTCAGACACCAACAGTGTTTTTCAGTGTTCCTTTAAAGAAAGTTGGAGAACAAACGAACCGTTTTAAAATGGGGTTCCACCTGGTCCACAGCCTTGTAGGTCATGTACGTGGCGAAGCCTTCGTTCAACCACAGCTCGTTCCACCATTTCATGGTCACCAGGTTTCCAAACCACTGTGGAAAAAGAAGAAGAAGCAGAGGAAGAAGAAGAGGAAGACAGAAGAAAAAGGACAGAACATCCCAGGTTCCTCCTCAGGTTCTTCTCTGACCTGGTGAGCCAATTCATGAGCGATCATTTCAGTTATGGTCTCCTTGTCCAGCAGCGAGGACACGCCCTCCTCGTACAGAAGGACTTCCTCCAAGTAGGTGATCAGACCCCAGTTCTCCATGGCAGCGATTTCTGGGTCCAGGTACAGGACAGCGATCTGGTCTGAAGAACCACAGAGAGGTTTGAGTTTCTGTGAGAAAATATCTGGGAAGTCCCGCTAAAAAACCTTCCAATTATATTGAAGATTAAATCCTACCCCTGGTCCTGGTCCTGGTCCTGGTCCTGGTTCTGGTTCAAACAACAACTTACCCAGTTTTTTCTGAGGGTAGTTGATTCCCAGCATTTCTTCAAAGAACTGCAGAATTTTCCCAGTCATGTTGGCAGCAAAGAGGGCGTGGCCAGCTGCTGTGACCTCAGGTCGCGCAAATGTCTGGAGCAACATCAACAACAACAGTCACAACAACAAACAAAAACAACAACAATCATGTTCTGGTTTTTTAATATTTCAAATTAAGTATTTAACTTAATTAACTAGCGTTATTGCTAACTAGGCTGAAATTATTATTAAGTTAGCCATAGGCATCTTTTGGCCTTGCCCTTAAAGGGCTAACTTTTACTTCTGAGCTAACGTCCAAGATAAGGGTTAGGTTAAGTTGATGTAACTATCAAACTAAAGTTTTTTTCCTCCTCTTTCACTGATGTACATTAATTTGCACACGGTCGTGCAGAGATGGCGTGGGTGTGAACTCGGACACGGCGAGGGCCAACAGGTACGTGGACATCCTTGGTGTCGGGTAAAACTGAGTAATCTTCCACTCGTCATCGATGATGCTGGAGTCTGGAAAAGGGAGATGAAGAACGCGGTGAGTACGAAGTACGATCGCAACAATACTGACCAGAAATTCTTCTTCTTTTCTTTTACCAAATATTTCAGCATTTCCCAGCACTGAGGAATCTCGTCTGTGGATGACGTTCAATTGGAACACAGCCTTCAGATCCGGTTCATCCAGACAGGGAAACACTTTGCGAGCATCAGTGGGCTGCATGTGGGTGACCACCAGAAATCTGGGAAAAACCATTTAACAAGTGAAGAGTAAGAAGGATAAAAATAGGGATGTCTGATATTACCTTCTTGCTGATATCCGATACACCGTTATAACACTATTCCGATTCCGATATCAACCATACCGATATAGCAGGGCAGTGGTGACCTGGTGGTGAAGAAAGGTAAGTGCCCCCTGCTAACTAGGGCGATGGGTTAAAGCAGGGGGGGATCAAATACTATTGAGCACCCAGTAATATTTATTTATTTATCTGTTCAAACCACTGTATGAGTTTCTGGCACCAACATTCTCCATACAATCCCCTGATTATTAAAATAGATTAATAAAATGAGCTGCAATGCTGCCATCTAGTGGCTTATACTTGCATATACAGCTGTTTTTCCCTATCATTATTTGGTGAAACCAGACTTTGCGTTATCAGGTTTTCATTCTTACAGATATTACATAACTATAATAACTATAATATATAATAAAGGACATTCCCAGAAAAAGGGACTCAGAGTGTTTGGTATGCAGATTAATCTTTTTTAAAAAACAAAAAAAATTAGGATTTTGAGCTTGTAAGATAATGTTTGTGCAATTCTGTTTCATTTAGCTTAGTTTCAATCTTATGGTGGTTTGTAAAAGTCTGGACGAGTCAGAAGAACAAACATGTGATGAGAAAACCCTTTAGAAGTTTCTTTTACCTCAGAGTTTCTGAATCTCTCTCTTCATAGATGCTCAGAAACATTCCATTCAAAAACGCCATCCATCCTTCAAACTTCAGCGACAGACTGTAGTTACCGTCCACCTCCAGTGCCTGCCCAAGGCTGACCTGCAGGAACTCCGACCACTCATGGTTGTACTCTACCCTGGACTCCACAACCTCCCCCGTGTCCACGTTCCGTACCACAGAGTCAAACACCGTCAGGTTGCTGCTGTGCAGGTAGATGGCGCTGCTTCTCTGGACGCTCTTGAAGAAGAGGGTGGAGTTGCCAGTGAAGCGTTCAGTCTGGTTTTCATTGGTGGTGTTCTCAAACTCCGGTGTCCTGGTGTAGAACTGAAGATGGAGGAAGATCTTGTAACGATCAGGGATGACGCTCCTGGGAAGGCGGGTGACGGGCGGGGCAGGTGTCGTGCTGGGTGAGATGGTGGGACGAGAAGTCGGGTTCATGTCTGCTGTCTGGATCTTGAAGAAGATCACCATGGTGGCGATGGCAGCGATGACAGACACGGTCAGGACCACCAGGACCACGGCCACCACCCTGGACCTGTGGGTTTTCTTGGACATGGTGGAGGTGCTGGAATGTTTTGGAATCCAAACTCCAGGATAGAAGTGAGGAGCGAGAGTGAGTGAGAGAGGGAGAGAGAGTGTGTGAGGAGTTTCACGGCTCTTCCCATAAACTAGGCTGGGTCGGAGGAGTCCAGGGTTAGCTGAGGAGTTAACTATGGTGAGCCCAGAGTCCGGAAACATCTGGAGGAGAAAACTCCTGGGAAGGAGTGGGCGAGAAGAAAGAGAAGAACCTGGTGGACATTGGAGGAAGAGCAGGGCCATGTCAGGAGTGGGAGAGTGGAATGGGCACACCCAACAGATGAGGAGTGTATGAGCATAGATGGAGGACCGCTGGGCATTACACACAAAAATGAAACGCACACACAAATCATCCTCTCATGAACTGGACACACTCTCTATTCTATCAGGAATGTGTGTGTGCATGTAGAAATATAGAACTTTATGAATCCTTTGGGAAATTAGCTGTGTGTGTGTGTGTGTGTCTCCCAGTGGTACAGTGAGGTAACTACAGCCAATCCCTAAAACACAGATGTTTAATTCAACCACAACTTTATTTCGTCAACAGTTTCATTTTTTCATTATCACCCGCTGTATATTTAGCCCATATTTAGCTTTAGCTTCTCACTGTCGTCAGGCTAACAACGTCTGCTGTCTCCCAGGTAACAGTTCGCTCTAATCTGTGGCAGGGTTTGGTTGTCATGTCTGTCTACTGTTAGACTCTCCCTCAGACACAGGAGTTGTAGTTTCCACTCCTGTGTTCAGGTGTTTTCACCTCCTCCTCGGCAGTAATCAGAGACACAAACTCTTCATCATCATCATCATCATCATCATCATCATCACAGGTGCTCGTCATCACCATCAGCTGCTATAAAATCAGCCGTGAGCACATGGTGTTTGTGAGAAGCGGCGCTGCTGCAGGTAATAACGCAGACTTGTTGGGTTTTTGGGGGTTTTTTTTCTCTTCTTTGTTGTTATTGAAACACCTTCACTCAGCCTCTGTATTTCTTCACCTGTTGATCAGAACCATCAGTCCGTTACTGTGTGTTGGAGTCACCTGATCATCGTCAGCAGGATGCGGTGAGTTCCCAGTAACAGTTCTGTACCTTGCACCTTAGTTTGACGGTAACTCTGTCCTGAGAGCAGAAATAGAAGGAAGTGAAACTAAAGAAACAAAACCTAAACCCTGCTGTAAACAGAGATAAGATCGACGTGGTCGGTCATAAACACTGATTTAAACATCTTCAAAGTCACCGCTTTGATCCGTACATTGAACCAGCTGCTGGGATTGAAGCGTTTAGGCGTCTTCTCCTGGAGATGGCGCCATAAATGACCTTTGACCGCTGCCGTCCGTCTCTTCACTGAAGTTGAACTGTCATATTGACGAGTCACGTGTTGTCTCCACAGACTGGTGTGTGTTCTGAGTGTTCTGGTGGGAACGGTCCTGTGTGGATCTGTGAGGAAAGGTATCAGCGTTTGACCCCTCTCCCCCAGGGTTGAGGTTCACCCAGACCCCCGTCTTTGTCAGGTTTTGTGTCATGGTAGATTCTTAACAGGCAGGTTTATATCTGCCCCCCCCCCCTCCTCTTCTCCCCTCGGCAGCTCCACAGATGAACCCACCTCAACCCTGGGGACAAGGACCAAGCTCTTACCCCAGTCCAGGTGTTGAGGTCTATGCTGCCCCTGAAGAGGGTGGATACCCAGATGAGGACACATCTTCCCCTTACGTTGGTCCAGTTTTTTCAGAACCTGAAGTCCAGGAAACCACTGAAGGTTCTGAGGAGGAAGAACCGGTCTTCAGTGACGTGTCTAATCTGGAGCCCGTCTTCTCCATCAGCTCTCGTTCAAGTTACCAGAGAGGAAGAGCCATGTTCAGCCAGAGCCGCTACATCCCAGGAGCCCCAGCCCCTCCTCCACCCATGCCTGTGTTCAGAGTGAGCAGCTCCGTCCCACTGAGGCGCCGTCCTGCTGATGTTCCTGTAAAAGAAGGCTTTGAGTAGAACTGACTGAGACTTGACCTGTCTCTAACACAGCTGTCATGTAACTGAACCTGCTCAGAATAAACATTACAAACTCAATCTGTTTAATGACTTGCTTTTTTATTTATTTTTTTTTTAACTTCCTGGTTTGTCCATCTCACAGGTTCAGCCTGAGCTCCAGAAGGTTCCAAACCCACTCCAACCCTGGAACCTCTGGAGTTTCAACTATGTTTATTTATGAGCTAACTGATCTGGGACTGAGGACTTCAGGGAGGTTTCTGAACTGAAGTCGTTTTAACATTCAAATGAGTTTGACTATCCAGAACTAACATTGTTGATATCATCTTTTGGACTTGGTGTAATTTCATTTTGGATGGTGGGAATTATTTGAGACTAGTTGTAATTCCAGTTAGAGATTTCCACAACATCATTTTGACTAGTCAGAATGTAATTTAAGATGTCTAAAAACTAAAAACTCCACAACTGAATTGTGAATATCTCTAATTATGAAACCCATACAAAAGAATGACAAAGGTCATCGTCATCTGCCCAGGGAAGAATGTCAGCCTATAATAAGGTCAGGTGACAAACAAAGTGAATGCTAGTCCAGTAAAGTTAATGGTAACTGTCAGTTTTCTAGAACCATCCACTGATTTTGATAGAACTTTATCATTTTTAATTTCAACATTAATTTATGTAACTTAGTTATTTGTTGGAGCTTAAAACCCTTTCAATTAAGAAAATCCCCTCAATCGACTCATCCCTGTTACTGCTTTCATAAACAAGTATAGAAATTCAATAAAACTATTAAAGTCTTAAATATATGGAATACAGTAAGTGTATAAAGGCTAGGACAGATTAATACATTCTAACAGATTAGAACAAAATGTGAAATTTAATAAAAAGCAGACAAAAAGGAATGTTTCCACATCAAAATCAAGGCTGTTGGTTTGTTCCAAGTTTACATAAAAAGTTCAACAGTTCAGGAATATTAACTTTGAGTTCTTTATGTAGAACGAAGAAGGGAAGTCCAGGAGTAATATATTTATATATTGGGTTAAAGAGCATTGTGCTATAAAGTACATTTTGAATACAGTACTATTTAAATATACTTATAAAGAAAGCTAGAAATGCATTACATTAGGTTTTTGAGACTGAAACAGAGGCCAAAGATGGTTGAAGAGCACCAAAGATGGTGCTGGTTTAGGTCCTGGGTCCATTTGGTGCTTCTTGATCTCTGACTCTGATGCTGGTCTAGAGCTTTTCTGCCAAATTTTCTTTTTGGAGTGAAACAATGGCTCAAACTTAAAAGTTTTAATGTTAATAAGCTGCTGGCCAGGAGTGGTACTGCAGAGGTCGGCTCAAACATTTAGCAGATAATGCTAAGTGAGAACTGGGAGGAAAAATAAATAAAAATATGGCAAGAAATCTTTGTAACATTTTTATTCAGTTCAGTCACATGATCCTGTAAAGACAGGAGCAGAGGTCAGGTCCAGTGGTCAGGGTCTAATGTAGTGGGTCAGTTCTACTCAAAGCCTTCTTTTACAGGAACATCAGCAGGACGGCGCCTCAGTGGGACGGAGCTGCTCACTCTGAACACAGGCATGGGTGGAGGAGGGGCTGGGGCTCCTGGGATGTAGCGGCTCTGGCTGAACATGGCTCTTCCTCTCTGGTAACTTGAACGAGAGCTGATGGAGAAGACGGGCTCCAGATTAGACACGTCACTGAAGACCGGTTCTTCCTCCTCAGAACCTTCAGTGGTTTCCTGGACTTCAGGTTCTGAAAAAACTGGACCAACGTAAGGGGAAGATGTGTCCTCATCTGGGTATCCACCCTCTTCAGGGGCAGCATAGACCTCAACACCTGGACTGGGGTAAGAGCTTGGTCCTTGTCCCCAGGGTTGAGGTGGGTTCATCTGTGGAGCTGCCGAGGGGGAGAAGAGGAGGATGAAGGGGGGGAGAAGTCAGATATAAACCTGCCTGTTAAGAATCTTCCATGATACCGTTTGTTTACCACGTTTGTGCAGTATTTAAATGAGGGATGTCTGATTTTAACTTCCCTGTGATTATTATTATAGATAATCAAAACGAGCTACAATGCTGTCATCTAGTGACTATATCAAAACGAGCTACAATGCTGCCATCTAGTGACTAATTTTTATATACGTTTATCCCCAAAATTACTTTTAGGTCACCCATTTTGTGAAGGTTTTCATTAGAGATATTACATATAATGCTAATATCAGGTAGATAATATCAGACATACTACTATAAACCTTTTCAGGTCTGGAAATGTAACTGGCACCATATTAAATGCCATTCTTGCATGAACCAACAGGGGGCAGGAGAGCATTAAAGCATCAAAAGCATTGGCGTTTTTTGGCCTAACACCTGCAGACAGCGCTGAAATAAAACCCCAGACTGAGGCAGATCGTCTCACCTTGTTGTTTGACATATCCGGAACTGATGGTTCCAACCAGCAGACACAGAAGCCACAGCATCCTGCACGACACTCAGGAGTTTAGTCGACTCAGCACAGAGACACAAGAGGAAAAACTTCAACAACAAATGCAGTCTACTTACAACATGTTTGTTTGTTTGACAAGGTGAAAAAGCTGTCCTTCAAAAACAACCTGAGAGGAAGACAAAGACACCACGGTTCAACAGACCTGCTGTGACAAAGACCAGTCAGAGGACCACAGTTCTTACCTGACTCCAGCAGCTCCGTCACTGTCTGTGTGATGGTTCGATGCTGCTTTTAAAGTCCAGCCGCAGCTGCTGCTCATTATTGGCCTCATCAGAGTCACATGACTGACAGCTGGTAAACACTCACCTGGTCGAGGTTTGAAATCCTTCATGTATCTGGACACTGTCTACTGTTGTCACTGGTCAAGTTGTTAGAAATACAAATTGTCTAAATGTTGGAATTTTTAAATGTTTACTTTAACCCCTCCCCACTTTTGTGTGGATGAAAGCTATATTATTATATTATTTATTGTATATTATTATTTAAATAAATATGTATCTATTTTACTTCTATCTGAATTCTAATATACATTTCTGAACGGCGGTAGTGGCAGCAGAGACTGTTCTTTTAATAACAAAACCCTCCCCTCCGGTCACCTGACCGCGCCCCCTCTGTTTGACAACAGATGCAACTTTTCCTTGGTTTATCCCGCGGCAGCTCGACTCGACTCGACTCCTCTTGCCAAAGTCTTAGCTTCTTCTTCGTTCTGAGGCAGAAACGTTTCCTTTTTTTTTTTACGTTTTCGTCATATTTTCTTTTTGCCATATTATTTATTTTGACCATGGAGTGAAGTGTGGAGTGCAGCCATGGCGGTGAATTCAGTGCACTGGTTCCGCAAATGTCTGCGGCTGCACGATAATCCAGCGCTACAGGAGGCCGTGAACGCAGCGCACACGCTCCGCTGTGTTTATATTCTGGACCCGTGGTTCGCTGGCGCCGCTAACGTGGGAATCAATCGTTGGAGGTACGTGAGTTTTTCCCCCGCAGTTTGCGACTCGTCTTTAACTTTAACTTTTGCTGTCAACACTGATTGTTTGCGGGGTTTAAAGGCTTGTGCGGGAGTTCAGGGCCCGGGCCTCTGCTACACCACCGTTAGCCGATGCTAACTCATTACGCCAATCTGCTGTATAGAAAACAGCACTTCCCCAGTTTCTTTTTTTTAACGTTTTAATTCAAAGCATTGACACCATACACAATAAGTATGACGTTTAACCGCGTTACTTGTGGTTTCTGTTCAACTCGGCTAATGTTTTAGTTGATATTGAACTAATGAAAGTGATTTATTTACAGAGAAAAGTGAAACATGACTGTGTCCATTAGCGTTTAACGTCGTCCTGTGGCTGTTGTTATTAGAAGGTTGTGTTGAGAACAGGGTCGTAAATTGTCGGTTTTTTACGATTATTAACTACCACTAACAACTAACGTGGATTACTGAAAGAAGATGCTAACAGGCGACAGCACTGTAACATCAGCATCCATGCATCACCTCATCATTATTTTACGTCACTGTTTTCTGACGTACATATGTTGCGGAAAAACGGGTCACACGTGTAACTGTAAGTAACAATGTCACTAAATGAAATCTCGTGTCTAATTGTAAAAAAAATAATATTTCTAGTTAAATAAATATATTTTGTAGTCTGGTTGGATAAACCTATTCAGAGTATAATATTTCTAGTAAAATAAATATATTCTAGAAATGAGCCAATCAGAGACAGATACACTTGATTTCATTTGTTTTTTTGGGAAAAAAAGTCAAATAGTCAAGATGATTTTTTTTTTTACATGCTCCCACTGAAGATAGGGAATTGATTCATTGTGACTGATCAGGTCTGCAATACTGACTGTCCCCAACAACTTTTCTCTAACACATCTTTGTCGTTCGTGTGTGTGTGTGTGTGTGTGCAGGTTTCTCGGGGAGGCTCTGGAGGACCTGGACAACAGTCTGAAGAAGTTCAACTCCAGACTGTTTGTTATCAGAGGACAACCCACGGATGTTTTTCCCAGACTCTTTAAGGTCAGCTGTTCTGTTATCTTTGTGCTAACTTGTAGCTTTATTCAGTTCGTCCTCGACTGTTAGCTGGCATCTTTCAAACTGTTTTTGGCTAACAATTCTCTGTTTCTCTCTCTTAAACCACAATGTCAGTCGTTTTTTTGTTAATGTTGTTCTCACTTTGGACTGCGTTTCCTCTGTTTGGCTGCAGGAGTGGAAGGTGACCAGGCTAACATTTGAGTACGACCCAGAGCCTTATGGGAAAGAGAGAGATGGAGCCATCATCAAGATGGCTCAGGAGTTTGGAGTGGAGACTGTTGTCAGGAACTCACACACCCTCTACAACCTGGACAGGTTCGACTGCACACACACACAAAACCACACCTTAATTAGTTCAAATCTTAATTCTAACCCAACCCTAACTCTGAACTAAACCTTGAACCTTGAATTCCTCTCTCCATCACTGGAGACCCCCCAGAAGGGCAGAGTGACCCCACAACAGTAGTGCTTTTCAAAAAATAAATAATGACCCCATCATTACACAAGCAGGAACACACACACACACACGCACACACCAAGGCAGAAGCACCAGATTCAGAACCAGAAATACTTTATTGAACCCTTGGAGAAAACTGTTCTTAAAGAAAACTGATGTTTGTGAAGTAGTCGTTCTCCTACACCAAAGTCCATAGAGAAAAGCAGTGATTTTAGTTCATATTGTTTACTGCTGTTTTAAAACTTTAATCTGCTAAAGTATAACAGTGACATAAAACACAAGGTTTATAAATATAATATACTGTTGACAGAAGACGGTGAAAACGTCTTTTTTTTTTGTCCACTGACGTCCCTGTCGTCTTTAGTTTCACAAACATACCCTGGTGTTTTTAAAAGAAACAAACGAGTCGTTGGTTGTTATCAGCCGGTATTGTGTGAAACAGAGCCCCCTATAGGTCAAACCCTGTTACCGCAGGTCACACACCCTTGCCATGTGCACAGACAGAGAGCACTGAGTTTTTTCAAAGGCTCTTACAGCATTGTCTTACGTAAGAAACACAAGCACGCTGTTTGTGTGTTTATGTGTGTTTTATTGTGTGTTTCGTGTCTGTATGTCTTTGTGTTTGTCTTTTTTTAAAGAAATGTTTTTGCAGTAAAGATTTAATGATAGCTTGTTAAGTAACTGCTCAGAAATTGAGTAAAATTAGCAAATCAAAAACCTAACATTAGTGTTTGAAAGTGGGTCCAGGAACGTGTTGAAGTCAACCCCTGTGTTCCTGCTCTGATGTTTTGCAACAGGATCATTGAGATGAACAACAACAGTCCTCCTCTGACCTTCAAACGCTTCCAGACTATCGTCAGTCGGCTGGAGTTGCCACGGCGCCCTCTGCCTGTCATCACTCAGCAGCAGATGGAAAAGTGTTGTACTAAGATTTCTGAGAACCATGAGCAGCTCTACAGTATTCCCTCGCTGGAGGAGCTGGGTGAGATCTTCATGTCTGACCAACATGCTGCCCCCTGGTGGTGGGCTCTTCCTTAGCTCAGTGATGTGAAGATCTGAAATAAGTCTATTTTATGGGGGGAAAAATACAAAAAAAACAAACAAACTACAGGTTGAATTAGTAAAGACTGTTGTTGTTTATTTTGTGGTTCAAGTTGTGGTTCATGTTGTCTAAAACCGGTTCTGTGTTTCAGGGTTCAGGACAGAACGTCTACCTCCTGCTGTGTGGAGAGGAGGAGAGTCAGAAGCTCTGGACCGACTCAACAAACATCTGGACAAGAAGGTGAACGTCTGCACTATCCTCAGAGGACCTAGGGTGGCGCTCACACACCAGAAAGGATGTTCTTAGTTTTTAATTTTGTATTACATAGAATGACAGTGAATCCAGTTTGCAAAGATTATAATTAATGTTAGCTTAATAAAAGCTAAATGTTAGCCACACAGGGCTTATTGTTAAAAACGGTCCAACTGTTAGCCTAGAGTAGTTTAAAAAAAAGGTCTTGACCGAGAACAATAACTAATCTCTCCTTCACTCCTTACCCCTCGCTCTGTTATTCCTCTTGCTTCCCATGTCTCCCCCAATCACCAATCCATCCCCTCTTCTCTCCCCTCCTTCCCCCCCACCCCCCCGCCCCCAGGTGTGGGTAGCTAACCTAGAACACTCTCGGATCAACACCTGTTCTCTTTACGCCAGTCCCACTGGTCTGAGTCCGTACCTGCGCTTCGGTTGTTTATCCTGTCGGGTTCTGTACTACAACCTGAGAGAGCTGTACATGAAGGTGTGGACACAGGACACACACACAAACACACACAAACACGCACACAAACGAACCAGCAGGTGTGTCATGGTTCCTCCTCCTATGGTCCTCCCCTTTCTCCCCCCTCAGCTGCGGAAACACTCCAGTCCTCCTCCGTCTCTGTTTGGTCAGCTGTTGTGGAGGGAGTTCTTCTACACTGCTGCCACCAACAACCCCAACTTTGACCGCATGGAGGGAAACCCCATCTGTGTGCAGGTGGGTGATGGTGGCGCTCTACTGATGACATCACTGATGACCATCAGGGATGGTGACTGGACGCCGACGTTCCAACAGGACTTCTCTAAACGCCACACTCTCTTCACCTTTTTGCTCCAGATCCCATGGGATCAGAATCCAGAGGCACTGGCCAAATGGGCGGAGGGTCGGACCGGTTTTCCATGGATTGACGCCATTATGACCCAGTTAAGACAGGAAGGCTGGATCCACCACCTGGCCCGACACGCTGTGGCCTGTTTCCTGACCAGAGGAGATCTGTGGATCAGCTGGGAGAGTGGAATGAAGGTACCAACTTGGTCAGCAGCATACAGTCCTGGTCCTGGTTCTGGTTCTGGTTGTCATGCAACATGTGTGTGTGTGTGTGTTTTTCTGAAGGTCTTTGAGGAGCTGCTCCTGGATGCAGACTGGAGCGTTAATGCTGGCAGCTGGATGTGGTTGTCCTGCAGCGCCTTCTTCCAGCAGTTCTTCCACTGCTACTGTCCCGTGGGCTTTGGACGGAGAACCGACCCGTCAGGAGACTACATCAGGTGACCTTCATACTACTGCTGTTCAGGGACAGGAACCAAAGAACACTGGATTTGTCTCTGAAAGTTTTGGTCTCTTGCTCCTAGTCTGTATTAATGTTATTGTTGTTTTTGTCGTTAATACTAGTTTTAGACAATAATATCATTGTTAAATCTTGTTCTTCTTTGCGCTGCTTTTTCCCGCAGGCGTTACGTTCCCATCTTGAAGGACTATCCCAACCGTTACATCTACGAGCCGTGGAACGCACCAGAGTCGGTCCAGAAGGCGGCCAACTGTGTGGTGGGCGTGGACTATCCCAAACCTATGATTAACCACGCGGAGGGCAGTCGCCTCAACATCGAGAGGATGAAGCAGGTTTACCAGCAGCTGTCGCACTACAGAGGACTCAGTAAGTCTCAGCTTCTCTCTCTGTCAGTGGAGACCCCTACAGGCTACAGGAGTGTACTGCTGTAATATTCTGTTGAATTTTATGTTGAAATAACTCACTGAAAGAAATTCCTCCATTTGGGTGTATACGTTTACTCAGTGTGTGTGTGTGTGTGTGTTCATTACAGGTCAATTAGCATCGGTGCCAACGATCCAGGAAGAGGCGGAGCCACCAATGACAGATGAGTCTCAGACCAGCAGTGGTCCTGGTAAGAGGAAACCATTGAGCAGAAGTCACATGATCAACCTGTCTGCTCACTTGATGTGGAATGTTTTAAGATTTTTTTTTTTTTCAGATTCTCCTCCTGCAGGTGGCGCACTCACTGAAGCGGCCGGCTGCTCTATTCTTCCTGATTCGTCCACACTGTGTCCAACCGTAGTCACTGCTCACCAATCATCGGATTGCCCTCAGACATCTGCTGCTGTCACCTCTACGTCTGCCTCCGTTAACGCTGATCCTCTGAAGCCTCCCTCACCTTGTTCCTCCTCCTCCTCCCCCTGTGGCACCACATCTCCCCCCTCCACCTCTGCTCAGACTCTGACAAAAAGAAAAGGCCCAGCTCACAAGATACGACGCAGCATGAGGCAGCGGGGACACCAGGGGGCAGAAGAGAGGAGGGAAGATGAAGAGGACAAAGGAAGGGAGGAGAGGATGGAGGACGACGATGATGAAAATGAGGAGAGCATGGAGCAGGACGCTACAGGAGAAATGTCAGGGCATCGTCAATGACGTCAGGTAGAAAAACAAAAAGAAAATGTTGGTGCAGTGTTTTATAGGAATCTAATCAAATTCAGTCAATTCGGTACAAACTTTCCACCAAGAAATAAGTACTTCATACTTCTTACACTTGTGCCATGAGTCATACTTTACAAAAACACAAAGATGTAATGCAATGTAATGATGTTCTACTTTCAAATTACTTAGTTTAACAACCTTTTGCTGCTACCTAGTGGATTGTCAAACAAAGAGAAATAATTTGCAGTGAATACATTTTCCACAAGTTTCTGGGTGGAAGGACTGGTGTTTTGTTTTTGTTTTTTTTTCTCTTTGTTCCTTCATCAACTGCAGCTTAACTCTGACACTTCTGTCTTTCAGGAGGAAGTTTTAGATGAACTGTTGTCCAAACTCTGTCCTGGAGACAGACTCTGCTGGTGTCTCTGCTGAAAGCTTCATACTTAAATTAAAGCCAGTGAAGATTACAGCGCCTCCACCCCTCCTGCTGATTAGCCAGCCTCCTGAACATTTGACCATCCTAGAAACACTAGCCTTGGCCTTTACTCCCGTGGGGAGCAGCCACAGACTGCATTGGGAAAAAAATCAGTCCCAGGAAATTAGTCTGTGTGTCTCAGGCTAATTCTCAACATCAGGGGGCAGCAAAAGCTCAGCGCACACCTCAAACAACCACTTTTGTAGGAAATGAAGACTTTAATTAATTTAGTCAAAGATGAGATGAAACACTGAGAGGACCTCTAGTGCTGAACCCTGGGCTGAAAGAAAAGTGTGTGTGTATGTGGGGGGGCATTGACGATGTGTGTGTGGCTGCAGGTGAATCAGGGAAGTTTACTCTGAAGACTTTGAATGTAGACCTTCAACTGTGGACCGGGTCAGTGTAGACTGTTAGTCTAGCTGGGGTTGAAGGTTCAGGTCTCTGAGACCAAAAAAAATAATTCTTTTAAAATGTATTTTTAGGGGGGGATAGAAATTATTTGTAAAGTAAAGACAATTTTCTGACCTTGTACCGAAAGAGAAATTGAACATTTAAGTGGGAATTCTGATGTCTAACAAAGCAGAATCCCAACACTTTGGAATTTTGGCCTTTTCTTTAACAAAAAAAATAATAATATTTTTGGCATTTAAAGAAAATGTATTTTGACTGTAAACGGTCCATTTTCCTCTTTGGTCTGAATTTCTCTGATCTTTAAAGAATGTTTATGTTCCACAGGTCTTGTATATATAAAATGTATAAATACATATTTAAACAAATGTCTCACTTGTGTGTTATTGGGTGTTATTTAAAGGAGTGTTTTAGGGTTTGTTTGCTTCTTCATCATCCCTTCGGTGGAACATGGACATGTGATCAAGTGGAGCTGGAGGTATTTTTTATTTCTTTCTTTTTAAAAAAATCTCAGTTAGCCTCTGTTTGACAGGTTTGAAGCCCTTGGTAGGTTAGCAAAGGGTTAGCTATTAGCACGTCTGGTAATTAGTCTATTATAACTTCAACATAGCTGAGTGTGTTTACATCAGCCAGTACGTGTTACCAATTAGCATTTGTCTTGTTTTTAGCGGGTTTACACTTCTTATTAATTGTCTTTTCTAGTTAACAAGTATATAAATGTAAATTTTTCACCGTTGTGACGTTTTTTAGCAGTAGGTGAGTACAAGAATGTTTTAGCTGCGAACTTTTAGCATGTTGGTAACGTTAGCGTCTTTAGCATTTATCGTTATTTCCCCATTAGCAAATTTTCCTTTTTTTTTTTACATCGCTCTAACTCTAACATTAACACTGTATGTTCCAGCTGCATTGTTCAAATTACTTCATACATGTCCTTGTAAAATGTCTGGAGCTATTTATACATAATTCGTTAGAAAGTCAATAGCGTTGTTAGCAGTTAGCCTGTAGCTCAGAGGAACAGATTATATTAAAAATAGGAGACACCAGTTACTCTTATCGCAAAAAGGTATTTTAATTTTTCAACTGCTGTCAATTACTGTGTTCTCTCCATAACATTAAAATGCAGTTTTATGAAATAGTTGTCAAACGTTAAGATTCTTTATATTTATATATTTTTAAGGTTGAATGTGGATTTTTATTTTTCTAATCTGCTCCTAAATCAACCCTCACACTTGTTTGTTGGATATGACTGACAGGAAGTGACAGTATTCCAGGGGCTGATGATGTCATGCTGTGCTTTGATTGGTTTGGCCTGAACTAACTCCTGCCTCCCCCCTCCGATTCCTCCCTCTCTCCGTTTCTCCCCTCTTTTCCCAGGGTGATGACGATGATGTGACAATGAACTGGCCAATCAGAGAGCCCGAAGGCAGAGCGGAGGGGGGGAGCAGGAGCAGAAGGATGCTGCTACAGGGAGGGAGGAGAAAAAGGAGGAGGTGAAGAAGAGGAGGAGGATGAGGAGGGTGCGGAGAGACCAGCTGAGCTGAGGAGCGGAGCAGCCGGAAATCACAAGGAGGAAAAAGAGCAAAGAGGAGAAGAGGAGGAGGAGGAGGTGGGGTAGGAGGAGCTGCTGCCGCTGCTGAGGAGCGTCTTCATCATCTTCATCATCGTCATCACCTCCACACCCTACTGTCATGGACAAATACAAACCAAAGAGACCAACAAGCCTGGATCTGTTCCCACAGCTGCCACCTGCTGGAACCCAGGTGTGTGTGTGTGTCTGTGTGTCTATCTGTTATGTACATGTGTGTCTGTGTGTATGTTTCAGAGAGAGAGAAAGAGAGAGAGAGCTTGGGTGTGTTTAGGATGAGACAGCATCAGCATCAGCTGAGTAACACTCTGTGTGTGTGTGTGTGTGTTTGGGAGGATGTTGTTGTCAGAATGACGACTGTCTGCCTGTCTGTGTGTATCTGTGTGTGTCTTCTGGGCCGTGTTGAACCATATATGTCGCTGGTGTCAATTATTTTAGAACCTGTAGTCTCTGACATGAAGCCCAGACCCTGGTCCTGGTGAGTCAGAACCCCTGGTGTTTGACGTTGGTGTTGCAGCTGTTTGTGGTTCGGCCTCAGCTGAGACTTAACCACACCAGGGTTCTCCAGGACCCAGGCCTGGTTTCAGGGTCAGAATCAGACCTGAGGAGGTTTATAGTTTTCATTATGAACAGGTGAAGGTCCAGGACTGTGTACAAATCTAGAACTACGTCCTAATCTCCAGCTTCAGTTTTTTCAGCTGTTTCCTCTGAGCTAACATTTATTATTTGTAAACTTGTGCTTGGCTAACCTTTAGCTGTGAACCTGCAGGCTTTGAAACCACATCCCTGTTTTTGTCAAGGTTCATCTGTTGTTGTGGTTAATATTTAGCAAGCTCACAAACCTAGAATAGCAGTTAGCATAATTAAGGCTAACACAAAGTTTGCTTTTGGCTTTTAGCGTGTTTTTCACCAATAGCACTCCTGTTGTTAGTTAGTTATTTTTTAGCTGTTGGTCTGTTTTTATTATGCTATGCATTAGCATGGCCATACCTGTTAGCATGCAACCTGGACATTCTACAGGGCAGACTAATAAGACTTGATAAATAGGACTCTATAGACCTTGAACTGAAACTATCATTAAGTCCTGGTTGAGGTTCAGGTGAGAGGACGTGTCATCAGGTCCAGAGATGTTCATGGACCTTCTGAAGCTCAAGACAATGAAAAAACAGGAACGGTAGCAACAGTAACAAAAATAACACTGTCAACGAGTAAAAACAAATACAGATTTTAATGGTATTTTTATACAGGTTTTAGAGGGAGTTAGACTTATATTATAAATCAGTCCTTCTTACAAACAGGAAGATAAATCACTAGGACTGTGTTCTGCTGAGACTGGATTTTCTCCGTTTCTCCACACCGAGCCGACGCTCTCCTCTTTCATGTATCAATGACAGCACTTCCTGCGTTTGTGTTTCATATCAACAACAACCTTTGTGTCGTGAAGGCCTGATGTTAGACACTAACTCTGCTGATCTGGTAACGTTCATCAGCTCTTCACTCTTAGAGTCTGATCTCCTGAATCAAGTCACGTCTTCGTCATCTCGCGTAAATAATCCAACGTTTGTAAATCCCCCCTCTTTGAAAAAGTTCCTGATTCTACGGGACTGTTTCTTTACTAGTTGGACTCTGACCTGTTTTTCCCTGGTTTATTTATTTATTCATGTTTGATGTCACAACTGAACAACTCCCTCTGCTGGTGAGAAACCGATCTTCAGGGTTTGACCGAAACGTTTTTCTAAAAAAAGAGAAACATAAACCAGAACTTTAGCACCAATTTTTAGTGTTTCTCCAGCTGCAGATTCAGATCCATTTGGACCAGGGTTTAGTTTCAGGATTTTTACACTATTTTTCCACAGTTTGAACTTTAAAAAAATAATTCTTCTTTTGCAGGACACAATTAACAACAATTCTCTGGGCAAGAAGGAAAACTGGAAGGAAAATCACTCGTCTTCACCTCACATCACAGGTACAAACTCCTTCAAGTATTCTGTCAATTTCTGGTGATATAATCCCTAAATATATGTTTGTGTGTTTTTAGGAGACCACAAATCACCTGACATCAAACCTAAAACCGAGGACAAAGTTCGGCTCAGCACACGCCGTCCAGCCCCCAAGCCTCCCGCGGTCAATGACAGCAGCAGTAAAAGTAAGAATGTGGGCGGAGCCTCATTGGCGGCAGACTCGCGGCTACGTTCACGAGACAAAAACACGCACGCAGCGCAGGTGTCCAACAGTCCGAAAAGCCAGCGCAGGGCAGGAGGAGGGGCTGGACGAGGGAGAGGCGGGGCTGTGACCAAAGATAAGAATGTGGGTGTGGTTAAAGGAAAGGAGGGAGGAGCAGGTACAACGGCCAAGGAGGAGAAAAAGACGGGGCGACTGTGTTCAGAGTCCAAAGGGAAGGAAAAGGAGAAAAACGTTTTCCAGAGGAACAAGGAGGCTGCCGCAGCAAAGAGCCGAGGAACTGAGGGAAGAGGGAGGGGCGCCGCTAGAGGAGGAGGAGCAGGAGCAAGAGCAGGAGCAGGAGGAGGAGGAGCAACTAACAGAGCAACAAACAGAGCAACAAACAGAGTGCCGTCAAAATCCAACAACCCCTGGTCCCAGCAGGAGGTCTATCTACCAGCCATGGTGGTTCCACGGACTCCTGTGACCGTGAGGAGAAAGGAGAAAAACCAGGACAAAGGTGAGAAACCAGAACAGGAAGTGATGAGAGATCAGCTGGTACTGCAGTGATCCTGAGTTGAAACAACACCTGGTGTCACCTGTGTGACATTCAGGTCCAGTACCAGTATCATACTGAACCAGAAACACACAGATACCAGCAGTTGTGTGATACCAGTATCATAATAATACCACTGTCCTACCATCATACGGTTACATGTATAAGTGTAATAGCATAAATACAAAAGAAATGGATGTCAATGTATGATACTATTATGGGTAAGATAGTACTGTAGTATCAGTATATTACCATGATACTGAGTAGTGGTGTGATATTCTCTGTTAATACTCAGTACTATGAGTATTGGGACAGAACCAGATGATAAAAAACAAAGACCACATCTGTCCATCATCAGTAGAACCCTTGTTTGTGGAATCTTGTGGAATCCAGTTAAAAATCGGTTCTCTCTGCATTTCTTCAGTTCCTGCTGCTCCTAAGCAGGACAAGAACCGGGAGAACCCTCCGGTTCTGTCCCGTTCCAGCAGCGAGGGCGGCTCCAACAGAATGTCCCTCAGCTCAGACACAGAGGGGCCCCCGCCTGGGCCCCTGCATCCGAGTGTGACCCACCGAACCAACCCGGCTATCAGTGAGGAGGAGGTGGAGACGGAACCAGGCCCCGCCCTCAACGCTAACAACCCCGGTCTGAGAGGAAGTGGACCGACAGACATGGACTGTACCACGTCGGAGGCGGGTCCAGGGATGGGGGCGCAGAGTGACTCAGCTGTTACACAGGACGCAGGTGTAGTCACAGCCCCCTCAGAGGCGGGGCTAAACTATGACTCGGTCAAGTACACACTGGTGGTGGATGAAAACGCTGAGCTGGAGCTGGTCAGCATCAAACACTGTCTCCATAACGACGACAGTGACGGAGAGACCGTCTACCAGTCGGCCAATGAGGATGAAGATCCAGAGTATCAGGAGGAAAGGAGCAGGAGGACGGAGGAGGGGGGAAAGAGCACGGGTGAGTAACTCTGACTGTCAGACTTTAACAACAGTGAACTGTAAACCCCTCACTCTGCCACACAGAAGTCCATAGACACAGGAGCTGCTGGTCCACCGCTGCTCCCTGTGGTCAGTTTGTGTCACTGCGGTCAATCTACAAAGGATTTTAAACAGTGAAGTGAAAAGAATAACAAATTCAATTGAGGATTGACCTCAGTGACACAAACTGACCACATGAGGCAGCAGTGAACCAACTTAAATCACTGATTTTCTCTGAAAGACCTGCAAGACCTACAAACTGGCAGGTAATTCTTATTCACTCTACGTGTCTAATACTGCCCCCTGAGGTATATACCAATATGTGTGTTGACTTTTAGCTAATACTGCCCCCTGAGGTATATATATATATATACCAATATGTGTGTTGACTTTTACTGGTTCAGTACCAGCTGGGTTTGTGAACCAGGGCAGGAACCAGGAATAAGTGACTGAAGATATTCATGTTTGAAAAATAAAGTTTGGCCAGGGACTGGCGCCAGTCTTTCAAACTGGTACTGGGTCCAGTCTACAAAAATGTCCAGGGCTGGTGTCAGTCCCTGTAGTCTGCGCTCTCTCGAGTGCTGACGTGCCACCAGTGGTCGGCATACCATAAATTGAGAACCCCTGATCAATAGTTAAGTTGAGTAATAAAATTTAGTTGATTTGACAGATGTGCTCATAAACAGTTCTTGATAACAACAGAAATGTCTCAGTCATTCATTTAGGTTCTGTTGTGTACTGTACCATCAAGACAGAGGAAGTGTTCCTTAAACCTTTTTTTTTTTTTCAAATCAATTTTCAGAAAAAAGTGAGGAGGAGCCAACAAAGAAATGGAAGGAGGAGGAGGTGAGAAGGAGGCGGGAGGAAGAGATCAAGAGGCGAAGAGAAGTTGTCGTCCGGGTGTCCGGCAAGACCAGGTCAACCTCAACGACAGGGTCGGAGGAGGACACAGGGAGAGGAGCAGCTCCCAGGAGCAGGAAGTTCCTCAACCTGTTCTCCAGCCGCAGCAGCAGCGGCAGCAGTCGCTACACAGCCACAGGTTAGTCCAGCTCCGATGTCATAAAGGGACAGTTCTGGGTTTTTTTTTTCAAGTCTGTTTGTCACACTGTGAGCTCAGCATCTGAACCAGAACCATGACAAAGAACTGAGCTGAAGTCCACCACGTCCTGGAAACACTCCCCCATGTGACCTTACCCCTGGTCTCTGTGTTCAGGTGCTGGATCCTTTGGTGTGTTCTCCTGTCTCCTGGACGGTGTGGAGAGACAGCAAAGCCACCGAGCGGCCTACAGGTGGAGACAAAAACAAACTTCCAACAAAAAGACAAATAATCTTAGTGACTCAGTAACTCAAAGACTCAGTAACGTAGTGACTCAATAACACAGCGACTCAGTAACTCAAAGACTCAGTAAAGTGTCTGTTTATTGACTCGGTAACTGAAAGACTAAACACAGTGACTCAGTTAGTGAGTGACACAGTGACTCAAAGACTCAGTAACAAAGCTGTAAACTGATGTATTAACTCAAAGACTCAGTGTCTTACCAACACGATGACTCAGTGTTCTCGTCACTAAGACACTCAGGTCCAAATAAAAACCTGTCTCTGGTTGGTCACTCAGTAACAAAGCTGTTTACTGATGTATTAACTCAAAGACTCAGTGTCTTACCAACACGATGACTCAGTGTTCTCGTCACTAAGACACTCAGGTCCAAATAAAAACCTGTCTCTGGTTGGTCAGGTTTGTCCCTCGTCATGCCGACGAGCTGCAGCTGGAGGCCGACGACCCAGTTCTACTGCTGAGTCAGGCTGAGGATCTTTGGTGTCACGGGTACAACATGAGGACTGGAGCCACCGGAATCTTCCCAGCCTTCTATGTTGTCAAATTAGCTGCGGACACCGGAGCAGGTACTGGTGCTGGAACTGGAACCGAGTCAAACGAATCATCATTATTGGTGAATCAGCACAAATAAGAACCAAGTCAGCGGTTCTGTTTACAGGCACAAAAATATTACAGCAAAAACAAATAGAAGAAATTACTCAGAGAACTGTTCCATTCTCAGTTCTTCTCCATATCTTCGCAGCTCCTACAGGTGGATATTTGGAACAGTTCCTGGTCCGCTTCCTGGGTTCAGTTCAGGTTCCCAGTCACCAAGGGCGTGATGTTCTGTGTGCAGCCATGCACAAGGTACGGTCGCTCACGTGCACACCACTCACCACGTGCACTGTCTCAGAAACTGTAAACACCCAGTGGGCTGTGTCTGTCTGTGAACAGGTGCTGTGTAACCGCCGCTCGGCCTCTCAGCCTCCGTCCTCATGTCTCCTGGACATCAGCATCAGAGGAGTAAAGATCAATGTCCAGGACCAGTGTCACTCTGCTCACAGGGTAACAGCGCCTCCTACAGTGCTGCCTTCATTCCTTCATTTTTTCTTAGCTTTTCCTCTTTTACTCCTTTTTTGATGATGATCTCCGTCTCCTGCAGGGGGATCAGTGTTTCCACTTCTTCCATCTGAAGAACATCTCCTTTTGTGGTGTTCATCCCAAACACAGCAGGTGATTTTTAATGTCATAATTTTATCACAAAACAGTTTCTATAAAGAAACCTTTAACGATAAAGATAGTTCAATTTATCTGACAATGTTGACAAAAATCAAGTAACAATAGATGACGATAATAATGATGATGATGATGGTGATGATGATGATGATAATGATGATGATGTCCTCATAGGTATTTTGGCTTCATCACCAAACATCCAGACCAACAGCGTTTTGCCTGTCATGTGATGATGTCAGACACAACGTTACATCCTCTGGCCAAATCTCTGGGGTGAGATTTTTTTATTTCCCTTTTTTTCTCCAATCTCACACAAATATTTTCATTAAATTATTTATGAATCATTTATTTTGTTCCTGTTCTTATTTGAGTGCCACATTCAAAAGTCAAAAACACAAATCCTCATGTTTCTGGCTGTGGCAGTGCCCCCTGGTGGTTCAACTGCCTTTTACAGCCCTGTTACTGCCCTTGCTGATGTCCTGTCCCGTGTTCCACACAGGAGGGCGTTTCAGCAGTATTTCAAAGAGCACATCGGTTACTCCTGTCCCACAGAAGACATCTTCATTGAATAAGGTTGGACTGCACAGACTCACAGCTGACCTTCCTACATGCATGGTGGCGTTGTCTCTTCTTCTTCTTCTTCTTCTTTTTCTTCTTCTTCTCTGAGGACCTTCAGGACCGCACATCATGTGACATGTGCAGGACTGTAAGGACCGGTGAAACCTGATGGAGTATCCTCAGGCTGTAGCAGAGTTCATTTACCCACAGACCATCAGCAGAAAATAGATTTGGTTTTAATTCAGTGATGGGTTCTGCTGATTCAGCAGAAAGTGTAGGTCATGTGACTGCAAAGGTGCAGACAGGAAGTTGTTGTTGGCTTAGTTAAAAAAAACATGTACAAACCACTGTAAACAAGTTTTATATTTAAAGATGAATCGGAGAGAAGAATCCAGCTGTTGGTCCATCGTCAGGTTCCCCCTGGTGGTGGAACAGCAGCAGCAGCTCTTCTTGTAACGGTGCTTTAGGAATTATGGAAGTTTTCTGCACATGTCCTGAAGAACCTGCACCTCTGGATGTTCTTGGAGTTGATGAGTTATTTCTAAAGTTGTACCGTCTCTGCCAGAGGTTGGTTCACAATCCCGGTATAATCACCGAATGGTCAGAGGATGGAGGTGCAGCTACGCCATGGCTTGGACACTGCCTCTCAGTGAAGAGAAGATGGAGGAGAAGATGGACTGAAAGACTTGAGCAAGTCTGGAGTCTGGCCACGGCCTCAGAGTGGAGGATGAAGAGGATGAGGACGAGGACCACCAACTCCATCATGTCCTCCTGGACCGAGGCTCTGGATCAGAGTCAGGGCACTGGAAGGAATTACGTCTCCCAGCTGGATTGGGAAAATAATCAGGAATCAGGGACTGGAGACCAGGTGCGAGATCAGACCAGAGGCAGGATATGTGTGTGTGTGTGTGTGTGAGAGAGAGACTGACAGCTGGGTTCTTCAGGTGGAACCTGGTTGTTGATGGACATCTACAGCTGATGTAAATGTCCCCTCATATTCACTGCTCTCCCCACTTTTTTTCTCACCCTCCTTCTCCATCAAAACCATCTGAGCTGACATCACCTTCTGTAGGGATGTCCAATAATATCAGTCGACCGATGTTAGCATAATTATGTAATATCTGTAAGAATTGTTATCAGTTTTTCCTCTGATAATGAAAACCCTATAACGCAATGCCTGGGTTTGGCCAAACGACGTGTGCCCTAAGGATAGTTTTGGGGAAAAATGGCTGTATATAGGAACAATGGCTGCATATTAAAGTGAAAGCCACTAGTTGGCAGCATTGCAGCTCATTTAATTAATCTAGGTTGAAGAGTTCTGTTAAGCAACTGGATGTTTTGCCTCTCATCCGAGAGGCTTCTACTGAAGAAGTCTCTCGGATGAGAGGCTAAATGTCGTCTCTGCCAGCTGTTACCTGGGTCTACGTAGCTACAATAGCGCCCCCTGCAGTCCACAGACAGTGGTACAACAATAATTAGGCTGCTTCCTTTGGTTATTTTTTCTTAGGGCCATTTGAGACCAGGACCATTTGGTGAATGTCAGACCTGGGACACACGCTGACATCTGCTGGTGACTGTGTCAGGGGTGAAGAAATTAATCTATCCAAACATGTTAGCGTGCTAGCAGTGTTTTATAAATGTGCACATATGGAAGTAGCCGTGTTTGTTAGCACCACTGCTAGCATGTAGCGTAATGCACTAACACAAAGCCTTTTATTTTGAGAGTCAGTCTTCAGCCAGCAGGGCCAAGCTAACCATGCTAATGCCTGCAATCTCTCTTCTTCTTTGCACTTTACTGTCAGATCTAAATCTTGAGTTACATTACTGCCACCTACTGGATCTGTTTTACTCTTTTAATGTAGAAAGGAGGTAGAAAACGTGTTGATGTTTAAAAGGAACAAATTTCAGTGAACATTTTAATGATCAGTTAAGTGTTTCTCCTTCAACATTGTTAAATCTTAATGGATTTAACACAATTTTTTAATCAAACTCTTTTTTCTCAGCCCACAGTCCTGAAAGTTACAGCTGAGGTGAAAATGTGAATTTGTTTTTTTTTGTTTGCATGCAAAAAATTTGCATCGCATTCACATTAAATACATAATCAAAAATGTGGAATTAAAAGGATGTAATAAGCTAATGGCTACAACAAAAAAAAAACTCCTTTTCGAGTTGACGAAACGTTAGAAGAGGTCAGTGTTGGTGCCTTTCATTTGGTCTTTTTCTGTTTGGGGTAAAAACCAAAAAAAGCTTCTGATCAAAATCAGAGCAGTTCACAATGGACGTGACCTGAGTCATCCAAGATGGCTGCCACTGGAGTGTAGAGGGTAGCCTACTCCTTACACCTTGACTGTCTATTTTAACCGGTGCCGACTGTCAAGCATTAATATCAGTTTTTAACGATGCATCGTCATCGTTATCCCTTGTAGACTTCAACTAGTGCTAACTGTTAACAGCTATCATCTGAATTCATGTGGCTAAGAGTGAAAACTTTTATTTATTGTACCAAATTCTTTTAGAGACAAAAGTTGATCAGAAGGCGTCTGATTGGCCAAATAGCCTTGGTATTATCTTTGGTTGAGGTGAGGCCCATATTCTGGATACCAGGTGTGGTCCATTACATTCACAGGAACACATCATGTGCTTTTTGTCCACGAGTGGGCAAAGTCCTGTTCTTCCATGTGGTGGCGCTAACATACTGTATTTGTATCACTGTTCTCAGAGGCTGCTGATAGTTTGGGTTGTTGTTTTTTTGTTTGTTTTTAGCTTAAAAATAAATCTGTCAATAAATCTGTCTGTCAGTATTTAACCCCCTGTGGCAGCGAAGGGTTTTACACTTATTCTTGTTATTATTTTATAACATGATCTTATCATTGGACCTTTAAATAATTCCCTCTCTGTCACAAATATATTTTTACTCTCTATTAAAATCCCACCCTGACAAGAAGACGGAGATTAATGGACGTGTAAATATCATGTAAACCAGCAGCCCAGCCTCTGAGGACCATGAAACAGGAAGTGACCTTCTCCTCTAGGGGAGGGGGGCTGCTGTGACATCACTCACATAGATCTATGCTGTATAGACATTGTACGTATGTATGTAAAGTTCTAAATGTATGCTGTTGGTACAAACACAGGTTCAAACGGTGCATGACGTGGTTGTTGTAAAGAAGACGGTGTTTCTGGTCAATAAATGGACTTTATCTGAACATGTTTCCACCTGTGACTGCGTTGCTGGCCCACGCCGCCATCAGGTGACCGTCCGTGAGACGTGGACTCAAGAACACAGACTACGACGAGAAGGTAGAGGATGTTTTTTTATACTTCAGTCACGAAGTTACAGTCAGTCACAGCAGTTGATTGGCTAATGGACAGAGTGACACTGCAATAACAAAAATAAAATAATAGATTTTAGGAAGCTAAAGGTCAACAGACAAAAACAAATATTAAAAACATTAAATATAAATTAAATAAATGAGACAATGATGTTGGATCTTAACGATTATGTCATATTTAATTAGAAGCCTGTGGAGGTTGTTAAAGTAATTTTGCTTTAATAGTTGTCATGAACATTACTATTATCATTATTATAAACAACATTGTTGTCATTTTCATCCATTCATTTTTCAGCCTCCTGCAGCTGCAGCCAATCCCAGTAGTCACCAGGTGGAGGCGGTGTTGATACAGTTTTCCAGTCCATCACAGTGTCATGTGTGGTGAAAAGCAACCATTCACACCGACATTTACACTAAGGGTCAGTTCAGAAACAAAAACCCAACAACAACGGTTGTCAGTTCTCGGACGAGTCCGTCTCCTCCGTGGAACCGTCGCTCTCCACCTCCATCTTCCGCCTGTGGTGGAGGTTCCTGCGGGGCGAGGCCTTCCTCTGCACCTCCTTCAGACCCACCACGGCGCTCCCACTGCTGTTACTGCCAGGACTCACGGAGATCTGAGCCAGTCTGGACACAGAGTTAGGATTAGGATAATCGATGGAAATTCCAGATCAGAAATATTAATCTGGATTGAGTGTCAGTGAAAAGATCCAAATGTAAACATGAATGAAAAGTGTTTCCACAGAACATCCTCCTTCACATGTTTATATTTGTTTAAAATGTTTTAATAAATATAGAATAATATTATTATTATTAACTCAAATATTGACCATAAATGCCCCTGAATGGCAACAAATTCACTGGACTTGGCCAACACTGACATCCCTCAGTAGTTCAGCCACCAGAGCTAAATGTTTGTATAGTAAAGAGTCAGCAGTTAGTCACCAGCTAAAAATAAAAACACGAATTATAATTGTTAGTGATTGTGTAGTTTAATGTTGATCAAAGCTAACAGGTAGCAACAATGAAACAACAGAAGTTAGCCAAAAAAGTAGCTAACAGAAGACAACACTACAACTCTCCACTAACTACTGGTTAAATGCTGAAGAAGAAGAAGAGATTAAAAACACACACGCTTCATCCATCAGTGTGTCTGCTGTTTCTTACAGTTTGTCCAGTTCCTGGTCCATTTCTGGGTCCACCAGGACGTCTGATCTGCTGGGCAGAGCTCCTGAAAAGAACCAGAGACATACTCAGCCTTGGTAAGGACCAGAGACACTCAGAGACACCTACAAACATGTCCAAAAAGTCTGGGTCTTTGTTGAACTCACCGATGTCCTGGTTGATCCTGTCGCTTTTAGACAAACTCATCAAAAAACTGTAGAAACAGATTTTATCTGATTCTTCCAGGATTTCTTTTATACACCACCTAGAGGGATGACTACATACACACACACGGTCAGTCAGACACAGCTCTGCAGTGCTGCACTCTGACCACAGGGGGCGACACTGACCTGTGATTGAAGCGCTCACACAGCGCCTCCACACACTGACTCAGCATGGCAGCCTCCACCCCGTCCTTCTGCTGCTGCCGCTGCTCCTTGTCGTTTTCTTCTGCTGCCACTGGGGGGAGCTGCTCCACAGAGGAGGAGGTTGGGACGATTACGGTATTGGGACTCTTTCCTGCCAGCAGGTCGTGATATATCATAAGGACACTGTCCAGGAACTCTGCAGACAGGGAGGATGATGGGTAAAAACGGGAAGATGAAGTTTAACTCAGAAGATACTTCAAAAATTCAAAGTGTCATTTGTTTACAGGCCGTTACCTTGGTAATAGAGCTGCAACTGAAAGGCATACAGGAAGTCAGAGAACGACATCAGGCAGTCGATGGCGTCATCCATCAGAACAATTCTATTAAACAAAACATTCAGAAGAAGAAGTTAGTATTATCCCACAGCAAAGTCTGTGAGATAAAACCAGTGATTTTCTCTGTGAGCTTTGATGTGGGAGAAACCTCAGTTTCTTTTTGTTAAAGTCTGACAATGAGATAAAAACGATGAACAAATTCTAAAAAACAAACAAACACAACAAAAAATATAAAGATGTTGGAGAGTCCGTTCACACCTGGCTGTGTTTTGAACCATTTCCACAGGGAAGTCAGGACATAAGAGCTGCAGCAGTGACCTGTACTCCTGCACTGACAACATATCTGACAACACACACATGGTCAGGCAATCAATTATTTTGTTATTTTCATTATTATTTCATGTGTAAACGTTCACAGACTTTGCAGGCTTCATGTGACCTCTGACCTCCACTCTTGCCGATCTGCCTGTAACATCTCCAGAAGGTTCTGATGAAGGACCACCTGTTGTGAGGAGTTGCTCTGATGTAGTTGAACTCTCTGAAGAGGACGTGGTTACTGTTCTTCACACTGCTGAAACTACACACAGGGAGGCACAGGTATGAACCACTTCTCCACAGCTGCCTGACCGCCAGGTGTTCTGCTAAATTCCAACTTCTTGCAGTAATACTGTATATTTTTAGAATTCTAATAATAATAATAACTACCACTTACTATTCTGCAAAGAAGCGGCTGATTCCGAATTGCGTGTATTCTTCTTTATTTTCCAACAGCTGCGTTACTGCGTCACTGAGGTAGAAGAGCACGTGACTATCCGCTGGAGAACACACATGAAGAAATTAGACAGCTCTATGTAAAATAAAAATAAATCTAGTACCATATGAGATTCAGACGGTATGTTTTAAAAAATGATTACATTATGGTAACAGATTAATTTACATTCAAATACATTTTATTGTTTGTTTGTGCAGGGATTTACTACATTACATTCATCCGTGGGAAGCTGAGGCTGCAGAGCTATCAATGCTAACAACTAACATACCCAGGTATTCTTGCACAGACACAGTGGAACTGAAACGATTCATTTTGCAGCCCTTCTTCCCAAGAAGTGACGGAGTGATTAACGCGGAGTTGTTGACGATTAAATATGATTCTTGGATGTTAAAGAAGTGTTTCGGTATTCCAACAATATCATCCTTTCCTCCCAGTCCTGCAGCTACATCCCCTGTCCGATTATGGGTGTAGACGGATGTTGTGAGTGACATCATCGAATGATCCCCTTGGCAACACGGTAGGATCAAGAGTTCCACTGCGGTATCGTTCGGTATTTACAACATGATAAACTTTGTTAATGTAGCAACGTTTTGTGTTGTAAAACCTTTAAATAATATAATTTATATTACGTTTACAATAATTGAACATTATTTATATAAACATTATTAATTATCTATTTTATAAACATTTCTAATTATCATTACCCAATATTTATATAAACATTATAAATTATCTATTTTATATATTATATAAACATTTCTAATTATCATTACCCATTGCTACATAAACATGAAATATTGTTGTATATAATATTATAATATTGAACTACAATATAATTATTTTTAAGACACAGATGAATGTGATCACAATAACTAACTCCACCCAGCAGACACAACAAAACGGGGAACAGACAGCCCTAACGCACGCTGTATTTTCACAAATGTTTTCAAAAAAAAATAATATAAGAATTCTTAGATCATTTTGTTCATGATATGAATTTAATATTAACAAATATCGTACGTCACATAGATTTGAAGGTGAAACGTATGTGAACGGCTAAAAAATCTGCAAGCGAAGTGAAATTACATTGTTTGTGTAAATGCAACGCGTTATACCACAGAACATATCGACCAATCAAATCAATTCTGGGCTGGGCGAGGCCTCGTTTGATCCAATCAGGTAATGGTTAAGGCAAAAGAAGGCGGGTCTTATTTCAAATTAAGCCAATCGCTGGTGTTCCTTGACGCGTACGTAGGAAGGCGTTTCACCTGCGATGTCTTTACAACAGAACGTTTCAGATACAAACCTCGTGCTTCGTCATCAGTGTCTACTGTTTCCTTATCTAATATTTGTACATTCATGTTCGACCTTAATTTAAATGACATTTTAGAGAACAGCCATTGTTGTCAACACGTATCCGCCCTGCTCTCAATCTCCGCCCTTGGAGACGTTTTAAAAAAAGCTGCTGTCAAGTTGCACGTACACAACCAGAAATAGCACACAGTGTTCTGTTCAAGTAAGAGCGTGAAAAATAAGCCGATCAATGAGATACGAAATTCAGCTTTGACATTAAACACTACAGTCATAAATCACTTACACTTACATATATTTGGAAAAAAATATGAACATTTATATTAAAATTCAAGTAAATATGGACAGAGGTAGTGCACATAGCAAAAGGTAGAAAAACAAAATTTCTTAGATGACGGAGTTGATAGGCAGCTAAGACAAAATAAATGACTGAATTACTATATTACTTTACTTTTACTGTAGTCTAATCTATTCTAATCTAATCCAATCTAAAGAATTTATACAATTTATATTTTCGGTTGTTTGCTATTACTATATATTATTAAAACATGATTAATAACGTTTAGAAAGTAGTGGCCACAATAGAATGGCCAAATTGTAGCAACTATAGCAGGATTACTTATAAAATTCGAATAACTAAATGTTTTAATCATTAAAAATGCATATTTACCGCCTCGGGTTCAGCGTTTAAGAAATGCAGCTGGTTATGAATTTTATTCCGAAAGCGGAAGTAAGGTCTAGTGTCGCAGGCGCAGTCAGTCAGTATATAAAGCTCGACGGGGTTCATGTCACTGTTTTTGTGTGTGTTACCGAACAGACGTCGCAGGGCGGTTTATCCTTACAGCCACAGTAGCATCAGCAGGTACCCGAATTCCGCCACATTAACAATGCTTTGATTTAACTATGTGGTTACATCTGCTGCTACACTGGTTCAAACGAGCTGTTGTTTCGTGTGCTTGTGTAAAGTGCGTGTTTCAGGCCTGGATGTGTCGCGCGGCTTGGACAAGCTAACGGCTAAAATGCTAATATAGAAGAAAGAGAGACAGGAACGACCTAAAATATAATTTCAACACAAATGAGGTTGTACTAGTCTTCAATACCGACCAATAACTGGTGCTGTCGACACCGTGTAGTTTGAAATTTCCTTGTGTTTTTTAAATAGAACAAAAGTGCAGAGGTGAAGGCGCTATTAGCATCTGTCACTGGGTGCCGTTGCTAAGTTAGCAGGTTAATGGCGCTCACCGCTGTATGTGCATGCTGACGGCTATAATTGAACGATACTTTTCAAATTAACAAATGGAAAAATAATGACTTATTAATCAGGTAGTCATGATGCTTATGATGGGAGCAGTGCGGGATAATGGATGCCAACCTAGGACAAAGTATGATGTCGAATTTGTGTGGCAGTAATCTATGATCTTCATGTTTAAAATTTAATTTTAATTTAAAATTTGGCCATCCTCCCCGAACATGGAGAACATCATGTTGTTGTCTTCAGTTGTCATTAAGTCCAGACGTAATTCAACCCTGGTTTAATGCTAAACAATGTTATTCTACGTTGAGCAACTCTGCTGCTGTTATTAAGGACAACATGTGGTCATAAAAACAAAGTTCTTAGTTTTGATAGTGAGTTTACTCTCATTGATACTCAACCCGTTTCTTGGACTTGGTACCAGTAGAAGTACCAGTGCACTTCTAGATATTCTAGATATATGGTCTTGATATTGATATTTCAAAATGAAGTTCTAGATTCCTAAATATTAGTAATGAAAGATATGAATGTTTTTAAATCAGTACCGATGAGTGATGAAGGTCTGGTCCTCCTGGCAGAGGATAAGAGTTGTTTTTGGTTTGTTCAAAAACAGTTCTAAATATTTCCGTTTCCTTTTAGTTTGACAACACTCTAACATTTCAAAAAAGATGGAAATGTTAATGGAAAAAACATTAATGTTCATTTAATATTTTTTTACAGGACTTTAACATTTGTCTTTAAACTATATATAAGTTTATTAATTGGTTCACTGCCTTTTAATGTCTCTGCTAAACTCTTTTGTACTTAAATACTTTTCCTCTGTGTGAACGGGTAAATGCACAACAAACTCAAGAAGAGAGACAAAGTCCAGAAGTTTTACAGGACTGGAGCAGAGCAATAGAAATATGAAGCTCTTCAATCACTTCCTGAAACGTGCATTAGATTATCACATGCTGCAGCTTTTAACAGACCTAAAAGGGGAGGTGGGGGAGAGTGTGGTGAGTGAGGAACTTAACTGTTAATGGTTCTCACTAAAAGGATTATTCCAGTGTTTTTTGAAGTACATCAATAACTAGATATTTTGAGAAGCATTTGAATAAATGTGCTTTAATAACTCTCATCAATTTATGTACTGAGTTTGACTGATAATTTTTTAAATTGTACTCAGTGGTTATGTTGACTGATGTAATGACCTTGTCTACCTGCAGGGATGTCTTTGTTGTTGATTATTTTTGTTGGCCTTGTCTACCTGCAGGGGTGTCTTTGTTGTTGATTATTTTTGTTGTCTACCTACAGGGGGCAGACTTGAAACCACACAAACATGACCCTGTGTTGTCTTTTTCTTTTCTGCCTCAGTATATCTCTAGTCTTTTGGGAAGCCCACCCCTCCAGTGGCCAACATGGGGGACGACAGCGAGTGGATGAAGCTTCCCATCGATCAGAAATGTGAACACAAGGTGACTGACACTACTTCCTTGGGCACATGTTGGTGCTAAACGCCTATGAAAGTTCCTAAATAAGAAATTTGAAGGATTTGAAAAACAGAAGCTGGTTTTGTTTTGGAGAATGTTCAAGTAGAAGTTTTTTTATTTTGTCTTGTCCTGTTTCTCATTGTTTCCCTCTTCTGGTACTCTTGCATGCTTACTCCTCCTACCGTTCATCGCTCCTCCTCATCGCCTCCTCATGTGACCTCCTCAGGTGTGGAAAGCCCGTCTGAACGGTTACGAAGAGGCTGTGAAACTGTTCCAGAGGATACACGATGAGAAGAGTCCAGAGTGGGGGAAGTACCTGGGCCTGATCAAGAAGTTTGTAACAGAGTCGAACGCTGTGGCTCAGCTCAAAGGACTGGAGGCAGCGCTGGTCTTTGTCGAGAACGCTCATGTGGCTGGGAAGTAAGTCTGGAGTCAGGACCTGAATGAGAAACAGGAAGTCTGTCTGCTTTGTTCTTGAAATGGAAAGTTCCACAGTTTGTTCTTTAGAACATGGTGAAAGTGCTGATTTGTTGTCTCCACACAGGACCACAGGTGAGGTGGTGTCCGGCGTCGTGACCAAAGTGTTCAACCAGCCCAAGGCTCGAGCCAAAGAGCTGGGAATGGACATCTGTCTGATGTATGTAGAGATAGAGAAGGTGGAGGTGGTGCAGGACGAGCTGCTGAAGGGACTGGACAACAAGAACCCAAAGATCGTGGTGGCCTGCATTGAGACTCTGAGGAAGGCCCTCAGGTCAGTGACAGGGAATCGTACCTGTGATCTCTGCGCTGCACTGCTGCATGTAAACAAAGACTTAGGGTTCCGTCTTGTCCCTGTCTCCTCACAGTGAGTTTGGGTCTAAAATAGTGACATTGAAGCCCGTGGTGAAGGTTCTGCCCAAACAGTTTGAGTCCAGAGAGAAGGCAGTGAGAGACGAAGCCAGGCTGCTGGCCATCGAGGTGTACCGATGGATCAGAGACGCTCTGAGGCCTTCACTGCAGAACATCAACTCTGTTCAGGTTCGCCGTCGTCCGACTCTAACATCGTCCAACTCCTAAGGTCGTCTCCACTCACTCTGCCTTTTCTTTTGTCCTACAGCTGAAGGAGCTGGAGGAGGAGTGGGTGAAGCTCCCGTCTGCTCCTCCCAAACAGAGCAGATTTTTGCGCTCGCAGCAGGACCTCAAGGCCAAATTTGAACAGCAGAGTGCAGAGGGGGGAGGAGGCGGCGAGTGTGATGGTGGGTTCTGCTGCTGTCAACCAAAACTTTCATCACTTTCATCTACCTTAGATATCCTGTTGGAGCATGTGATCACATGACCTGCAGTAGTGACCTTCCCTATTTGACCTTAGGTGTTATGGTAATCCAAGCTGTTCTAAATCCACAGGTGGATTTATCTACTCAGACCAGTACCAGACTGGTACTGAACCTTCAGTGCTGGTCTACCCAGACCAGTACCAGACTGGTACTGAACCATTGAAGAAACACACGTAAAAATGACAAAACAAAGACCAGAGTAAAATACAGTTCCAGTTCCAATCCTAATAATCATGTTTGCAAAGTTACTCTGGAAGAATATGTGCTGTGACCTTTATAAATCAGTCCCATCATTTCAGGTTCTGCCTTGACCAGTCTGGAAGAATGTTGTATATTCCTGAATATTGAGCAAGTTTTGGTGATCACACAGTCTGTCTCAGTTCAGTACATGAAAACATTTCCTGCCCTGGTGTCTTCACAGATGACGACATGGCCGAGGCAGAAACAGCCGTCGATCCGTACGAGCTGCTGGAACCCGTGGAGATTCTGTCCAAACTTCCCAAAGACTTTTATGACGAAATAGTGAGTTCCGCTGACCATGTTCCACTTCCTGCTCCTTATGGAGAAGATTGAACAACACGTGTGAATCTGTACCCCAACGCAACATACAGATGGCGCTGTTTGACCAGAGTCTCTGTTTTCACAGGAATCTAAAAAATGGCAGGAGAGGAAACAGGCTCTGGAAGCCATCGAGGCTCTCGCCAAGAACCCTAAACTGGAGAACGGAGACTATGGAGACCTGGTTAGAGCCCTGAAGAAGGTCAGAACTGGTGTTTCATGACAGGAGTTTTGTTGGTCACAAAGGCAGGTCTGATGTTTTGTTTGTTTGTTTGTTTCCAGGTTGTGGGTTTTGACGCCAATGTGATGTTGGTGTCGATGGCCGCCAAGTGTCTGGCTGGACTGGCCTCTGGACTCAGGAAGAAGTTTGGAACCTATGCAGGACTTGTGAGTTTTTTTTTTTTGTTTTTTTTTTAACGTTTATGTAAACAAGAGAGAAGCTTCAGATCTGCTCCAAACCCAGAGCCGAGTCTGGAGACCTGGAACAGGATTTAGTCCTGTAGTTCTCACCATTGTTGACACAGTGATCAGTGACTGACTGTTACATCTGATTGGTGTGTTCAGGTGGTTCCTACCATCCTGGAGAAGTTTAAGGAGAAGAAGCCTCAGGTTGTGCAGGCGCTGCAGGAGGCCATCGACGCCGTCTTCCTGACTGTGAGTCTAAAAAAAAAAAAATGTCAACTGTTGTCATTTTCTTTTCTTTTTTTCTGTAGTCAAACCTTAATTTGTGGAAACATTTCACATCATTCTGAGTTAGTTGTTAGATTGGTTCACTTATTTAAATAAGTAAACAATTACAGTTCCACAGAGATGGCCCTAGAGGGCAGCAGAGAACTTCACTTCAACTGACAATATCAAAATAAAATACAAATACAAACACTGCAGTACTTGCAGATGAATGCTGCAGACAGCATTTACAGATGAGGCCCGCAGCTTCTCTCCCTCTCCTCAGGGGGCGATACAAATGCTCTGTTTCGTTTATTTTTATATATAAATATATATATACAAACTGATACTGTACCTTGCTAAAACTTTTATTATATTATAGTCTTGAAGACTTTGTCATAATCTGACATCACCTTTGAAAACCCACTGTTGTACTGACAGGGAAATCTAATGTTCCTACAGGGGGAGCTATTGACACCGTTGTAATGTCCAGCCTCATGATCTGAGTATTAAGTTTTGGAGACACATAATTCAAAGCTCATCGCATGAACTGATGTTCGCCAACGTCCTAATTGACGTTCGCTGCCATGCAGACGTAATCTGATGCTAGCTACTGAACGGACTGACGTGTTATAACAGCTATATAGATAATATCGAATCAGAATTCATATGTGCGGATTTGTTTTTCCTCTGCCAGACATCCCTCCAGAACCTTTCTGAGGACATCCTGGCTGTGATGGACAACAAGAACCCGTCCATTAAGCAGCAGGCGTCTCTGTTTCTTGCCCGCTCCTTCAGACACTGCACTCAGTCCACGCTGCCTAAAAGCCTCCTCAAACCCTTCTGTGCTGCTCTCATCAAGGTACCAGAAGCTGATCATCAGAGTACTGGTTATCAACCAGAGTCCAGTCAAAACCACAGAAATCTGATCTTTGTTGTCCCTCTGTTACGTCACAGCAAGTCAACGACTCGGCTCCCGAGGTACGAGACGCTGCCTTCGAGGCTTTGGGGACGGCCATGAAGGTGGTGGGAGAGAAGGCTGTGAACCCTTTCCTGACTGATTTGGACAAACTCAAACTGGATAAGGTGAGAAGAAAGAGAAAGATAAATCCTGATTAAAAAGTTTTTGGTTTTTTTCTTTTCCCCCTTCTTTGACATCTCACGTCATGATTTTTCTGAGAACAGATTAAAGAGAGTGCAGATAAAGTGGAGCTCCCTGGAGGGAAGAAGTCTGCAGGAGGAGCAAGCAGTGGGGGAGCAGGGGATAAAAAAACTGCAGCTAAAGCCCCGCCTTCTGCTGAAGCTCCACCCAGAGCCTCTGCTCCGCCCAAATCCTCAGGTCCACCCAAGAAAACCCAAACGTCTGCTTCAGGAAAGGTACAAAAATCACATGTTTAAGTTTGTGTCCATGTTGTCGCGATCGATGTGTCTGAACGACTGTTGTTGTTACAGCCATCCTCAGGTCAAGCAAAAAAAGGCAAATCAGCCGCCGCAGGTGGAAAGAAGACGTCGGACAGTAAAGAAATGACGGAGACTGAACTGTCGGTGAGTGGGAGATAATCCTGTTCTTAATAAATTCATGTGTTGAAGTGTTTAAGGACCAGTTACATCAATGAAAACACATTCAACCATATCACCTTCACGGCCTAGTCACATCTTTGTCCACCACCAAAGTCCATAGAGAAAATGAGTAATTTTTTTCTAAGAATGACCATCAGGCCTTAGAGCCGAAGTCACCAAATATATTTGTCAAAGGGACGAACATTTTTTAGCTGATGAATCTGTTTGTGTTTCAGCCTGAGGCGTGTGAGGATCTGGCTGCAGGAGTACTTCCTGCTTCCTGTCTGCAGCAGCTGGACTCCACCAATTGGAAGGAGCGACTTGCCAGCATGGAGGATTTCCAAAGGGTAAACACACAGTAAACACACCAGCAGTTAGTCGGTCACCCTGGTTAGTTATGGGGAAAAAAAAGTCATCTGAATGTTTCAGCTGTCCAATCAATGTTCTTATGTTTGTTTCAGGCTGTGGAGACCATGGAGAAGTCAGCCATGCCCTGTCAGGCTCTGGTCAAGATGTTGGCCAAGAAACCTGGCTGGAAGGAGACCAACTTTCAGGTCAGTTGTTGTCATATGGTTTTTTTTTTGTTGTTGTTGTTTTTTTTTTTTTTTTATTGCCAGATTCTCACCAATACACACTTGAACTAGTAACTTTTCTCCTTATGCTTGGTGGTCGTCTGGGCCTCAGTCTGGTACTGATTATTGTCAAAGTTACTGCTCATCAGTGTTGCCTCCTTCCCCTCTTCTTCTATCTTCCTGTACAGGTGATGCAGATGAAGCTGCGCATCGTGGCTCTGGTCGCTCAGCGAGGACAATTTTCAAAGACATCGGCCTCTGTGGTCCTGGAGGCTCTGGTGGACAAAGTGGGGGACGTCAAATGTGGAGGAAACGCAAAGGAAGCACTGACAGCCATCGGAGAGTCCTGCTCTCTGCCCTGGACTGCTGAGCAGGTTTGGATCAGCGTCTTTGTTAGTTCTGTTAGAATAATCCTGAAGTGTAAATCAACCTGAACTGTTTCTTTGTTTTTGGTCAGGTGGTCTCTCTAGCGTTTGCACAGAAGAATCCAAAAAACCAGGCGGAAACTCTGAACTGGTTGGCCAACGCAATGAAGGAGTTTGGTTTTGCAGGGTAATAAAAATCAAAAAATATCTTTAACACCAATTTGATTCAATGGTAAATTGAAGGTAGAAAACATAAGATTGAAAAATAAGATTTTTTTTAAAATTTATATATATATTTTTATGATTTTTGTTTGACCCTTGTCCAGTATCAACGTCAAGGGCTTTATCAACAATGTGAAGACTGCACTGGGGGCCAGTAACCCCGGTGTGAGAACATCAGCCATATCTCTGCTGGGGGTCATGTTCCTGTACATGGGAGCGCCACTGAGAATGTTCTTTGAAGACGAGAAGCCGGCGCTGCTGTCACAGATCGATGCTGAGTTTGAGAAGGTAAACGACCGTGAACAATGTTCAACACAGACCTTGTTGAAATGATCAACCAGTTCATTAAATGTTTTACTTTGTTTGAAATGTGTAGAAAATATAAAAACTAGGGATGACTGATTTGATGGAGAATGAAAGTCATTTTCTTACTTTTTTTTCTTTTTTGCTTTAAATGAGGAGAAAAGGAGGGAAAAAATGAAATCACATTTTCAACAGTTCTGTTTGACTCTGCTCATAGAAACACTCTTTGTCGTTGGTGCAGCTTCTGAAGGTCAAAGGGCAGATTTGTTTTCTTCCCTCCACTGTTCCAGAAGGATATTTTTTCAGGGTTTTTTTTCATCAAATTTATATATTTTTTTAAAAATCTGTATAAACAGATGCAGGGTCAGTCTCCACCAGCTCCAATCAGATGCATCAGGAAATTGGCGTCTGCAGCAGATGAGGAGGGGGATGACGGAGAGGAGGGGGATGAGGACGGAGGAGGAGGAGGAGGAGGAGGACAGGATATCATGGACCTTCTGCCCAGGACAGATATCGGGTGAGAGACAGAGGATACTGTGTCTGTACAGTGTTAGTATTTGATACTGCAGTATAAAATACCCCAGCTCTGGTTTTAAAATCCTGGGTTTTTTTATTCCTCTGATATTTCAGTGACAAGATCACATCTGTGCTGGTGTCAAAGTTGGAAGATAAGAACTGGAAGATCAGGAAGGAGGGTCTGGACGAGGCCGCCGCCATCATCTCAGAGGCCAAGTTCATCACAGCCAACATCGGGGAGCTGCCTCTGGCCCTGAAGGGACGACTCGGTGACTCCAACAAGATCTTGGTAAAGACTCCTCATAGGAAACTGTCTGAAACCTGGAGCTCTGATATGTTAACCTCCAGGCGCTAAAGAATTTTGACGTTTGACTTTTCCTCTGTGACAGCGTTGTCTTCTCTGACCAGAGTGTATTTGTGTGTTCATTCAACAGGTTCAACAGACGCTGACCATCCTGCAGCAGTTGGCTACAGCCATGGGAGGTGGACTTAAGCAGCATGTGAAAGCACTGGGATTCCCTGTCATCACTGTCCTGGGAGACAGCAAGGTACTGGACACACACACACTTTGACTCGCTCACACACTGTGAGTCATGTGAAAGAAAGAAAAAATCTTCCATCATGTACTTAAATGCGTTTGTGGAGCTGAGTGACGGGAAACGATTGTCACCTGTGGACCGTGGGGGACAGACTCTAAAGTTACAGTTGTTGGTTTACAGGCCAACGTGAGGGCGGCAGCCATGACCACTCTACAGGCGTGGGTGGAGCAGACAGGGATGAAGGAGTGGTTGGAGGGAGAAGAAATGTCTGAGGAGCTGAAGAGAGAGAACCCTTTCCTGAGACAAGAGGTGAAGACACACAGATAAAACTGGGGTTGTGACAGATTGATGTGGGATGTCGGTCTCTGAAGAACCTCAGACCCTGAAATGATGCCGGTCTGTGTCCCACCAGGTTCTGGGCTGGTTAGCAGAGAAACTGCCCACGCTGAGGACGGTTCCTGCAGATCTGATGCTGTGCATTCCTCAACTGTATGCTTGTCTGGAAGACAGAAACGGGGACGTGAGGAAGAAGGCTCAGGACGCACTGCCCACCTTCATGATGCACCTGGGCTACGACAAGATGTCCAAGGCCACGGGGAAACTCAAAGTAAAAAAAAAAAAAACTTACGACAAGATGTCCAAGGCCACAGGGAAACTCAAAGTAAAAAAAAAAACAAAAAAAACTTAGATCTCAGTGATGGTCTCTTTGTGTTCTGTGTGTAGTCTGTCCTGTAACAAAGACAGAGAGTTAGCTGCTGCTGAGTGAGCTGCTGCTGTTTGACTTTTGACCTTTTAATTTGCCTCTTTCTCTCTTCAGCATGCCTCCAAAGATCAGGTGATGGCCATGTTGGACAAGGCCCGAGCATTGATGCCAGCCAAACCTGAAGCTCCTGCCAAGGCCAGTGGGGGCAGTAAAGGCTCAGCAGAGTCCAGCAGAGCTCCGTCAGGTCAGTATCATGATCATCATCATCATGTGACCCTCAGTGTATTAACATGTTTCCTGAAGTGTATTTCAAACCTTCTCCGTCTGTAGTCGGTTCCTGAAGAACCAGAGTAAAAATCATATATTGTTTTCTTTTCTGCAGCCTCCAGGGCTCAGTCTTCCAACGATGATGTCACTGACCGTAAATCTGAAGTGAAGAAGGTGAAGGGAGGAGCTGTTCCTGCTAAGAGGGTAGGTGTAGGTTTTTTTTTCTTTCTTAGTCTCCCTTTGATCTTGACCTTAGGTGACCTTCCTGTAGGATGAAAATGAGGTGTTCCAGTGTTTGGTTCATCGTTCCATCTGCATTTGTCACTGTCCACATTACCATGTTCTGTTTGTTTATAATTTGTTTACAATTTTTATTTACTCAGTCTCCCTCCCCTTCCGAGGACCCCGCCCCTTCCCCTCCCTCCAAGGACAAGGACAGTAATGGTAGTAAAAAGCTGCCGGGCAAAAGAAAACCTGCTGCTGCTGCAGCTGAGAGAAGAGAGAGGGAGAGGGTCGTCAGTCTGTCTGCTGTCGGTCCTCCTCCTCGCCCACCTTAACCTCCTCACCCTCCTCCTTTACCTGCTCCTCTTCCTTCACTCCCTCCACCTCCACCTGCTCCTCTTTCCCAGTACAGCAGTCAGAGCTGATGAGTAACGTTCCACAGTCATGACGTTCTCTAACCTCGTCTCCCCCGTCCCTAATCCTCTGACTCCTCACACACTAAAAACCACTGCAGAGGGATGGGCGTCACAGGTTACCAAAGAGAAACAGTACTGTTCCTAATGAACCAAAGACCGTTGTTTAAGTGCCGATTCTCTTTGTATACTAAGTCATCAGAACTTTCAAAAATAAATAACAAAGTTCCTGATGCCCATCCCTGGTACTGCACTGTACGTGGGCATGTAGTCAGTCACATGGTTCTGATTTTCTGAGGTGATTTAATGCAGAAGTCTAACACACGTGCATGTTGATGGAGTTCACTGGAGTCACTACTACTATGTCCTCTGTGTTTGTGTTTTGCCCTGGAATAATCAACACGCCCCTTATATTTGTTGTATATAACCATCACTGACAAGTTTTGATCAGAACACACAGTTGCCTGGACATCACTGTAGACCACTCATAAGAAATGGTTCTGAATGGATCCAATGGTCATTGTACAAAGACATCGTGTGAAGTGTACTTGGCCGTTACCTGTGTTTGTCATGGATTAACTTTAACACACACGTGTGGTGACCATTTAAAGCTTAGTGATTGGCTCACGCTCTTCTTGTCTGCGACTCCTCTCTCAGGGCGCTGCTGGTAAGAAACCTGCGGCTAAAGGCATGAAGGAGGACGAAGATAGGTCTGGACCCATCTTCACTCTGGTTCCTAACGCCAAAGAACAGAGGGTGAAAGAAGAGAAGCAGCTGAAGGTGAAGGGCATTTCTGTCACTGATGAAACCTTCCTAAGACGTTGGCTGTTTGTTCTGACCCAAGACGTTCTTCTGTCCCACCGTAGATCCTGAAGTGGAACTTCATCACGCCCAGAGACGAGTACGTGGAGCAGCTGAAGACTCAGATGTCTACCTGCTTTGCCAGGTGGCTGCAGGAGGAGCTGTTTCACGTGGACTTCCAGAGACAAGTCAAGGCCATCGGAGTCATGATGGAGGTGAGGGCCGCTCCTCCTCCTGCAGGAGGTCTGTAACGCCAGTCCTGGGTTCTTTCTGTTGATCACTGTGTCTTCTGACAGAGGATGGAGAGCGAGTGCGAGGCCACCATTGGCTGCTTGGACCTGATCCTGAAGTGGTTCACGCTGCGGTTCTATGACACCAACACCACAATTCTGATGAAGGTTCTGGAGTACCTGAAGCTGCTCTTCACCACGTTGACCCAGGAGAATTACCACCTGTCGGAGTACGAGGCAAACTCCTTCATCCCCTACCTGATACTGAAGGTGAGGCACCACAGACCAGAACCTCTGTCAGTTATAGGTCTGTGTACTGGCAAAAATCAATACACAATATATTGTGATACTGTAGTTTTGTTAATTGTTAAAATATAATCTGTACAGTACTGAAGAATATTGATACCGTAAATCCGTACAGTACTGAAGAATATTGATACCGTTACTGTGAAACCGAGTATATATTTCAGTGTATCGACGATTTCTTACACCCTTACTCAGTTCCTTTCTTCTTCTTTTTTTTCCCCCCTCTATACTTGCATGTTTTGGTCGTCAGGTGGGCGAGCCTAAAGACGTGGTTCGTAAAGACGTGCGCTCCATCCTGGCCATGCTGTGTAAGGTCTATCCAGCGTCCAAGGTCTTCCCCTTCCTCATGGACGGAACAAAGTCCAAGAACTCCAAACAGAGAGCTGGTACGTCTTCATCAGGAGCTTCGTGTTCTTTTAACATGTTTTTATATATATATATATATTCCAGCTAATCACCTTAAAAAGTACTTTACTCATTTTAGTGCATTAAATTGTTATTAATAATTGCTAGAAAAATGCAATTTATCTTGACTATAAATGTATTCTTGTTACTGGCGCCCCCCTCAGAATGTCTGGAGGAACTGGGTTGTTTGATCGGAGCTTACGGGATGAACGTCTGTCAACCAACTCCAGCCAAGTCTCTAAAGGACATCGCAATCCACATCGGAGACAGGGACACGTCCGTTCGTAATGCCGCTCTCAACACAGTGGTGGCGGTCTACAACGTGTGCGGCGATCAGGTGTACAAACTGATTGGAACGGTAAGAAGAGCTGATTGGACATCGTCGGTTGTCACTCACTTGCCCTTGTGCTGAGTGTTTGTTTTTTGTTTTTTTTTTTTCCTTCCAGTTGTCAGAGAAAGAAATGAGCATGTTGGAGGAGAGGATCAAACGTTCAGCCAAAAAGACTCAAGCTGCACCAGCCAAACAGAGCGCCACCGACAGGCCAGCTCCAAGAGAAAACGCCACCAATCCTAAAGGCACATTCCTGCGAAAACCTGCTCAGGAAGACCCCAACAAACTCAAGTAGGTGGTTTTTGACATGGGGCCGTGGGAGGGTGTGTGTGCGTGGGCTTTGTATACACACACACACACCTGAGTAAATGTGTGTGTGTGTGTCTGTGTGAGAGAGGTGAGACTCCAGACTAAGGATCTCACACCTGCACAATGTTTGATGTTCGTTTGATTGACCAATAACGGTTGTCGCTCACATGACCTGATTAGAGTCTCTGTGGTTTGTTCTTCTCTGACTTGCTGCATGTCGCGTTTCTGTCACTGACACTTCCTGTGAACCTGTCTGTTGGTTCTACTCTGTATGTTAGTGCACGTGTGTGTGTGTCTGTGCATGTGCACGTGTGTCTCTCTGCCCGTCTGTTCTTTAACCCTTCGTCTTTCTTCCTGTGTGGTTTCTCTTCTTTTCTTCTGCCTGACAAACTTCCTTTTGGAGCAGACTAATGTATCGCACGTATAGAATGTGAGTACTTCCTCTTCCTCTTCCTCCTCCATGCTGACAAACCACACATTAACCATTAACCACATCTGTGTTGTGAATGTCGTGACAGTGTTTTATTTTCTTCTTTCTCTCCTAACTACTTTAAATTTTACATCCTTAAAATACTTAAATAACACTGTTTATTTAATGTCATTTTTTTTAATAATGTTTCTGGGAAACATAACCTGCATCCTGACTTATTTTGGGGGGGGTCGCTCCACCTTGATTCCTACTAGCAAGTTACAAAATTGGAATGCTCATATTTTGTATTGGTTTTAAATTTATATGTTTGACTCCAGTTATGTAGGAAAACAGTTTTCTTCTGTACATCAGTGAGCCGTCAGTGGCTGCTGTAGTTGTAGAAGTCATAATGTCATGTGTCATAATGTCAATAGTTTGTCCTCAGAGAGGCTGTCCTCACGGTTAACGCTCATAAACAGAATCGACCAATGAATCTCTGGTTGTGCTAGTCTGACTCACAAATATGTATAAATTACCCAAACAGTCATCACTAAAGAGCTGAAATCACTGAAAAGTCCCCCACACCAAAACAGCAGAGAGAAAATCAGTCACTGATCAGGTCCACTGCTGTCTCCATCACCAAGTTCAAACTGTTGGAAATGATTTGTTCATCTGTAATCACTGATTTTCTCTATGGACTTTGGTCCAGGGACAGTGAGTGGTCTCATTCTTGGACGCGGCCAGTGATGGTCAGACCAGCAGCTATAAACACTGACTGATTTAACACCAAAAGTATTTTCCTCTGCAGCCAATCCCGTCAGAATGCACAGCAGAGTGAGCAGTCCTCCGACTCCACTTCCATTCCTAAGGAGTTCCAGCTGGACCTGGACCTGATCGAGCGCGACCGGAATATTGTGTACGAGATGCCTAACCTCATTGAGCACAAGCTGGACGAGCTACTGGAACTGGAGCGACTGGAGCCAATCACGATGCCCAAATGCACGTAAGTGGAGGCACCAGAAGAAGAGGAACGGGAGTGTGAAACATTTCCACCTCTGACCCTGTTTATTTTCCTCTTCTTCTTCTTCCTGTTCTATCAGGGTGCGTGCAGCCTTTCCAAACTTTGATGACGTTCACAACAGCACAGCGTCCACCATCAACTTTGTCATCTCCCAGGTGGCCAGCAGTGACATCAATACCAGCATACAGGCCCTGGCTCAGGTAACACACACACACACACACACCTGTCATGTTATTCAGGTGTGTCCAGGCACAGTCTTTGTTGTTCACGATAAAACTCATATCCACATCCGTTTAATTTAAACTGGTTCTGTCTGTGTTTTTATAATTATATTCATTAGGAGGATGACCTCTGACCTTATTATTATAAAACCCTTGTATTTTTTTTCGTTCCTGAATTAATTTTTTTAAATTTTTTCTCAGAGAAAAACTGAAGCAGCACTTTCTCCTCATCCTGAGTGTGTTTGTGTGTCCCTCAGATCGATGAGGTCCTGCGGCAGGACGACAAGGCTGAGGTGATGTCTGGTCACATCGACCAGTTCCTCATCGCCACCTTCATGCAGCTGCGGCTCATCTACAGCACCCACATGGCCGACGAGCACATGGACAAGAAGGACATCATGAAACTCTATAGTTGTATCATAGGGAACATGCTGTCGGTGAGTTGACTCCGCCCCTCAGGTCATGTGACAGCAGCGATATGAGAAAATTATGAAAGGTTAGAAAAACTGTGTCTGGCTCCGCCTCCTCAGCTCTTCTCAATGGAGCCGCTGGCCAGGGAGGCATCCATGGGTGTGCTGAAGGACCTGATGCACGGTGTCATCATGCTGATGTTGGACAGCAGGGTGGAGGACATGGAGGATGGACAGCAGCTCATCAGATCAGTCAACCTGATGGTGATCAGAGTCCTGGAGAAGTCGGACCAGACAAACATCATCAGGTCAGAACCAGGGAACCGTCCGACTGGAGCCAAAGTTGACAACCATGACTCGGAGTCTGGGTTTCTGGTTCTGACTGGTCGTCCACATCTGAACCCCTGACTCCGTCAGTCTGAATTAGACAGGAAGTTTGACTTCTGAATTTCCCTGCACCAAAGTATTTATTCATTTAACATTTTAGACCATTTTTGTATTTTGGTGTGGCCAACTCGGGCAGCAGGGGGCACTCACAGCTTGGTTAAAAAGGCCGTGTTACCTGTGAGTCTTGAATGTTGTTCTTGGTTCTGTCTACAGTGCGCTGCTGGTTCTACTCCAGGACAGTCTGTTCATGACGACCTGTTCCCCCATGTTCTCTCAGCTGGTCATGAAGGTAAAACGTCCTCCACTTCCTGTCACAGCCGGTCTCACCACATCACCCCTCGTCTCCATCCATTTTATCCTGACTCCACCCTTTTATGCACTGTCCATTTCTCTGGACAGTTGACCCTTAAATACTCCTGCTCACATGATCAGTCTAATCACCTTATATTTACCCACATGTATTCTGACGTGTGTGTGTGTTCAGTGTCTGTGGCGGATGATCCGTTTCCTCCCTGAGACCATCAACAGCATCAACCTGGATCGTGTCCTGTTGGACGTTCACAACCTGATGAAGGTTTTCCCCAAAGACAAACTGAAGCATTTGAAGAGCGACGTCCCCTACAGGACGCTGAAGACGCTGCTGCACACACTCTGCAAACTAACTGGAGTAAAGGTGAGGTTTTTTTTATTGGGTTTTCAACCAACAACCTTCAGTTCATTGATGAATGTAATTAAACGTCATTTACTGTCTGGTACCAACAGATCCTGGACCACCTGTCCATGATCGAGAATCGGAACGAGTCAGAGCTGGAGGCCTACCTGAGGCGTGTGGTCAAACACTACGGACAGCTGTCTGGACCCAAGACTGACCGGGACGAGAAGAACAGTCTGAGGACGGTGAGTACCCAGGGACCCGCTCCCCGGGTGATCACATGACTCTGATTTGCATCTGTTAACATGCGTCTGTTTCTTTGGTCAGAGTGATCGACTGTCGAAGGCCATGGTCAGTGACGTTCTTTCAGAGATCTTCAAGAAGATCGGATCCAAAGAGAACAGCAAAGAAGTGAGTTCAGCTGTAGCATCAGAACCCAAAGATCCAAGGTTCTGTAGGGAGTGTGAAATAACCCGGATGTTGTTTTAGGGTCTGACGGAGTTGTACGAGTTCAAGAAGAACCACCCGGACATAGACCTAGAGCCCTTCCTGCAGCACACTACCCTGGTCTTCCAGAACTATGTGGAACGTGGCCTTCAGCACATCGAGTCAGAGAAGGAGACCAAGTCCCGCATCCAGAACTCAACAGGTACCAGAGGAAAATGTTCTTCAGTCAAATCATACTTTTTAAATTTTTACATGTATTGTTGGTTTTAGTTTGCATTGAGGTTTTGTAGGAAAACCCGTCAGTAGGGGGCAGTGTTGCACTTTTTTTATCGTCCTCAATCAGATTAACATCAGTTGATTCTCACATCAGTAAATACTGAACCGACAACCCTGGTTCCTCCTTATTTACTCTCTATGCTAATGACTGCATTATCTGAACACTGGTTGTCATGACTGCATTATCTGAACACTGGTTGTCATGGTAACACTGCAGCGTGTGATTACAGTGATCTCCCAGCACGGCCAGGACTCCAGCGTCTCCAATGAGGAGGAGCAAAAAACGGCAGGTTATTACGAGAGACTGAAGATCCTTAAACAAAGAATTGTCCACGATAACATGGTGAGCACCACACACACACATAAACACATGTTTTTCCAGACTGTCTTTAAAAAGTAACTTTATGTTAATGATAAAATAACTCCAAGATTATAATTTCACCATGTTCATCCCTCACCTCTGTGTCCCAGGGCGTCGGAGGGGGCGGAGACAACGAGCCAGCTCAGAGAGGCCTGGCCACCTCGAAGCCGTCAGTGCCGTCATCCACCGACATGCTGCACAGTAAACTGTCTCAGCTGAAGGAGTCCAGGGAGATGCACCAACAGGAGCACAACGTGCACGCTCCTGCACACGCTCACGGAAGCTCCAGCTCCCCTGCCACCCTCGACGACCTGAAGAAACGTCTGGAGAGGATCAAGAGCAACTGGCAATGAGGAAGAGCCAAAGAGCTGGTAGAACCTGTGACATCACAATGTCATCATCATCATCATACACATTAGTTTCTTTTTTTTAATTAACTTGAAGTTTACAAACTCACATTTTAGATTCATGTAACAAACTTTTTTTTAAAGCGTTAAAAGACGATGCTCACGCTGAAAACAGAACAGTTTTGGTTCTTCTCCACTAGGTGGCTAAATCTGTTTTGAGTGTGACAGTGTAAGGTTTTCATGGAGTAGTTGGCTCGATGTCAGAGCGTCTAAGTGTTTCAACTCTGGATGGACAGGAAGTTGGCGACATTGTCACAATTTGCTCTTAGCTTCTTGAAAAATATTTTTTACAGTGTACACATTTAGCTTAGCATTAGCCAGCGAATGATCGAACAGTCATTTGTACGTTGAGGTGAGCGCATTAAGAGTGAGTGAAATGATCGTACACACACACACGCACCGTCCTGTGTAACAGTTTTATTTCCGTTCTAACATGTTATTTAAAGTCTTTGTTTGTTGTTTGTTTGTAAATATTTAAAAGTTGTACAAAACTCAGCTGTAACTGTGTGGGTGTAGCAGAAGCAGCTGAGCGTCAGCTCTTTCAGTGTTTTCATTTTAACACCAAGTAACCGTTGCCCTCCAGTGGCAGACCGCTGAACATCATTCGTATTTTAAATCAACCTTATCTGAGATTCCTGTAGGTTTAAGACGCTGATGTGACGTAGACGACCTCAGCTGCTTCTGGGTCTGACTTTTCAGTACGTTCTGCCCCGACAGGTACTTCCTCTGCTGCCATCTAGTGTGCGTTCACTGCAGCCACTATGACGGTCCATTTGTTCTTAGCACTTAGCTTTTTGTTATTGCCCTGCAGATGAAAGTTTGTTGTTGGTGGGTGGAGTCATGTACAGGTGTGTTTGTGCTGTAAATACTGTATTTAACAGTTAGCCCCGCCCCCACTTCCTGTAGAGCCAACATGGCTTCCACTCTTTTCCTCACAGAAGCATGAAGACGTTTCATTTCGTGTAAATAAAGTTCCTCTGAACAGACGCTGCTGTTCGATGCCTTCATCACTGGTCACATGTTGGTGATGAAGATGAAGTGTCTTCTGTCGTGTAGCTGAATGTTGACTTAAAAAGGACAAAAAAAAAAAAATAACACAATTAACTTTGATTTTGTATTTAATTCAGTTCCAGTCTCTTACATTGTTGCTGTATAATCCATGGTGAAAATGACAATAAAGTCTTGTTTTTTAACAATCCCTTTGCTTCAGGCTGAAGATTTTTATGTCCTGATTTGTATTTTCTCCAGTCCACAGAGATAAAAGGGCAGTAGTGGCTTAGTGGTTAAGGAAGCCGACTTGATCCGGATGGCTCCAGGTTTGAGTCCACCAGCTGCGAAGTTACCACTGAGGTGCTCTGAGCAAGGCACCGTCCCCGCACACTGCTCCCCGGGCGCTGCCCACTGTCCACTTTAGTGATGGGTTCAAAGCAGAGGTCACATTTGCTGTATCACAATGACAAATGTGTTCATTCAGGTGAATGATTTTAGGTTGGAGACACGGAGCTGCTGGTGCACTGCTGCCACCTAGGAAGAATGATTTCAAACAGTTAAATTAGGAGGCAGTGGATCAACGAGGACTGTTTCTGTGAGAGAAAATCGCTGAATTTCTCCATGAGGTTTGGTGAGAACAGGTGTTTTCAACTTAAATGGATCTTAATGTGGCTGAGGGTTTCACACACAACTTGTTACTGCACACAAGGGTTTGTTTAATGAATTGAAATGTGTGTGTGTGTGTGTTCATTCAGGTGATTAACTCAAGTCCAACTTCTTTCAGCTGCAGCTTCATCTTTTCAAAAGGAACTGATATGGAAGAAATGTGTCGATCCTCCTGACTGCTCCTTTATCCTGCTGCCTGTTTGTGTGTGGGCTGCTGTGACTCTTGTTCGTGTGGAATTGTCCAACAAAGCAGGAACAGGAAGTAAGTGAATAGAACTCACGCCGAGCGTCACCAAAGTCCAGTGTTTGTTTTGCATGTGTGTGTGGTGGGAACTTTTGACACCGTTAAGAAATGTATTTCATCTCCCCATAAACCAAAATCACTGATTTTCTCTATGGACTTTGGTCTGAGCTAAAGTCACTCACCTTGTTCTGAACGCCGTTCATTTCCTCCTCGGCTTTGGTCGGAGTCGGAGTTTGATTCCTTCTTGTTTCTTCTCTCTCAGATACGACTGTTGGGATTAGAGGAGCAGCAGATCCCTGACCGGGTGAGCCACTGGCTGGATTAGCCGTTTCCTGCCCAGACACAAAGCGGTCCAGCAGGAAACCAGATGAAACCAGCAGGGACCGGTTCACATGTCCAGAACGAGCGAATGGCGACCTGTGTTTGAGCGTCTGCTGCAGGTACAGAAAGACCATGAGGCAACAAAGAGCAGCAGGAAGCTGATTATGGGATTCACGCTCTGCCCTCAGATCAGATCAGATCAAGACAAAGTTAAAAATCAAAGACCGGAGCAGGGATTAGTCCAGGCTGAGAAGGAAGGTCCAGATCTGAGAGGGAGCTCCAGGGCCTAGCAGACAAAAGATCCAAACATCAGTGCGGAGTCAAGTTAGCATGTTATAATCGTGGCAACTTATTAACTCATTGATGCTATTTTTTTCTTTCATTAGTCACTCTCTATATCGCAGTTATCCTTTTGCTCTTTCATTACATCTTGGGTTTTCGCTATATTGCGATATTGTAATGTAAATAAAAATTTGTAAATTTCTAATATTTTCATTATTTTCGTGAAAAATTATAATTTTCTAGCCTAAAAACGGGAAAAAACAAACACTTTCTAACCTAAAAACAAAACTAAAAGACATGAAAAGATCATTGGTCTTAGCCAGAAAAATTTACTTAAGCATTAAAAGCGCAGTCCACCAGCAGGGGGTAGTCGTTAATAATCTTCTAATTTAAATGACCTCATAATTGACTAGAATCTCAGCCTGTTTAGTTGAAGACCACGCTGATATACTGGCAGGAATTGATGAAAAGACATCCACAAAGATCTTCTTCAACAGCTATGATTATTTATTTTTTTAGTTTTCAAAGCCATCTGCTGCCCCCTAGCATAAGAGGGTTTAACTGTTCTGCCTCACGCATTGACAAACAAAGAAAATATTTGCAATAAATAAATAGTAGTTTCGGCCCAATTAAATGAATTTAGTCATTTTCCACATTAGTGGGCCACGGCCCCAATTAAATGAATTTGGTCATTTTCCACATTAGTGGGCCACGGCACAGTTGTTGGGAATCACTGTTTTACACCATTTCTGTGCTTTGCCCATATGCAGATGACAAACTGTTTTACTCCTAACGTAGATGAATGAATACGGTGAAAAGGTAACTTTTTCATTTTGTGTCATTGTGACACAGCACACCATGAAATGTGACCTCTGACCTTAACCCATCACTTTAGTTGGGGGAGGGCACCCAGGGAGCAGTGTGTGGGGATGGTGCACCTCAGTGGCACCTGGTGGCTTTTATGTGTTTTGGACTGTTTCACAAAAAAATGTTAACATTTAATTTGAATTTGAAGTTTTGCCTAACCATTAGCTGTTATCTAAAAAAGTTGTTGGCTATCGTTTGGTCCAGTTTTAACCGTTTTGTAGGTTGTATTGATTTGGGCTAACATATTTACCCAAATGTTTTGATCTTCAGGTCGTTTGTGTTGGTTCTGGAGCTAAAGGTTAGCTCTTTTGTTGGCTAATTATTTTGACCTAATCCTCTAGTTCTGTGATGAAGTTTCTCACAAAAGGACTCTGGTTTTCAAATCCTGGTCTCAGGTCTTTGTTGGGTTCAGCTCACGGTCGAGGACAGAGACTCGGACTCTGGCTGAGGTGACAGAGGCGAAGGTTAGCGTTGAGGCTAAGTCATGAATGTGTCTTCAGTCTGGGTTGTGCGGAGGCCTGAATACCAGGACGCCAGCGCAGTGCTGCGCCGTCAGTGGGTTTTTTAGCAGTTTCCACGCCGTGTAATTGGATTGAAGGAACGCCGTGGAATTTATGTCACTTCGCATCTTAGCAGCGAGAGAACAGTCCCAGGAACAGCGTGGGGATCGGTTCCAGAGAAGAGAAGAGAAAAAGAGCCAAGCCTCATTAAATTCACATTTAATTCTCACTCACAGCAGTTTAAGAGCTGGGATTAGCATGACACTGTGTGTGAGCGTGTGTGTGTGTGTATGAGCGTGCGTGTGTGTGTGTGTGTGTGTGTTGTAATACGCTGCTCTTGTATTCATATGCTGAGCCAGGACAAGCGTTCTCACACAGCTCAGCAGATCTTCAGCCTCGACTTCACCGCTCGGTGTGAAAACAAAGTTCAACTCAAGTAAAAGTTTCAAGATTTATTTATTTTTAATTAATTCTTCTTTTTTTTTACAGAAAACAGTCTCAACAAAGTGAAGAAAATCCTTTAACTCTGTAGTTGATACAACTGTTAGCATCAGTTCTTAGATCTTGTAGTGGAAATAGTTCCATAAAAGGTAAATACCAACAAATACTAACAAAGTTTTAGAAGATGAGGAAAGTACTTGTTCTGGTGAATATCAGTTCCTATTTTAACTTCTCTAGTTTTAGCTTTTTTATGCAAACTATATTAGTGACATTTTGGCTAATATTTACATATATTAGCAAAACTACCTTTATAACTGCATGTTATTTTTGCTAATTTTAATAATTATTTATGTGTAGTTAATAGCTTCAGGTAGTTACATTTTAGCAAATACAACTTAGCCATTTTTAGCTAGTATAAAGTAGTCGTTTCAGGCTAGATTTTAAAAACATTGCTCTAATAACTTTTTAAACTTTAATTTTTTTGTTCCCTTTTGGTAAACAATTTTTTTTTTTGCCATTTTTTTTGCCAATATAAAAATGTTGCTTTTTTCCTGGCTAAAATTAAGATTAACCCATTTGAAAGTACCTAAACTATGTGAACAATGATGGAGTCACTAAATGACGATTTGGTAAAGTTTGACAACGTAGCCTCCCTTTAGCATTTTTGTTCTCTCACTTTGATCTACATTTCTTGCTAACGTCACATTGTCTGATTGGTCTCTGAACTCTGAACTCATTGCTATAGTAAATTTACTGATAAATAAACTGAAAAGACAATTATTAGGGTTTGGAATGAGGTGCTTGAATTCAACCTGGAAAAGGTGACTGAAACCTGGTGGACGTTCTGATTGAGGGACCAGGTCCAGATTTGACCCGAGTCACTTTCTGTTTCCACCGACAAAACTTAAATCTAAACTGAAGCTGACAACCATGTCACCTCCTCCCCCACCTCTTTCTGTTACCCCTCCTCGTCCTCCTCCTCCCCCTGCGCTTGTGTTTTGGCCCCCGGGGCCTGTTTTTAACCACAGGCATTTACACGCTTCCCTGTAACAAGTGGCTGAAGGTTGTGAGACTCAGATTAGAGCAGAACACAGACTGGTATAATGGTAATGACTGTTAGCAGAGCCGTGCGTCGCTCTGAGCCGCCGTGACCAATTAGCTGCTCATGAGCCCTGGATCAGTGAGTGGTGGTGGTGGTGGGGGGAGGTTACAGGGGCCACAAAATTCTCATATCTGTCAGATCGGCAGGAACACATGCTGATGACTGAGAGAACGGGAGGCTACGCTGATGATGTTGCTCTGCTAACACAGGCATAGCAACAGTGCTGCTAACACCAGAGTGGAAGTAACTCATCTTGTTAGCATTTGAGCTAATTAGGAATAATGTCAAAGCACTAAAGCTAGCTAGAATGGAGGCGCCAGAGCCATTTATTATGGCTACGAGAAAGAAGATTGGAAGATTAATTTCAAATTTATTTATTTTTTTTTGTTTTTTTCCCAAAATCTTTTTTTCCTAAAAAATCTTTTGGGAAAACGTTAAAAAAAAAAATTTTTCCCCAAAACTTTTTTCCCCCTTTTTTCCCACTCAAATTTTTTTCTAAACATTTTCCCCCAAAAAATAATTTCAAAACATTTTATTTTTTTCTTTTGGCAAAAAAAATGTTTTTTGTCAAAAGAATTTTCAGAAACATTTTTTCTAAACATTTTTCAAAAAAATGTTCCAAAAAAATTTTCCCCCCAAAATTTTTTCCCTAAAAAATCTTTTCTAAAATTTGTTTTTGAAATATTTATTTCCCCCTCAAATTTTTTTCTAAACATTTTTCCCATAAAAAGCTTTTCAAAACATTTTTTTCCAAAAAAATGTTTACCCAAAAAAATTTTTTTGGGAAATATTTAGAAAATTATTTTTCCAAAAAAATTGATTTCCCACTCAAATTTTTTTCTAAACATTTTTCCCCAAAAAATCTTTTCAAAACATTTTATTTTTTTGGTTTGGCAAAAAACAAGTTTTTTGTCAAAATAATTTTCAGAAACATTTTTTCTATTTAAAAAAAAAATCCCCAAAAAATATTTTCCCCTCCAATTTCCAATTTTATTTTATTTTTTTTTGGCAAACAGTTTTATGGATTTTTTCACGATGGT